CAGACAGCTGTCACTTAATTTGTTCATTATAATTATTCTCCTCCTCGGACTCTACTTAGACAAAAGACTCACCTGGAACATACATTCCAAAATAAAAAGACAAGAACTGACTAGACGATATAACCAACTCTCGCATCTTCTGGACTGCAGATCTTCACTTAACTTACGAAAGCGACTGATATACAACACCATACTGAGACTAATTTAGACATACGGAGCAGAACTTTGGGGTTCGGCAACACAAACACACATTAATAAATTACACACAACACAATAAAAATTCTACGAAAAATTGTCAACGCACCTTGGTACATTTCAAATAACACTATACACAACGACTTAAACATCCCAACAGTAAAATCGTACATCCACGACAAATACACTTCATTTCATTCTTCTACTCTCAATCATCCAAGCCCTCTTGTTCTGTCTCTTTTTTCCTCTCTGTTACCTGATCGGCGCAGACTAAAAAGAAAATGGCCGAGAGACCTATTCCTACAATAATAACAAAATTATGTTAATCAAGCAAACTCGCAGTCAATGCCTAATTAATCAAATTTGCTAGTGCGCTGCAGCGCAGGTGCAAATGGCTTAAAATGTTAAACTAAATAAAAATAATTATTCTTAAAGGAATGAATGTTCCAGAATAAAATTAACTTAACGTGGTAAAAGATAAATTATTTTTATTTCTATTCATTATAGTGAAATTTCACGATATAATTATAATGGATGTTGGCAATACTACTTTGTCACAGATTCACTTATTCTTACATAACCAACAAGAAGACCACTGAGATAATAAAATTAATTTACAACTAGACATTTTTACGACATTTTACACAGTCAAGGCCATCTTTGACACAAGGCCCATTGCCATCTATACATTTGGAATCACTAGCGGATCCAGGATTTAATTTTTGGGGGGGCTTCAGTCGGAAAGCTTTTTTTTCATAAAAATAACGATAATTAGTTTGGAAAAACAGAAAGAAACTAACTACCTATATGAAATGGTGTTTAAGTGATTCTTGAAGCCCTATTAAAAGTAATTAAACGAGCAATAATACTTTAAGACATAATTTTTTTATATTTTTTACCATAAAACATGGTTACATTTTACCATTTTGGGGGGCTTCAACCCGAAAGCCCCCCCGTAAATCCGCCTGTGCATACCACAGACCTTGGTCTCAGACACAGGCGGATCTACGGGGGGCTTTCGGGCTGAAGCCCCCCCCCCCCCAAAATGGTAAAATATAACTGTTTTATAGAAAAAAATATTAAAAACTATCTCTTAAAGTATTATTGTTCGTGTAATTACATTAATTAAGACTTCAAGAATCATTATGATACCATGTCATGTGGATAGTTAGTTTCTTTCTTCTTTTTTTTTCAAATTAATTATCGCTTTCCCTCTGATATTTGATGGAAAGGGTCCGAGTTTCTATGGCCTTGGAATCACTAGCGGATCCAGGATTTAATTTTTTTTTTGGGGGGGGGAGGCTGAAGCCTAAAGCTTTTTTTTCATAAAAATAACGATAATTAATTTGGAAAAAAGAAAGAAACTAACTACCTATATGAAATGGTGTTTAAGTGATTCCTTAAGTAACTTTAAATGTAATTACACGAACAATAATACTTTAAGAGGTATTTTAAAATTTTTTTTTTGCATAAAACATGGTTATATTTTACCATTTTTGGGGGGGGGGGGCTTCAGCCCGAAATTCCCCCCCCCCATCCCGTTGATCCGCCCATGCTTGGAATATTTCATAATCATTTACTTTAAAAATAAATAAAAAAATCTACAGAAATTAGTTAATTAAAATATAAAATTTTTTTGTTAATTAAAATTGAGCCTACAATTATTATATGAAATTCCTTCATCAGTGTTGCATTTCAGCTGTTTATTTCTCTATATTTTTATAAAATCTAATTAAAATAATCAAAATAAACAATTTTTTTTTGTTTTATTTATTATTTGAAAATTAATACATTCTTCCACATTGGAGGGCATTAATATTAAGACTACATTAATCATTCTCACAATATATACATACAAATGATAACTAAAATAGAGATAAAAGAAAAAGAGTTGTAGAAAGTAAAATAAGAAAATTAACATACATATGTAAAAAAAAAATATTTAGAGTGAAATTAAAGTATATAAAACACATTCACAGCTATATACAATAAAATAAACAATTAAGTATATTTATCATCAAATATGCAAAAATTGGTTAATTGCATCTTAATAAGCTAATTCCTTAAGATTAGTTGGCCCGTGCGAATAATTCACAGAAAATTTTATTTAGTGAAGAAATAGCAAAACAATATGGAAATAAGTAGATCTTATGAATTATGTAAGGAAGGAATTAATTGTTTTTTCCTCGGTTGATTACAATATTCCATTAAACATAATACAAATTGCTTTGCTAGGATCTATTTTTAAACGCTGACTTGAGAGGTGATAAAAGTAATAAAGACAAAACAATGCCTCGATCATGGGATTTTCTAAATTATTAAAAAAAAACAAAAAATGTAAGAACAAACAAATGCCTTTAAGAAATAGTAAAGTTGATATATCAGCCAGGGAAAAAAGTGTAGTAGACTATTCTACTCCTAAATGCAATATCTTTAAAGAGGAAGACATTATTAAGTATACCAAAACTAATAGACTATATCTTTCTTAATAATTTAGAAAATAAAAATATTTCAACACACTTTACTCCTTCAGTCTGTACAAATTGTTTAAATTTTATAAATTTCTAATAGATTTTTAGTTTTGTTTTGTAGGTAATTTAGTTATCTTTCTAATTATCATGGGTACAACAAAGAAAAAAATGCATACTTATTGATTTATTCGCGAATAAAGTTTCTTTTCCTTCATAACTTTTTTCCCAGGAGAATAGGACTATTTTATGCATGTGAAGAAGAATATCTTCAAAATGAGAAGTCAATTATTGGATTTTATGAAGTTATGGCGTAACGAAAAAAAAAACACTTTTTAGAAATAATATGTAGGCTAATCGAACTATAGTTTAAAAAATGCATGCAAACAATATATGCAATTGCATAAAAAATCCAGACTTTGCTTATAACCTTGAAATTTTATTAAGTTTGTTTAGCAGGTACACTGCGTATATTTAGATTATTTTTGAGCCATGTGGAAAAATTATGGTTGTATTTGAGGCCAAACTTAAAATTAAAAAATATATATATATCATTTTAGGAATGCTCTAGTCATCGCACAACACAAAAAATCTGTTATGGTAGCGCATCACACAACTTTCACTTACCATCTCTTCTTAGCAGAAATAATTATTTTCAAACAAAGCAAAGCGAAAGTAATAATTATAGACTCTACATTTATTAATATTTCATTGTGGGTATTTTTATTTGTATAAGTACCCTTATATATACAAATTTTAATATTTATATCGTAATCTATACAATTAAATTATACCAAAAATAGCATTTATAAAAACCACATATGTATATTTACATAATATTGTCGGAGTCCATATTATATTAAGCTCATGTTACGTACGGAAGCCTATTCTAATGTTTCTTCCGGGTGCTTAGAATACGGAGCCCGGACGTGCTTGTATTCCTTTGGTTCCTCAATTACAACTATTCTCCATTACGATCTCTTATTTCTTCTTTAGTTAATTATCAAATTCTTTCATATTTTATATTTAACTATTTTTCATATTAGAGATTAATGTGAAATGGTCAATTGTTTCAAATAAAAAAAATCAAAAGTACTTTAGAGGAAGCTAATGTTGAAATTTAGCCATTTAAGCCCTTTTAGAGAATATCAACCAGAATGAAAACTACATTTTATTTGGAACTGCTTACTTTTACACTGATATGATGAATTTAATCAAAATCGTTGGAGCGGTTTTCGGGATAATCGTAAAAATATGATTAGTCCATTATATGAAGTGCGACTTCCGGTTAGCCGATTTTGAAGAAAGAATTGCTGTAACATCCCTAGCATATAAAAACCTTAAATATGTAATTTCATTTTTCCAAGGTTCCAAATAAGAAGATAATGTAATTTCACTTCCGTACGAATTTTCGTTTTTGAGCTAGACTGTTAACGCACACACACACAGACCATTTTGTGGGACTTAGTTATTTGGACTCAAGAGAGTCTCAAAACGTGTATTTCCGTTGAAAACTCACAAGTTGAAAAATTTTCAAAATTGCAATACTTACCCTTATTATATATAACATATATAGGTAAGTGAAAGAAAAAAATTATCAAATAATATTAAAAGGAAAAAGGTAATAAATAATAAATACTCTAGAAGATGCCATATTAGAATCAATTGTGTATGTATAATATGTACATTGAAAATATATATACAAGCATCCTAAGTTTATCCTTAGTACTTCTGGACCACTTAAACAAAGGAGCATTATAATTACAAAAAAATAAATAGTATTTAGAGAAATATATATTTTATAAAATAGGGAAACAATAAATTTAAAGCTTCTGGAATTATAACGTAATTCTATTTACAAGTTTTACTGTACAAAGTAATCTGAGTAAAACTCATTTCAAGAGAAATTGTCTCCAATTGACTGTTAAATATATAAAATAAAAATAGCATTATATAAAATACACAGACACAAAACTATATTACATACGTTTTTATAACAAAACATAAATCGTATAATATGTGTTTTACTTCTATTTTTCTTTTCTTTTGTTGTTTTTATTTTTCCGCAAGTGACAATAACTTAGTAAATTAACAAATATAATACAACGGCAATTTTCTTGCCTAAAAATGTACATGGTCTTGGAAATGTCCCCTCAGGTGCATTTCTCCGAAACACACCTTAAAAATATGAGATTATAAAAATTATAAATAAAATATTGTGTACATTTTCAAACTTACTTAATTTTTCTTTTTTCTCTTTCCTCCTTTTTTTTTTTTTTTTTTTTAAATACCTTTTCATTTTAAGAACTATTTTATCATTTTATATATACACACTTATGTGTTCTTATATGTATACGATGATCGATGTGTCAAAACTTTAGCACAGCCGCTACACATGACCACTGGTAATTGTTTAAAAAAAAAAAAAAAAAAAAAAAATTAAGCATATTTTCTTATAAAATATTAAACGGCTATTTGTTTTCGAGTATCTTGTCTCTAAGAGTCTTTACTTTCTGTACAAAATATGATTCCAAAGACTCGGCGCACTTGAAGAAAGGTGATTCTCTTGGGTTGTAATACCTACAGTTGTCGAAGATTTTAGTCATGTCGCCAATGAATTCAGTCAACTTATTGTAGTGCCTCTGATTGATGCGCTTTTCTATTGTTTGTAAATCTGAAAATAAAAAAGGTATGAATGATTTGCTAAAATCAGTTAACCAGAGCATCACATAATCAATGCTCTAATGTGGTCATAATTATTTTATAATAATAAAATTATAATAATTCTATAAATAAATAAAATATAATTATCGTACCCATTGGCTCTTTTATGACTTTATAATAGTCGGGAGCTTCTGTAGGGTCTACGGGTTCCATAAAAGGCCAAGCATTTTTGTGAACCTATAAAAACAAAATTCAATTATAAAAATTATTCAATTATAATGAATTTCAATTTTATTACTATCTATTAAGGTTTTCGTTTAAAATAATTATCATTATGAATAAATGCATATTGTCAGTTTATTGCAAAAAGTCACCAAGTACATTTTTTTTTACGGAGCTTATGAAAGCCTCCGAAACCTGGACTATCTCATCCGACTCAGCAAGAAGACTGTCAATCAATGGAAATTTATTTTTTGAAATGTTATTATATTGTTATTGTAGAATATCTTGACTATAATACGTTCCAAATAACACCATTAGGAAAAAAAGGAAAACATTCTGAAAAACCCTTAAAACACATCCTGTACTCCATTGAGATAAAAAAGCTTAGTTGGTTTGGGCACATATTGAGAAAGGCGGAAGATATGTCAACCAGAAAAGAGATAGCTGGAAGGTACACATGAGGTAACAGCAGCAGGACTTATTATGCTATAACATATGACCATAGTCATATATGAATGACACATATATACATATTTTCATTTATATATACATATTATCGTTTATATATACATATCATTGTTTATATATATATATTATCTTATTTGATTTTGTATAGAATAATATTTTTGATAAAATTAATGGTTTCGGAGTCATGGTCATAAAACTGAAAATTTTGTTGTTTTTTTCAAATATCAATAAAAATGTTGGGTACTTTTTGTCTAGCAGGCCGGCTCGAAACCTCACTTCTGATCTATCTTATCTTATGTCACGTCACGTAACCTCCCTCTTCTTATCCCGCCAAACCTTTGAGTTATTGCATTGTTTAGTTTTCAGTTATTCCTTTATTATGTTCACTAATTTAATTGTTTACTTTTGGCCCATTTGTGTATATTTTTCATTTTTTTTTCTGTTTATTTTCGTCATATTATGGATCTTCTTAGAATATGGAATTTGTATGTGAGGAGAGTTTTACCTCAGCAATGGATGTTTGGTGAAGTTTGTCGAGAAATAGATGAATGTTTTATCGTCAAAATAAATGACAGAAAAGCAACAACCTTATTACAAGCAATTAAAGACAATGTAGAAGAGGGTACGACCATTTATTCGGACATTTGGAAAGGATACAATACCCGACACAACTGAACGAAGGAAACTATGGCCATTTCCAAGTGAATCACCGGTATAATTTTGTCGATCCATCAACTGGGGTTCATACTCAACACATAGAACGATTATGGGGCTCAGCGAAGTGGAGAAATAAAGTATAAAGAGAAACTGCCAGACAACACCTCGATTCATATTTGTGCGAATTTATGTGGCGGTGGGTTCACAGAGAAGAGGACCCGTTCCTCCCTATTTTAAATAGCATAAAACAATTTTGCCTTCCAAAATAAATAACACAAAGTGAAAATAAATTGTACATATGTTGTCTATGGTGTTGATATTTTTTCTTTTCTATGTAAATATGTTCTTTAAATGTTTTTTTATTATTTCATTTTGATGTTTTATATGTACATATCTTCTTACAGTGCTTTTTTATTATTTCATTAATATATGTGTCGTAAAATAAAAGAATTTTTTTTTTTTATTACATTTGTTTTTGTATCTGTTTACACTTTCAATAATACGAATTTAATACAATAATACCAAGATATGAAGTAGGAGAAGGCTTATCACTGCGTTATGGGAATTATCAGTGTTCTAGTTATAAACATTGGCAGATAGCAGTCAGTGCCAAATTTTGTTTGCAAACTTCAAATTCAGATTCAGCACAGAGAAATCGACTATTTTAATTTTTTTTTCACAACCATTTGATTTGAGTAATTCATCACTGTCAGTTTTCAAAACGCAGCCAGGTTCAACGCGATTCTCTCACATTTTTTACTTTGCATCAAAATTTCAGCAGTCAGTTCATTGGTTAAAGGAAACATCAAATTTTGCCATTTTACTTTAAATTTTTGTAAATATAGCAATATCTTTAAACCGACTGACTGAAGTTGTGTGTTCAGATGAGTTTTATCTACAATTTAAAATGTATATTAGCTGTATCAGGCAAGTTGATTCTCTAGCACATCGTACTACAAACTATAGTAACAAGAGCCTGTCTGGATGAGAATGGCAATGTATTCTACAAAGCGGGCCAATTATAAGCAAATGCCGATGATGTGGTGATAGCTAGAAAGTGAGGCTGGTAAGATTTGGCCATTAAAAAATTAGTATCTTTGAAGGTTGACATCTTTGAACGTAAAATATGAAGACGCAATTTCAGGTCTGAAGGGTAAATAGGATATATCAGCTTAGAAAGAATAGAGAATTATACTCCTTATCTGGAGACTTGCCAGACTATGTCTGAATACCGAATGTTTAATTTACTATGCCAATCCCTTCCACGGCTGTCAGGGATATTGACATAATAATTCTGCTTTAAGAGCTGGTGATAATTTATTGCTGTGGACTGTAAAATCGATTGCTTTGTTTTATAACATTTAATTTTAAACAGAGGTTAAATAAAGGTGGGTTGGGATACTTGCATTTTCTCTTTTCTTCTATTTGCCAATCTTCTTGTTCATCTTCTCTCTCTTCCTTTCTTGGCCCCTTGACGGACGATGTAGTTTTTTACTCCATATTCAGCAAATCAGTGGAATAAAAAATTTTTCAAACTGGCCAGTCTAGTGAATCTCTCACGCTAAGTGAGCGTCTACGCTTCAGTAATAGTGGAGTCACAATAACATCTGAGGTATATATACAGTAAGCTCGAGATCACAGCTGAGTTGTTTTTCTTGATTTAATTTAAATGGGAAGTTGCTATGTTCCCTAAACACCGAATCTGAAATGGTTGAGTAACCTCCATAGAATGGATGATTGGAGAACCGTCAAAAAGTTATACCAAGGTTGTCCGGGAGGAGTGCGGGCTCGAGGGAGGCCAAGTAGTAGATGGAAGGACGTCTCAGAAGACTAATATTTTTTTTTTTAAGTTTATTTATTTATCTATTCTATCTTATTATCAATAAGTGTCTATTATTTATTTTATTCTATTAATTTTTTTTGTCCTTTTTTTATTTTTTGTACCAAACACCTAAACAGTATAGTAGTGTTATTTAGTTGATCGGGCACTGATGACATGGATGTTTTGTGCCTGGATATCGGAACAAACAAACAAACAGAAGATCTCCGAAAGATTAACATATTTTTAGGACTAGCTGCAAACCGACAGAACTAGAGCGATTGAGCAGGTCAACGACCTTTTAGTGCACCTGTGGCGCCTAAAGAAGATCGGCTAGAAGTCCCTCCGTTAAATGAAATAGTTGGTAGCTCCTAGTCTATTTTATAAATTATTAGCTTGACAAACTCATTTCTTACTATAATTCTGTTACAGATTAGAATTGTTGAAAAAAATTAAATTGTTATACATAACAAGGCAGATCAATGAGTAAAATATTAATATTAATTTATCTGATACTGTTAAAGACATTGGAACTGAAATTTTGGTGTCTGACTAACATTAACATGGAATTGGGTCCGAATAAGAGGAGAGTACCTAGAGAAAGATTTCTCCCTCTTCCACAGTGAATCTTTTACCCTAGATGGTAATACTGTTTTACAAGATACAATACAATAAAGGAGAAAATCTAACTCAAGATCATCTCCCTCTCATTCTGACTTCTAGTATAGATATTATATTTTATTTCAGCAATCAATTTTAAACAACCATGAATTTTAAACAAAAATTGTTTTACGCTCTAATTAACAATCACAACCCATTTTTTGTAATTTTTAACACCAAAAAATGACAATAATGTCTGGTGACAGAGAACAAATGCTGAAATAACTAGCCTGTACAAAAATATAAATGTCGTAAGATTTACTAAGGTTGGAAGACTTCGCTGGGCGGGGCATGTCGCTAGAATGGAAAATGTTAAGATCCCGAAGAAAGTACTTGAAAGAAAGATATATTCTAAGAGAAGAATAGGCAGGTCAAGACTGCGGTGGACCGACAGAGTGGCAGAGGATGCATTGTACATCTTAGGGATGCAGAACTGAAAAGCAGCAGCAATACACTGGGATGACTGGCGGTTGATGCTGCAGGATGTCCTGACTTATGAGTTGTAGTGCCAAACAAGAAGAAGAAGAAAAAATGACGATTCAAGTGATACACAATCACACAGAAATATCAAAATTGAAATTAATAACTAAGCTTATTCAATGAGTAAAATATTAATATTAATTTATCTGATACTGTTAAAGATATTGGAACTGTCATTTTGGTGTCTGACTAACATTAAAATGGAATTGGGTCCGAATAAGAGGTGAGTACCTAGAGGAAGATTTCTCCCTCTTTCACAGTGAATCTTTTACCCTAGATGGTAATACTGTTTTACAAGATACAATACAATAAAGGAGAAAATCTAACTCAAGATCATCACCCTCTCATTCTGACTTCTAGTATAGATACTGTATTTTATTTCAACAAAATCCATAAACCATTAATGGAACATGGCAAAAAATTAATAAATAGATACCTGTATTTGCTTGATAAGTTTCCTCAGGGCATCAAAATCCTTTCCGTTAAGGTTTTTCATATTTACACAATTGATGCCCCTATTCCTTTCACAATTAGGACAAACGTACTCGTCTATGTTATCCGCTTCGGACTGTAGAATACCCACACACCTCCCATGGAACCAATCCTGACATCGATCACAGCAAATGTAAAACCTAAAAGATAGCAAAATTAATAATATGAAAGATAACGCAATTGATATTATGAAAAATAACATAATTAATACTATTAAATTGCTCTTAACCTCTTAATTTATAGTTTATAAGCATTAAAGTAAACGATGAACATTTAACTTAAGAGCTCATAAATAATAGTTAATGTAGAATAACGAGAACTAATTCCATTCTAGTGGTTTAGGATTGATAAATAATTTTACACCATTAATAGTAAACAATATTAATATTTTAGAACTTAAATTACAATAATTGACTATTTTCTACTAACGTTTATCAATTAGGATTTAAATCTGCAGGAGAAGCTGTTATAAAATAGAAAAACGTTGCTGTAACATCCCAGACATAAACCTAACTTAAATATGTATTTTCAGTTTCGTGCGACTTTTCATTTTTGAGGTAGACTGTCCACATACACACAGACAAACAATCTTGAGGGACATGGTTATTTGGACTCAGGGGACTTCAAAACAAGTATTTCCATTGAAAACTCAAATTTGAAAATTTTCACTATTTCAATACTTTCCCTTACTACATATTACATACATAGAAAGTTAAAATGCACACATGAGTTGAAGAACTAGATGGAGTTTGCTAAAATCAATATTGGACAATCCAGTTACCAAACCTGACATTTATCTCTAAAAAATTGATCAAATTGAATTAACAGCAGTAGATCTTATGCAACTTATATGAATACTAAACTACAGAAAGTCGCACAGTTTAAATACTATCTTTCCATATCTCTACTGTTAGTGTAAAAGGTCATATGTAACAATTTTCAATGTTAATTTTATTTGTAAATAAGTTGACATTTGTAACTGCAATAAATAGTCTGCTACTATGGAAAATAGTATATGGATATAAAATATGAAATTATACTAGTAATAAATAAAGAAATAATAACTTTTTATGCTCTTTTGTAAAAAAAACAACTAAATTTTAACAAAAAACCTTTTGCACTAACAGTAACGATATGTACACTACATTCTATATTTCACAGCTGATAGTAGATCATTCATTTACGATTTCCTTTAACTATATGCCAAATAAAACGAGACATTTTCGAAATATTTTTGTATCAAGAAAAATACATTTGCGCATACATAAGCCAATATATTTTTTTAAAGTGGTGAATGAAATTGATACCTATATCAGCATTTTTCACTGATCTTAAAGTTCCCTGCAACTTTGGGACAAAGCTAATGTGAGATATAAATGGGTTATAGGCTAGGGACATTCATTGATAGTCGATATTATTGAAATTTTCCTTCGAATATTCGATATTTTACCATCGATAGTATCTACTTTGATATTATCGACTATCGATATCGTCCCTTCGATATATTAATATAAAAATAAAAACTATCGTTTTAATACAGTGTTAGGAATTATATATGAATCTGATCGTCAGAAAACAAATTATACACATCTTGCTCGTTTCAATATCGACTATCGATGGCTATCCCTAAGTGGAGTTAAATAGAGCGTGTGGGACTCTTCTCACTCAGTAAACTCAATTTGCCCAAATTTGTTAGTTAGTACCTTCTCAAACCAAGGTCACGAACTGTCAATGAAATCTATGAATGAATGGAAGCCATATTGTTTCAATGGAAATTTTTGGAAACAAGGTGAGGATGGCGAAGATGGACGAGAACTAGAAAATTAATTTAACTAAGGAGAGTAGAAGAACTGATAACATTAATTAATTTAAACAGGAAAATAACATCTTTTTTAATGAGCCTATGTGCAAGAGAATCAATATTTATATTTCAAAAATGTTTATAATATCGATTATCGACATTTCAAGTACGATATTTTCATGCTATCGATAGTTATTGGTAGTCAATATCGGGCCTTTGATATCCCATCCCTAATATAGGGCATATCTTGGAAATAGGTTAACTTGAAATATTTCTTTATTAATCCATAAATTATTTCAAACTTTGAGCCGAATCAAATAAGCCATTTTTAAAATACATACCTGTCTAAGGAAAAAATGCTGCAAATTATTCCACAATGGTTTATTATTTCCAAACAATTATACATCTAAAGTAACATTACCTTCCGAGTTACAAAGAAAAATAAATAAAAGGGGATTCCAATTATTGGACTAAACTTTTTTTTTTTTTTTAATCATTAGTAATATGCTAAAAAAAAAAAAAAATAGCATTACTTCAGTAACACATTCAACATTTAAAAACCAAATAAAGGATATAACATTTGGAGTAGAACATATAAAAAAAAAAAAAAAAAACTGGGGACCATATCTTTGCTCCTAATTGTCCGATTTTAACAATTTTTGTTGGGGGTTTTTAGGAAATTTCGTTAACTTTTAAAAAACCATATACAACATCCTCCAAAAAGAGTATACTTTTTGAGTTATTTGGAATTAAATTTTACCATCCCTCATAACTTTTTTTCGTTGAAGTATGTTATATAAATAAATTTAAAGGGCATAGAGAAAATGACTTTAGCGAAGTTTCATTGAAATCGGTAGATTCGTTTAGGCGCTACAGTCTATAGCAACACAAGTTTTTAGGTCGCCATTTTGAAAGTAAAAGGCAGATAATAATGTCAATGAAGGAGGATCATCCTCGGGTGACTTATGATTTTATATCCAAATTTGAAAAAAGTCGGTCCAGTAGTTTCGGAGAAAATGCGCGGACTGCGGGCGGACAAAAAATTTTTTATTTGTTTTTCAAATTCTACGCATCCTGAAACGTGAAATCTCAAATTTTGAGAGGGGATTAAGTTTTTGAATTTTTTGTTAGATCACAATGGTTCATTATTGAAAATAATAAACCAAAACATTCATTTATAAGAGAGTAAGCACGTAAGTAGTGGATAGGATTATGTGATGTGGGACCACCTAGATTAGTAATTTCTGAAAATAGGATTAATAATAATAGGTGATATTAGTGTAAAAAACACTAATAGAAATTTTCTATTCTGAGGACATTTTTTTTCAACTTTCCATATGAATACTTAGGTTACTAACATAACATATAAGTAAAATACAAATGAATGTAATTTGATTTGATTAAATAATCAAAATAAGCCAAGTACTTGGGATAAAGACAGTCCAAGCATTTTTTAAAATCTCTATTAATAAAAGCTCAGAATCTGAAGAAAAAAAAAAAATTCATAGGAAGGTAATTAGTGTCATACCATCAATTTTAAACAACCATGAATTTTAAACAAAAATTGTTTTACGCTCTAATTAACAATCACTATCCATTTTTTGTAATTTTTAACACCAAAAAATGACAATAATGTCTGGCGACAGAGAACAAATGCTGAAATAACTAGCCTGTACAAGAATATAAATGTCGTAAGATTTACTAAGGTTGGAAGACTTCGCTGGGCGGGGCATGTCGCTAGAATGGAAAATGTTAAGATCCCGAAGAAAGTATTTGAAAGAAAGATATATTCTAAGAGAAGAATAGGCAGGTCAAGACTGCGGTGGACCGACAGAGTGGCAGAGGATGCATTGTACATCTTAGGGGTGCAGAACTGAAAAGCAGCAGCAATACACTGGGATGACTGGCGGTCGATGCTGCAGGAGGTCCTGACTTATGAGTTGTAGTGCCAAACAAGAAGAAGAAGAAAAAATGACGATTCAAGAGATACACAATCACACAGAAATATCAAAATTAAAATTAATAACTAAGCTTATTCTAGAAAAAAATTAAATTCTTAAGTTTAATACTAACTGTGATTCATCATAAGGTTGTTTGCACAGACAGTAAAGTTCTTGAGTTTCCCTCGCATGTTTGCATTCGCTACAAACGAACTCAGACATACTCTTACTCATTTCCTCGGTAATTCCCACACAGTCTCCGTGGAACCAGTTGTTACAAAGATCACAGCCAACATAAAATCTGTAAAATTTATATAATATCAAGAACATGAATGAAAGTAAAATATCATCACAATGGTAAAAAAATTCTTAAATTAAAATATATTGAAACAATATCACATTAAATAATATTAAAAAAAGAACTCGTCCTTCCACAACCCATGGAATGTCATGGATTTAATACTTCATAAGGAAGTACCATTTCTTGTTCGACGATTGTGATTTGACAGAGATTACGCTCAACTGCCAGGTTTTTCTTCTTAATCGATTATTTATCTAAGCGTACCCACTTTATAAAGGCTGGGTTTGCCCAAAAGGAGAGGTCTCCTGACCTTAGGGCTGATCTTGAATAAATAACTCTGGGTACAGTTCACACGATTCCTCATCCTTCTTTAGTCAGAATATTCTATGCAACATTTTATTTTCGAAAACCTTAAGACATTGCTCACCTCTTAATGTAAGCAACTACCATTTACATACATAATGAACTGTAGAAAGGATAATGGTTTTGTAAATTATAATTTTTAAGTTCAGAACAGGAGGCAATAGCTAAGGAGTTTTGCAACAGAAAATTAACAAGCATTTTCCGCCTTCACTTCCTCTTCAATAACCAAGCAAAGATATTGTTCCATTTAGATTCAAAACTTTTTTGGTATCTATCATGTTCTAAAGCCAAATTAAAAAAAAAGGCGAAAAAGAATAAAAGTTGTTTTAAACCTGAATGAACATCAAATTTTTTTGTGGGTTGATGTTTGACTATAACGAATAATGAAGAGAAGGATAGTTGGAATGATCAGACGAAAATAAATAATAATATTTATTTTAACATTTGCCGATGTTCAGGCCTTCATCAGGGCTGATCGCTATTGATAGAATGCTTTTTTAAAATATATTCTAGGTCTGTAATGAGTTGTGGAATGATTTTGACAGAGGTGTTAGGTGTGGAAAAATTTGGTCCTAAACTTAAAATTTTTATAACTTTGGAGGGGATGTCTACGGATGAGATATTGTCTACTACCCATTCTTCTTTTCCTGCAGGATAAAATTAATTTTTGAGAGTAATTTGGTACAGATTTTTGAATTAGTAATTAGTTTAAATTAGTATTAGTTTCTTCTGTGCTTTAGTGGAATTGAAAATATTTGAGATGCAAACGGAAAGGTTATCGACGTCTCCTTGATTGATGTCATGATATAAAAATTGGATGAGGGATGAGAGTTTTTTATTGAGAAAATTAATATTTTGAATAGTTTCATGGATTTTTAAGTTGAGCAGAGATTTTTTGAATTTAAGAGTGGAAGTTAATAATTTTGAGTTAAATGGAGGTGATATAGAAACGTGAGTTTTCGATAAATTTGGAGAAAATGGAATTAGAGCGGCATTTGAGAAGAAATATTCGTTGTTCAGTACTATTTGCGAGGTGACACAGGTTATTGATCAGGCATGATTTAAGATGAGGGTAGGAAGAATTTAATGAGGAGAAGGATATACAAGATTGGTTGAAAGCATTCTATCAATAGCGATCAGCCCTGATGAAGGCCTGAACTTCGATTCAAAATATCGGCAAATGTTAAAATAAATATTATTATTTATTTTTTGCCATTTTTATTTTTGACTGATCACCTCAACTATCCTTCTCTTCAAAATTTTTTGATAAATAATTACAGATTCCATTCTTACTAGATTTACTGCTTTTTTGTTGTTGTTTTTTTTTTGGAATTATCTACACTTAGAATAAAGATAAAAAATCTATGAAAGAATATTAACAAAGTATACATTACTCCGACATACTTAGTTTCATCATAAGGTGTCCTACAAATGCAAAGAAGTTTTTCTTTCTTGGACCTATGATGATTGGTAACAGCTGGCTGTGGAGGAGGCGGAGGAGGGGCTTGCTGAGGTGGGGGCTGCGGCGAAGGGCTCGCCTGTCTCCTATTGGTGATGCTCTTTCCCCCTCCGCCTCCCCTTCCAGGGACGACTGCTTGAGCAAGTGCAACTGATTTTCTTTTGGAACTGCCCGTGACACGCACTTCATCCTGTTTAGTCCGCTCAGCTTTGGTACGAGATGCTATTTCTTGAGCAACTTCATTCTGTAAAAATATCATATATGAATGAATGAATTAAAATAATAACTTTATTTTGGGACTACAGTCCCCTAAGAATAATTACAGAGTTACATATTTTTGAATCTTAGTCTGGTTTAGAAAAATACAAAATAATTAACTGTTGATTGAATTAAACAGTGTACAGACGCAAGTAAATTTTACATGTTTGCGGAAGTTTGAATATGGAGTAGAGATAGTAGAACAGGAGTTATTTGAAGGAATTTGTGGACGAGGATTAACATATGAAGGTAGGTAAAGAGTTCCAAAAGGAGATAGCACGAAAGACGAAGGTTTTGCTGAGGGAACTAGTTTTATGGAAGGGGATATATAAATCCATAGGTAGAGTCTAACCCTGGTATTGAGAAAGTGAATAGAGGAACGTAGAATAAGGAGTTCCAGAATGTAGGGTTTTTGGTTTAGAGGACTAGGAAAAGGAAAATACCAAGGAGAAATTTTTGTCGGGAAATAAGATAAAACCACTTCAACTCAGTGTACCAGAATGACAATATATGTACTATTTCTAGGGAGATTCCTTTTTCAAGTTGAAAATTTATGACAAAATGAGTCTGTCACTTCTCTGAAATGTTACAAAAGCAATAATTGTTTTTTTGGCTAATCAAATAAAATTATAAGAAAACCTAGTGATTAAAATTTAATCAAATAGATACAAAAAAACTTTAAGAAAAGTCAAAAGATATAATAACTAATAATTGATAATTGTAAAAAAAAATCCTTTTTTTTGGAACATATGCACAAATCTAGAAATAAAAGTAAATAGTTATACATGCATTAATAGTTGATGACAAGAAAATTTTAATTTATTAAAAACTTTTAATTAGTCACTATGTTGAACTGTCAAATCCTAACTTTTTAGTACAGACAAAACAAAAAAAAAAAAAAAAAAAAATGCTAAGATCTTCATGAGGCTCAGTTAATATATACATATGTATATATATATTTTTTTTTTTTTGCTAAAAGTATTGCGACCCTTATGTATCTATTGTGCACTATGTATACAGTCCGTTTTATTTCTAAAACATTAGTTTAGTAGCTTCTGCGTATCTTAATAGGCTTATCGGATTAATAGGCTCATAGCTGCTTAGCCCTGGAGCCAGGGCCCAAAAATCGACCTGATCGCAGGCGAAGGTTTGATTGTAAATTATGAAAGTGTATGTTATCCTGAGTAAAAAGAACCTTGTCTGCCGTTCCGGAGCCTCTGCTTCAAAAAATCATGCAAAATTTGATGCTCTACAACTTTGATTCTAAGGGTTTTTCCTCTTAGAGAACTCATTTCCAAGTTACAGAGCCATTTCATTTATTTATTTATTTGTCTCAATTTTTGACAAATTTGGTAAAACTCAACGTTGGTTGACCGTGGTTTTATACCTTACTACGAAACCAAATTTTAATGTTTATGTACTCGTTTGACGCAAAATTTAACGTTCTTTAATTTATTGAAGAACACATTTTTCGCTTTGATGCATTGTTTAGGAGTTATAGATGAAAAATCAAAAAAATATCGAAAAAATCTGACTTTTTTGGCTGTAAAAAGTTTTCCCTTGGTGGCCTGCGTTAGTAATTTTGTTTTTTACATGTCTAAACCCATATATACAACTTAAAAAAATAAAAACTTTTCTCACATTTTTCGCAATGGATTTCCCGTTTCGATCCTCAAATTATTGGCCTAATATTCTTTAAATCAGCTGCCATTTTTGAAAGCAGCGGCTCCGGAACGGCAGACAAGGTTTTTTTTTACTCAGAATAACATACACTTTCGTAATTTACAATCAAACCTTCGCCTGCGATCAGGTCCATTTTTGGGCCCTGGCTCCAGGGCTATGTATACAGTCCGTTTTATTTCTAAAACATTAGTTTAGTAGCTTCTGCGTATCTTAATAGGCTTACCGGATTAATAGGCTCATAGCTGCTGGGTTGATCTACTCGATCCTCCCCAAATAGCTCTAGTCTAAGCCTTACAAACATATCACATCGACAAACGATGTGAAAGGCTGTTTCTTTCTCGTCCTGACAGAATCTGCATAATGGATTCGAAGTCACTCGGAGATTGAACATGTAATAATTTAACTTACAGTGGCAAGTTATCGCTGTAAGCTTTTTGAGAGCTGCTCTGTCCAGACTCAGAAGCAGCTTACTTCTTGTATCACAAGGACCTTTAAGGAACAGTTGCGAAATGTCGTTGTTTCTTCTCAGTCCGGTATAGTTTAAATTTTTCACCATATAACACTCTAATCCTTCTTTTGGCAGTATTAAGACTGATTCCACAAACAGATTCAGGAGTTATGGGAATAGTATCAAAGCCTAACCTGGCTAGATTATCTGTCTCTTCGTAGCCAAGAATGCCCGAATTACCAGGAACCTAGTCAATATAGATATACATTGTAATGTACACCTTTATTGGAAGTGAGTAACAAGGTTTTAATAAATTAGTGTTGAACAATTAAAAGGCAAGCTAATCTAGTTCCACTAGTGCAGAGAAAAGAAAATGGTTGCTCTGTAGTTTCCCAAGAAGGAAAGTCCCAAAGAAGAGAGGGACAAAGGTTTTTGTTTTTGCAAGCACTTGTGTGACTGCAGTGAAGAGAGGATAGGAGAAGTGATCCTGGCTCCAGTGGGTAAAACCCAGTAATAGTATTACCTTCTATGAATAGAAGATAGTGACACCATTTTGGAAGATGTGTTTGGCAGAACATAAGAAAATATTAGAAGACAAATGAATTTAGTACAACAATGGAAGAAGCAGTGTATATAGAAAAAAGGTTAGCTTGACAATCCATACTTGACTTTATTTTAAAATCAGTGTTTAATTTTAGTATAAATAGTGTAAACAATAATAGTTTGTCTGAGTTGATCTGATTGTCAGTAACCCACACCTGAGATAAATAAATATATTAATATTCTTATAATTTTGTTTTTTATTTAACAGCCTCTTATTTATTTTGAAACTATCCCAACTTCAGAGGTTATATTATTATTATTTGTAAAATATAAGAGGGATGTTACAATATACTGCCATAGATTTAATCGTACTCATATCGATGCCATACATTTTTTTTTTTTTTTTACATTAGAACATGAATATGAGAAAAATTAAGTCTTGAAATGTAAATAGTTAAAACTTACAGAAATTTCTACACCATGATTTAAAGCAATATAATAAAAAATGCAAACGGTTAAAATTGATAAATAACATTTATTTTTGTCTGCGTACATTGTTTTAACTTCTCAAAAGGCACTTCTCAAACAAACTCGCACTTACGACAATATAAATTACCAAATTATATTTGAGATCTGAGCCACATTGATTAACACGTTAGCTGCGGCTACATTTCCATGGTTCCGGTATTCGGATGGGATTGTCTAGAATTTTTCCTATCTTACGAAGTCTCTGAACAGTCATTTTTTAAAAATATTTGAATGGGAGTTAGATAGATGTAAAGATAGACCCAAACATAAATAATCATTATAAAGGAAGGAGATGGTCCGGGATTGCGGTCATAAATAGGCTAAATAGTGGTAAAACTATTTTATTGAAAGCCTGAGTTTGTATCTGGCCGTTATTGGCCCCGTCGTTTTTGAGTCATATTGAATATTTAATAGTTGACCGTTGCATTATAAAGGAAGGAGATGGTCCGGGATTGCGGTCATAAATAGGCTAAATAGTGGCAAAACTATTTTATTGAAACATGGCTTTCAATAAAATAGTTTTACCACTATTTAGCCTATTTATGACCACAATCCCGGACCATCTCCTTCCTTTATAATGCAACGGTCAACTATTAAATATTCAATAAATAATCATTATATATGACATATAGTCATCGGAGGGCGGGGAACGTAACCGTAGCTGACGTGTTAAGGTATGAAAAAACTTTTTTCTCAGTGCGGCATCCATGAATATCAAATAAATGAACAAAACGTAACAGTAACATTGCATTACCTGTATAACTACTTGTAGTTCCTTCTCCAGTAATGCTCTCTTCTTGAGGATTTCTTTCTTCAATGCCTCTTTCTGCCTAAAAAGAAGAACAAGCAGTTTGCACTGTAGTTGCTGTTTTCTTTTATCCTCATGAGATTTACTCCTGCTCTTGTTATTTGGAGTGGTCCTGAAAATGCAGAAATGTATTATTTGAAGATATATGATATATTACTTATTCTGATATGAATATACAATCGGCCTTAAAGAGGTAGAACACAGGTTTGAAATCCTCAACAGGACAACGGCAATATATCTCCCGACTACCTAATAGCAGAAATTTCTGAAATATTAGCTCATTCCTGGCATTGGATCTATCTTTCAAATGGGCCAAACGATACCGTCGATGAGCTTAGTGCTGAGTTTAGAAATTTGCCCACTTGTACATTTTGTAATTATTAGTTTATATTGTTATTTATAAATATTAATTTTATATAGTCAAACTGTTAATAGATATATTATTCTTATGATCAAAATATACCTTTTTCTATCATATGAGTTGTCCATCAAAATATTCCTATTTCTGTTTTTGTTTTTTTTTCTTTTGTGCAATAAATTAATATTTAATTTATAAAAAGTATGTATTTATTTTTGAGTGACAATAATGAACAAATTTATTCTTGAAATTGCCTGGACTTAAATGGGCACTGGCGATATATATAACACCCTATTTTTTGGAGAGAATTTTTTTTTAACTTTGCAAGTGTCATTCCTGATTGCTGGGACCAACATCCATTTTATTAACATAAAAAATTCTCACCCTGAGCTTATAACCTATTAAATAAAAAATAGTAAAAATTAAAAACATGAGAGTAAAAATAAGTGATTTTTTTTTAATGTTAAGAATCAATAACCAGGGGAAATTAAAATAAAAACTTTTTTAAAACATAATAAATAATATATAATGATGTAGAGATGGTTGACTGTGATATAATATGAGAAGGAGTTGGTTGGGGGAGCGGTCAAATAAATACTAAATTTTTAATTATTACGCTGACGTTTCGACCCACCTTGCAGGTCTTTATCAGGGGCAGTTGAATAAGATCTAGTCACTAGATCTGTTTTAACTACCTCATGCAGTGCCACATGCCACGCAATGATTTTAGACCTGCAAGATAGGTCGAAACGTCGGCATAATAATTAAAAATACTATTTTTAAAAAATTTAGTATTTATTTGACCGCACTCTCCGACCAACCCCTTCTCATTTATATTGTAATTGTGGGTTGATGGTTGACTGTAGTGAATAATGAAGAGAAGGATAGTTGGAGCGATCAGTTAAAAATAAAAATAGTAAAAATAAATATTATTATTTATTTTTGCCATTTTTATTTTTGACTGATCACCCCAACTATACTTCTCTCCATAGTTAAATTATAATTGGAAAAGTCAAAACAAATATAAAAATAGACTTACTTAATCTCTTTTTGCTCAACTTTGGTAATTTTCTTTTTGATCGGAGGCTCCGATGAAGGGAGGTCCTGTACAGTATCTTGCTGTTGTATCAAAGGTCGCTTCCTCGGAAGAGTAAGAGAGTTAGATGTAGGAGTCGTTGGAATCCCGACGCCGGTCGTTGTCGTTACCGCAGATGATACTGTAGTAACTCCCGTAGTGTCCTCTTTCATCTGCTTTTCTTGATATCTCTGCAGTTTTATAAGTTTCTCTTCCACCTCTGGGTTTAAATTTTCTTGTTTTAGGGCATTCTTTATGGCTAATTTAAAAAGAAAATTAGACAAAAAGACATTAAGCATATTATTTAAAATAAAAAAAAGGAAAAGAAAGAAAAAAAAATTAATAAAATAAAAATAAATATATACACAAACACAAAACATGTGTATCTGTAGCACAACTCCAACTCTCTGTCAAAAACTGGAAAAACTATTTAGGAAAAAAACAAATGTAGCTCTTATCAAGATTAGACAACTTTGAAAATCGAACTACTGTAAAGGCGGAATATTTGGGGCCGGACAGGACTAGTCTAGTCAAGCCATAGAAAGAGGAGGGGTGGCATTTAAATACATTTTAAGGTACTAATTCACAAGAGTTACGCACGGATTACGCGTGGTTCACAATCACTTCGATCACACTTGTTCATGGAATCCCGAAAACAGCCGAACGTTGTCGTCTTTTATGACGTCAACTATTGCCCCATCATACAATTCTTTTTCATACATTTTTGGAAAAAAAAAAAAAGTATTCCCTTCTTGGAACTTCCATATTAACAATTTATTAACGAATTGTGTATTTAATTAATTAGTTAGTTATTAATTTTTATTATAACGGTTATTACTGTGAAAGAAAAAGGCCTTTTTTTAGAATTGTGCAATTGTCTGTCTAGTTTATATAATTGTTTAGATTTCTAATAATACGAGGATCCACTATTTTCTAGTGGGGGGGGGGACGCTTTGTATGGATATACTGTCTGATTTGAGATTGAGCATCAAGTTTATGTATTTTTTTTTAATTATTAGATATACGGATCCACTATTTGCTAGTCGTCAGAACATTTTATGAATATACTATCGGATTTAAAATTGTTCATCGATGTTTTGTAGATTTTTGGATTTCTTAGATATACGAGTCCACTATTAAGTTGTGAAGGACGCTTTTTATGAAAATAATGTCAGATTATATATATAGAAGTACTTAAATGGCGGGAAAGTTAATAGTAACTGGCCCAAGACATCGGTCGCCTTCGTTTTCTTTCGGATAAACCCAAATGCATTCGGAATTCCATGTACAAGTGATTGTAAACCATGCGTAATCCCTGCGGGACTCTTGTGAACTAGTACCCATTTTAATTTTTAGATAAATAGATATAGATTGTTTAAGTTCATCAATTAATTTTGAGATTACTTAAAAGTTCATTATCAAAAATTTTGTTTTTTAATTATTTTACAACTAATTTTTCAATATTGACAAACGATCTATATTAATTTAATAAAGATGAAGAGTTTGGTTGGATAGACCATTTCTTAAGGATGGTTTTAGGTTTTGTAACATCATGCTACAACTCATAGGAACAGAGCAGTAACCATAAATGCCAGTCAAATAGAAAACGTGTCAGCAGTAATGTATAGAACATAGTTTGCAGCCACTAAACTTAAAAAAGTTTGCTGAGACAAACTTTAAAATCAAATTGGAGTACGTTGGCCGTATTGTATGAGGACATTGTTTTTCCCTGTAGATATCGAAATATAGCATTAACTACATCAGGTTGTGGAGAAAACCAGTATAACCAGAACACTAAAAACATCATTTCAACTGAAATTCAGTATTTTTTTTTTCAAAATAATTTACAACGTAGTGTAAAAAAAAATTCAACTTTTTAAGCTTAAAACCATTAACGTAAAGATATTCCTGCCAAGTCTTTTTTTTTTAGGATTTTTCTGAGGGTGGGGGATTTGTGTTTTTACTTCTCTATCTATACTAGGTAAGGAAAGTATTGCGATCAGGTCAAATTTCTAATGTGTGGTTTTCAATGCATCTATACGTTTCACAGCCGAGATTATCTCAAGAACTAGTTGACCAATTTTGCTGCTACTTTTTTTTGTTTTGTAGGATATTGACTAGTGATGCCTGTGACACAAATTGGGTTCTAGTGGCTCTAAAAATTTTGAATTTTATTTTCTAATTAATGTGCTTTCAATTTGTACTAAATTACCGAGAAAATTCAGAAAAAAAGTTACAAAGAAAAGAAAATTTTTTGGGGGCCTTACTCCCTAAGTATATATATATATATATATATATATATATATATATATATATATATATATATATATATATATATATATATATATATATATTCAAAAGTTTGTATATAAATTTTACCATAGAATATATATATATATATATATATATATATATATATATATATATATATATATATATATATATATATATATATATTCTATGGTAAAATTTATATACAAACTTTTGAAAGGTAATTAAATCACCTATAAAACAAAAACAAAAAAATAATTGGAATCATAGCAGTAGTAGCGAAGATACACCGTATTCTATTTTCTATACATGTTTTAATTCATTACTTTCCTACCTATACCAGGTAAGGAAAGTTTTGCGATCGGGTCAAATTTCTGATGTGCAGTTTTCAAGTTTCATAGCCTTTTGAAACAACTTTTTAGTTGTTTTTGAAAGGTGGTGAAATTCCCCACAAAACTATATAAAAATTGTTTATTTCGGACCACTATTAACGAAGTTACAGCTATTCAATTTCGTATGTAAGATTATGGGATCGAATCCCAGTGCCAGAAAGGGGTAAGAGAGAGAAAGGAAAAAGAAAAGCAAGTGAAATTTAAAAAAAATTGGTGGCGCCATTACACAACTTTCACTATTTTTTTTCTACTTTAACATAAATAATTGTCTGAAAAAATTGGGCTATGGCAAAAAGTGTTTGATTAGCAATATTAGAGTGTTATGAAATTTTATGCTAATCTTCCACAAGCTCGTTTACACTGCTTATTTTATTTTTTCAAAGGAATTGTACTCAAATCTTTTCTTTCATAAATTTTCAAGAAAATAAATGTAATTCAATTTTTTTTTCTTAATGGACTTATTTAAATATATGAAAAATTTTCTCAAATAGGTAGGAAAATCGTCTGAATGGACACACCAGATTTATTTTGCTGGGCCTCCATATAAATTTTAGATGTTATTCGGTTAAGAAGACACAATTGGTCATATGTATGAAACAGGCATGTAAAATCCAAATTAAATACAGGTATTAATTAAGTACTTTAAGGACTAAAAATATAATCAATTTAAATCAGTGTTTTTGATGGTCAAGCTCTTGCCAGAGATATTCGTTATTGAAAAACCCTCAGACTTTTCTCTACATCTCCAGCCTTTTGAAAATAAAACGTAAAAATTTACTTAATTAATACTTGAGTTAATTTTGTTTTTTCATAATTAAAACAAGATTATGAGAGCAGTGGTGATAGCGCATTTTTTTTAGAACAATCTTATCTTCATAGTGTACTTATATTTGTATTAAAAATTAATTAACCTAGAACCTATCTTTGAGCTTATAACAAAAAAATTATAAAAATAAAACCTTAATTAAAGAGGAAGACATTAAATTAAAAACTTGGTAATATTTTATATTTAACGTTAGTCTTCGCCATTATTGGGTTCCAATCTCCGGCATTTGGGCTTACTCCGGTTGACAACGGTGATCTGAATACAATTAACATATTAAGAACTCTGCAATTTAGAGCATGCATATCATATATTACCAATCGAACGGGGCATAAATACCAATCAGGAACCCTAACAACTTATTTTAGTGAAACTTCTTTAGAAATGTAATATTTTAAATATATCTAACAACTGTAAAATATATATTGAGATAAAACTTATTTCAAAATAACTTAATCACATTTACGCATCAGCCAAATAATAAAAATAATTAAAACTTTACATATATATATAGCATACAACTATAACTCTCATGATTATAAATTATACTCATATATAAAATCAATAAACACTCACTTTGTTGGATATAATCAGGAGTGAGAACAAATTTGCCTGAATTTTTGGAGTTAGGTGTCTGATTTGTCTCAAACTGTTGACCGTTAACAATAGATTTTGTCTGAAAAAAAAAAAAAATAGAATAGGTCAAAAAATATGAAATATCAATTTTTATTTTATTTTGAACAGTACTGGTGGTTCCACCAACTAAAATTCTACATCCGATATTATTTTGGTATAAATATGATAGTTTAATGCTTATTAATCGGCTCGACAGGACTTTAAACTGCCGTTGGCCCTCCCAACTGCCTTTTCCCAATCTTGGTCAACAGAGCTAGCCTGCTGGAAGCTCCAACCATCCTCAAGTCCTCAGCCACTGAGTCTTTCCACCTTCCCTTCGCGCTGACTCTATCCGCGACTCCATAATATAATTTTATGGCTACTCTACTATCATCCATACTAATTACGTGTCCCAGCCATTCCAAGCGCTGAATTCGCATGAAATGGGAAGCTCGGAGATCATTGTATAAGTCATAGATCTCTTTGCCCCTTCTCAAACCGTAGGAACCAAAATGATTTGACGGATAAAAAATCAGTCTTTTAAATAACAAATATTATGTATTAGACAAAGTATTTTTTAAACTTGATTAGTCTTTTTTATTTTAGAAAACTAAACTTTTAGTAATTTATTATTTTTTTGCAATTATTTTATTTTCAGAGGAAGTAAAAGTTAATGCTTGACATATAAAGCTCTGATTTTCTCTATTATAAAATGAAGTGAGCTACTGGAGATTCTAACATTAAAAGTAGTTTTTCATACGTCAGATAACGAGACTGTTTACCTATACATTTATCAAGTGTAATATCTACTAGCTTGTTATCCACTGATATCTTATTAGTAAGTTGTCTTATTTTTATTTTACCTTTACTAGATCATTACTTATTCATTTTTTTCTGCGACAACACTCATTTTCTTCATCTGTTAACCTACAGTTATCAAATGTAATCAATCTTTACCAGTTTGTTATCCACTTATTTCTTCTCTTTTATCACAATCTGTTTACTTTTAACTTATACGCTATATTCACCTCTGTTTTCTGTTTTTATTTACACTTATTTTCGATTTTTTTTAGTATCTTTTATATATTTAGTACTTAATATTTTAATTTTACTGTCACCCACTATATCTCTGATGTCATCTTATTATTTCTTTATCAGACAACTGTTTCTATTTAATATCTATTTATAATTCATTTACTTTATTTTCACCATGTACCCCTACAAAGTATTTTAAAAATTTAGTATTTATTTAACCCCCCTCTGACCAACTCTTCAAATTATATCACGGTCAACCATCTCTATACCATTATCAAACAATATAGTTAAATGTTATAATTTAAATATAAGTTTATACAAGTCAAGAATTATTAATATAACTATATGATTCTAAGCAGTCCTAAACAGCAAACAGATAGAAAAAAAAAACTGGTAATTTAAAGAAAATTCAGAAAAGTAAATGTACACAAGTCAACAATAGATCTCAACAAGGATATCATATTAAGAGAATCAGAGGTATCATGTTATGACTAATAAAAAAAGTTTACCGGTGAAATAGGTTCTTCTTTGATGTTGACTGATTTTACTTGCGCTTTGGATTGCTCCGTAGCTGAATCTGCCTTGGGTTGAGCCGGCTGGACTGCGAGGTAGATCTTAGTCGGGCCGAGAACACCTTGGTTACCCCCTTCGGCTTGGGCTGAAATGAGAAAGAAACTTACTCATGTGAAACAAAATAATGGTTTCATGCTATCTATTAATTATATGTAGCGAAATACAGTTTTTAAAGAAACTATTGTAAATGAATAATAAAAGATGGAATTTATGCAATGATACAATTTTGTATAACTTTTATATATTTCGTTATTTAAAAATAATAATAAGGCTTACCAAACCCGAAGATTCGATGCCGATACCATTGATCGATGTCCACATTCTTCCATTCACCAGGGTCTGTCTAAACCCAAACCCGTTAAATCAGCCTTAACACCATCTTCCTACTTTCGCTTGTCTACCCCTCGGACACTTGCCAGTCAGTACAGAGCATATTAACGTTTTAGGAATTCTTTCATTACTAAGCCCAGCGATTTTATTCACCTCAACTTAATCATCTCAATTATATTAACCGGATACAGTTCACGCAATTCAGCATTGAGTAACCGACTAAATTTTCTAGTTCTCGTCCTTTTTCAGTCCAAATATTCTATGCAATACTTTATTTTCAAAAACCTTAAGACTTTGCTCATCCCTTAATGTAAGCGGCCACATTTCACATCCATAAAGAACCGTAGGAAGGATAATGGTTTAGAAAATTCTAATTTTTAAGTTTCGGGACAGGAGGCGAGAACTAAGTAGTTTTGACAAAGAAAAATAACAAGTATTTCTTGCCTTAAACCTAACCTTCATATCCTCTTCTATTTCAATTTTTCTAGTTATCTTAGACTCTAGATACCTAAAATTCTGTACGTGTTCAAACACATTCCCTTCTATATCAATATCATCAAAATTGTCGCTGTTTTTGCAGCTAACCATATATTTTGTCTTATCCTTATTTATCTGGAGATCTAGTTCTTTACAGGCTTTCATTAACGTTGTCATATTTAGTTTTATAGTTTCCGTGTCTTCGCTTAACAGAACCAGATCATCCCTTGTTGTCCCACGCAGATCCAACCCTTTTTCAGTGCGTATTCTAATGGCATGTTCTAATGCCAAATTAAATAGGACACGTGAAAGAGAATCACCTAGTTTTTGAAAGAGAAGCCCGAACGAACTTCAGATTTCTCGGATAAACAATAACCGATTTTAACTTTATTGAGTGTTTCCATCAAGCACATCCTAACTAGATTCACTAATTTTTTTGCGATCCCTTGCTCCATTAGAATATTATTCAGCTTCTGGCGGTCAATTGAATCGTAAGCCATTCTGTTATATAATACATACATTTTTTTTTCTTTATAGGATCAAGTTCAATAACACGTTAAGAAATTCATGTTTATTTCCATCTTTTGGAATCAATAAAACAACTTGTATATTGATGACATATCCAATTCAAGCGATTAGACGATATTGGTAAGAAAAATTTACCCATTAAGTGAACGTTTTGTGAAAGTACATTCTACACTCTTAAGTAATATATGAGTGGCTTCATATCGAATATGGAAATGTGACATTTTCAGAAGGTGAAAAAAAAAGTCAATTTCTGTTTTATAGGTTCATCTTAAACTGTTTCTGATGATTTTTTTAATTGAAAGAATCATTAGAATTGGTTTAAATTTTAACTATGTTACAGAAAATCGGCAACAGTTACAATTTTTTAAAAATGACAGATGTCTTTGATATGAGGACACTCATATGCATAATAAACATATTGTCATTATTTCGTAAGTGTTTATTAAAACTAGCTGTACCCGGCCACGCGTTGCTGTGGCTCATTCTGGTTAAATAAAAAAAGAAGTAGAAAATAAATCAGATGTTCGTAATATATTTTATGTAATAATCTTTGTGAATATGCGATATTCTTTGTTGTTCCAACAAAAATTGTGTACTTTTTGAGTTATTCACAAATATAGTTTTGAGCCCATTATAACTTTTTTTAATACTCTTTTTGGGAAAGCATGCTATATACATTAATTCAAAGGGCTTCGAGGAGAAGACTTTAGCCATTTAATTAAAATCGTTACAGCCGTTTAGGTGCTACAGTCTACAGCGAAAATGGTTTTTGGGCCGCCTTTCCGAAACGAAAGAATGGAGGGTGATTAAATGTAAATAAAAACACTCCTGAATGCGATAGAAACATTATCTCAATATTTCAAAGCAATCAGTGAAGAAGTTTTAGAGATTAGCGGTTTTAAACAAAGGAACATTTACGTTTTTATTAATATAGATTGATTATTTTTAACACTTATCTTTAAATAATAATTAGTTACTAAGTTTCATCATACTTCAAGGCCATCATTGTTATTATTACAAATGTTTATGGGAAAGATTAATAAGGTCTTCATATTATTTTTTTAAACTACTCTTTATCACCTTAATATTTCAGGTTTTTGTTGGTGCGCAACTGGAATAGAGATGCATGGCGGTTGCTATTGGAAGAAGATAACTCATAATTAAATAATTTTCTTTCCATATTACTGTGAATGTTGCGCACATTATTATATATTTTTTCTCATTATTTATTTAACTATTGTGGTTCCTCATACAAATCTATCATGCCTTATTATTACGAACATATCACCCTTCACAAAACTCTCTCAAAATCCAAATCAAGTAGAAAAGTCCAAATAAGGATCATCCACTAATACGGTCTCTCAATTATTCTTATAGCAAAAATATTTAAACTTTACTATAATCAAATACCTTTTAACAATTGCTGTTTCACTTGCTGCTGAATAACCGCAAGTTGTTGTTGTGAAAAATTGGAACCAGTCAAACCTTGGAGAACAATCCGTGGGCCCTGAGGCGTCTGGATGACTTGAGCAGTAATACATTTTATGATTGTTCCAGGCGGTTGACCAGCCAACAGGGCACTCTCCTACAATATACAATCAAACATTACGATGCTATTTTATTTTTAATAAATTTTGAACAGTATATATTTAATTTTTTTATTTCACATTTTTAATATCGGCAGCCACACTGCAAAAGCCTGTAAGTAAAATTTTATTGGAAAGTGCAAGTTTAAGCTATTCAGATAAATCTTGGCTTCCTGAATATTCAAAAATACAAAGTAAAAACATAATTTGAAAGACTCCATCTTAGTCTTAAGCATACTATAACAATTGTACAGATAATCTAGTTTATTGTAAATTCAGAGAAAAGTTAAACGGAAAGAAAATTATGATAAAATAATTTATGAATTTAATAAAAAATAAGTCAATTAAAATAATATCTGACTAATTATGGTATGCTTAAAACAACAGTAATTCTTAGAATATATGTCATTTTAACAAAATATTGATGAAACATTAACTTTATGTTAGAATTTTTTTTTAAATACAAACACTTCATTTTATTTTCGATATTTTTACTTTCACATATATGAAATATGTAGTTAAGGAAAGTATTGCGATCGTGAACATTTTTGAATCTCAGTTTTTAAACGGAAATACACGTTTTGAAGTCTCCAGAGTCCAAATAACAAAGTCCTTCAAAATGGTCTGTGTTTGTGTGTTAACAGTCTAGCTCAAAAACGAAACGTCGTATGAAACTTAAATTGCATATTTAAGGTTTTTATATGTCTGGGATGTTATTGCAATGTTTTCATCAAAATCGGCTAACCAGAAATGGCACTTTACACCACCGATGTAACACATTTTTTTAATTTTCTCAAAAACAGCTTGAACAATTTTGATTAAATTCATTATATCAGTTTAAAATTAAGCAGTTTTTAATATTATGTAGGTTTTATTCTCATTGATGTTCTCCAACAGGCCTTAAACGGCTAATTCTCAATATTAGTTTCCCCTAAAGTACCTTTAATTTGAAACAATTAACCATTTCATTCACATTGATCTCTGATTTAAAAAATAGTTAAATATAAAATATGAAAGAATTCGATAATAAACTAAAGGAGAAATAAGAGATCGTAACAGAGGATAGTTGTAATGAAGGAACCAAATATGTAACATGAGCATAATATAATACGGACTCTGATAATATTATAGCGATATAAATATTAAAATTTGTATATATAAGGATGCTTTAACAAATAAAAGTAGCTACAATGAAATATAAATCAATATAGCATCTATAATTTTTACTTTCACTCCCCTGAGTCTGAAAATACTTATTTCTGCTAAGAGGGTGATAAGTGAAAGTTGTGTGATGCGTGCACAGCACCAGATCATTTTTTTCACTTCGATTTTCCATTGAACCATTGAAATAGCTGGTTCATTTTAGTTTATGAATATTACTCATAATTCCTTTGGTATTTTTGTAAAGTTTCGAAGTTCTCCCAAATCATCAGGAATTTACTTTTTATTATTTGAAACTTGACGGACTAACCTGTTCTTCAGACATGTTCTTCCTTATCGGAGGAGGAGCAGCCTGATCAGCAGGAGTCGGAGTTGCAGCAGATTCGGTCTGCTGTCCGGCTTCATCTCCAGCCTTGACAGGAGTCCCGACTCCTCCAGTCTGGGATAAAAATAATATTACTTAAGTTATAACATATAATAATTATGTTCTCCAGTTTATAACAATACATTCAAATCTATCTAATATTAGTGATTCTAAAGAATGTGTAAAATTAAAGAAAGATGAAGAAAGAATCATGTTTTTCACTTAGTACATATTCTAGATGGTTTAAGAAATCAAACTTATGTATTAACTAGCTGATGTAGTAGACACATCGTTGACCAGTGTATTGTAACATTGAGTCACCTATATCCATGAAAAATTAGAACTTGATCTGAATATTGAGGCAGGTAGGGTAAAATTTTGTAGGAGTTTTTTTTTCCAATTTCCGGCTAACCCGTTTGGTTAATCCTAAAAATGTATACAACATTTGTTAGGCTCGGAAAGTTGAAACGAATGACACCTTGAACGGGAAGATCGGACAAAGTTGAAAAATTGGGATTTGGGATTTCTGATTTTTCCCATTGAGTGGTGATAATTTTTTTCCATCAGTTGAATAGTACAACTTTTAAATGTGGCTCGCGGTAGAGTAGGTTAGAATGAGAATCAAAGTAACTGCCTAACCAGGATCTCTAGACAAATTACTCAAGAATTCATAACTTTGGTTCTACTCAATATTTTGTTTTCATTCAAAGCATATGTTTTAAGTGAAGCAAACCTAAATATAATATGTCAAAAGTGTACCACTAGCCATAGCTGAGCTTAAACCTGAAAAAAATTTCGTTGGACAATGCGGACATAAAGACAGACAAAAAATATTTTAAAAGTGGATTTGGTGTCTGTAATGTATGAAACGGAAAGATATCATGATTCTATTCAATGTACAGACAAAACCTTTATTTTATTTATATAGATACTGGAACATTGATAACCACACAACTGCGTTCAATAAAAAATATATCTAATTAAATATGCTATATCATTGCTAGCATTGGTTTGATTTCAATGATTTAATTCTTTTATGTAAATGTGGACCTGGACTATTCTCGCAGAAGGCGCAGCAGTAGAGGTGACTAGAGCTTGACCAGGCGTCGGAGACTTGATGAGGAGGTTTCCTGGTCCAGTTCTGATCAGAACTTGCTGCCCGTTCAGAGTTGCGAGGGTAGCTTTACCTGATGCCAGCTGCTGAGCCAAATTCGCATTATTCACAACTATTTGATTATTAACAACCTGAAAATAAGTATTCAATAAATTAGTTGTTGATCAATCAGTAATGTTAAACAAAAGATTAATTAATCAAGATAATTCTTAAGTAAGATGATTAAGACACCAGTTATTGCTAAGAAGTAATAGATTTAAGAAAACTTCATAATTAATTATTTCACGATACTTTTTTCCCTTTGATTTCAATAAAAAAAAACTTTTTAACAAATAGCTCAAAAATTGATAGAAATCCTCTAACTATATAAAACATTGATTTCAATAATATATTAATAAAAAACTATTAATTATTTTGATTAAGAATACACATTTTATAGTGGCTGGGTGGCCCCATGGCCAATGAAATAGAATAAATAATTTTTCTGCCATAAGGCGGGATTCGAACCTGAGACCTTTAGAATTGAAAGCTCAGTACAGACAAAGGGGAAGTGAAATTAAAAATTATAGATGATATATTTATTTACATTTTATTGTGAGAATTTTTATTAGTTCAATTACCCTTATTTATACAAATTTTAATTTTTATATTGAAATGAAAATATATTTCATTATTCTGGGACTGTTGTCCCTTTAGAACAAATTATAAGTTCTAAATACATGTATAAGTGGTCATGAATAGAGTAAATATATACAATATTGGTTATTTAAAAGTAAAAATACAGACGGAGAGAAAAATTAGTATTGAAAAATATTGCTGTAATCTATACAATTAAATATTAAATGATACCAACAATCACTAATGGATCCAGTATTTAATTTTGGGGAGGGAGGGGGCGTTTCAGCCCGGAAGATTTTTTTTGTATGTATATATTAGCATAATTACGTCAGAAGCAAGAAAGAAATTAACTACCTATATGAAATGGTCTTTAATTGATTCTTTAAATCTTATTAAATATAATTAGACGAACAATAATACTTTTAGAGATAATTTTTACACATGGTTATATTTTACCATTATGGAGGGGGAGGCTTCAGCCCGAAAGGAATACTAAAGATTAAGGGAAAAAAAATTTACATTTAACTTAGAGCCGCATGAGTTCACCCTTGATTATCCTTCGCACAACTAACTATGATCAAACTATAACTGTTAAGAAACTACATTACAGAAATAAAATGCTGTTAAGTACCTTTAAGAACACATATCCCCACCTCTTTCCCTAATGTTAAAATATTTGAAGACAACCAAGTACCTACAAAAACTAAACCCAAATCTAACATATATAGAATTATTGTAACTGAAATCATAAACAGGCAAACACAAAACGGTTCAGCATCTTTTTCTCATCCATTATTCAACTGATTTTCTTCCTTCCTATTTTGTTTAATAGCTAGTTTTATCAATAAATAAAAATATGAAAGTATATATAAATGATAATTTGTTCAAAACAGCTAATCTTTGAAAGTTTGAAATTTTGTATGCATTTCATTATTATCAGGCCTTTACTTAAAATGGTAGCCGAAAAATGCTTTAGACTGTAGTGCCAAAACTGCTGCAACGATTTTAATGAAACTTGACTAAAGTCTTCCCCTTGAAACCTTTCTAATTTATGTATATAAAATGCTTTCCCGAAAATAAGCTACATAAATTTTCACAATGAATTCAGAATTTTATTTGCGAATAATACAAAAAGTACACAATTTTTTTTATTGATAATACAAATATTTATTTGAAAGCTTTCTGAAATTCCTACAAAATGAAAAAAAAAAAAAATCATTGAAATCAGACTATTGGGTGCAGGGATATATCGTTTTAAACATTAAGTACTGTTTCTTTTGCAAAGATTTTCTTTATTTTGGTTTTTGATAAATCGAAAACTTTACATTTATTGAGGTAATTGCGACTATTATTTGAAAAGATGATATCATTGAATGTTAATGGAATGTCACCTCATAAATTAAAGTTAAAAGTAAATTCTATAGTCATGCTCATTCTTAAATACTACACAAGCACTAATGTTAGTTAATGGAACACTAATGAGAGTGAAGTACTAACGGGAGCTGTTGTAAATAAAAGAATTTTAATTCCAAGAATTAATTTAACATTTTCTGAGACTATATTTCAAATAGAATTTCAAAGAACACAGTTCCCAGTAATAGCTGCATTTGATATGACCATAAACAAATCGCAGGATCAAACTTTATGAAAAAATTTGAGTATTATTGCGATGTCCAGTATTTTCACATGAACAATTATATGTGGCAGCACATTATAAGTAGAGCACGTTCGTTTAAAATTTTGAAATTTATATTCCCAATGGCAATGGGTAAGGCTACTTACTGAATAATAACAGAACAATCACAAACACTAGCGGATCCAGGATTTAATTTTGGGGGGGGCTTCAGCCTGGAAGCTGTTTTTTCCATATATATAACGATAATTACATTGGAAAAACAGAAAGATACTAACTACCCATATGAAACGGTGTTTAAGTGATTCTTAAAGTCCTATTAAATGTAATTAAACGAGCAATAATACTTTAAGACATAATTTTTTAATATTTTTTACCATAAAACATGGTTACATTTTACCATTTTGGAGGGGGGGCTTCGGCCCGAAAGCCCCCCTCCGTAAATCCGCCTGTGGTCACAAAGAACATTGTTTATAGAGAAGTTATACATAAAAATTGTGATAATAACATACATAAAGTAAAATAGAAATCAAATAGTTTTGAATGAGTCTATTTTGTATTACTTATATGTAATTTTAAGTAGTTTAAGACAGATTTTTAATTGAAATTGAAATTTTGTGTATATTAATAAATGAGGATTTTTAAATTGTGATTTACTTCTTTTTTATTGAATTTTTAAAAATTTTATTATATGTTTTCCTCAAAATTTTAATGATTGTAGTAGAATTTTGATTACTGACTGTACACCAGTAACATTAAATTTTCTTAGAATTGACATTTGAAGAGAAGTTTACAAACAACTTTCAACTGAGGAAAAATTAAAACTATATAAGAAAAAAATAAACTGATTTAAGATAAATGTAAAACTTGATAAGATATAATCTACGCACCTGCGCATTATTAGCTGGTACAACTATCTGTCCCGAAGAGAGAACTTGACCTCCTGACACGACAACGGTATTTCCACTGTTCACTTTTTGAACAACGGGAGAGTTAACCTGTTTAATCACAACCTGTAAATATGAGATATTACTTACTTTAGTTTTTCATTAACGAGTTAAAATTTGTCTATAAGATCTAAAAAGGACCTCTGCAATTTTTTAGTTGTTGTTAACGACTAAAACTAAGTTTATTTATTAATTTTTATAAGAAGATGAAATGACCTCTCACAATCTCTTAAAGAGTATAAGTTTTCTTAAACAGATCAGCAAATCAAAATGAGAATTCCCAATTTAAATGTTTATCCATTATTACTAATAAACTTGAGAACACAATTATCAGTAAAATAAACATATTTTTAGAAAAATCCAAAAGAAAGTAGACATTTTTTAAATTTTATGCTACAGAATTCTAATTATTCTTTAATTGACTATTAATAAAACTTAAAAAAATAAAAAATAATAATAACAAATTTCCTCATTTTTGTGATGCAAAACTTTCAGAAAATCTAAAATAATTAAACCTAACCTATAAACTTAATGACCAAGATCACTAAGGCATTATAGAAACAATTATTTACTGATAATTGCATTAAAAAACTTAATCCCTCATAAGTGTAATTTTGAAGAGTAAAAAATATTAAATGACTAATAAAAAAACAAATAAAATTTCTGAGTATTGATCACATATAAGGTTATCAAAAAAACAAAACAAAACAAAAAAAATTATATTTCGTCATAGTAACAATCATAACCTGCTTATTCGTAGCCACTTTGCTATTAATTGGAGTTTTCACAACAGCTTGTTGAGACGTAGAGGTAGTAGCGACAGTGGAAGCAGTTGAAACAGCATTAGAGACTGGAGTAGAAGCCGTATGTAGAACGTGCAGCTTACCGTCCGGCATCTGCACCAGCTGCTGGCCTAATAAATATAAAATAAATTTTTAAAATTTAAATCATCAGCAGGAAATTTTAATTTTAAAAAGTAGCTAGTCACAAAGAAAAAAAAAAAAAACGCAAATGAAGTAATGATAATATAATAAAACACTTTATTTATTCTGGGACAAGTCCTTACAGGATAATATACAAAGAAAGAAATGGAGGCTTTGGAGTCACATAAATGTATAAAAGAATCACGAAATAAATAAATAGATATAATAATAAAATTATATAAGTTATCTTCTAGCTTTAACCATTGAAGAGAGAAAAAATAAAAGAAACATGAAATAAAAGTAATTAAAAACAAACTAAATAATTAATATACCTATTTACAATTTTACGGGGACTGGATGAACAGGGAAGATTTAAAGGTGGGGAGGGTATTTGAGCGATGGATGTAGGAACGAATAATGAGTCAGGATCGAATAATGAATGATCTGTCGGAGGGCAGGGTGGCCAAACGGGCCATTGTGTGTGCACAGCACCGCACGTTGCCTGGCAACCTGATAACCAAAGTTTGGAGAAAATAAAATTACGAGTCCGCGTCCCTGTGCCTGGGGGTCTTTTAAATTTCCTGGCCCAGAGAAAAAAAAAGGATCTGTCGAAAGCAGTGGTTTGTTGGGCCGCTGTATATAAAACCGAAGACTGGGAACAGATCTTGCAGGAGTGAACTGAGGATTTGAATTGAAGGAACTCGGAGATGCGTGAAAGATGGCGAGATTGGATGACTTGGAAGAGGAAGGATGTCAGGAAATACTTATGACGATAGGAAGGACAAAGCCAATTAAACCTTTCATAAAAACGGGAGAAATAAGTATCCCTTGGATCCCAAAGATGAATCGTACAAAACAATTTAATAGTATTGTAATATACACCTTTATTGGAAGTGGGTAAAATGATTTAATAAATTAGTGTTGAACAATTAAAAGGCAAGCTAATCTAGTTCTACTAGTGCAGGGAAAAGAAAATGGCTGCTCTGTAGTTTCCCAAGAAGGAAAATCCCAAAGAGAAGAGGGACAAAGGTTTTTGTTTTGGTAACAGTTGGTGTTTGCCTGGGGTGAAGAGGGGATAGAAGAAGGGACCTGGCTCCAGTGGGTAAAACTCACTAATAGTGTTAACAATTTGGAAGTTGTGTTTGGCAGAACATCGGAAAGTGTTTGAAGGCAAATAAATTCAGTGCAACAAAGGAAGAAACATTGTATATAGAAAAAAGGTTAGCTTGCCAATCCATACTTCACTTTATTTTAAAATTATTGCTAAATTTTAGTATAAATAATAATAGTTTGTCTGAGATGATCAGATTGTCAGTAAACCAAAGTTCTGCCAAACACAACTTCCACACCTCAGATAAATAAATATATTATTACTCTTATAATTTTGTTTATTATTTAATAATTTCTTATTTATTTAGAAAGTATCCCAATGGTAAAAAGTGAGCTTCTGAGGTTATATTATTATTATTTGTAAAATATAAGAGGGATTCTAAATTCCGCCTACTCGTGTAAACTGCTTGAAAGTATGACATTTGCTTTCATGGTAGTACTGTCACATTCTCAGTTTTTTCTTAATTATTGACAGTACTTTCTATGGTGACTAAAGTTATTATCATATTAAACTATCTAATCTTAATTTAACTGTCTCATCTTATTCAACCAATGGGTATTTTCATAATGTATGCAACTTTACATACAGTCAATATAGTTTCAGTTTTTTTTTTTAGTTTCTTTACTTTATTTGCTCCTGTAACTTCTTTCTGTTCCATAAACGCAAATGGAACATTAAAGGAAAACAATTTGAGAATATGGAGGTCTGAAGGAAGTCAGGAATCCCAATAAGAGAATTTAAAAAGAGTTTTGAACAACTGCAGAAACGATTAGGCAAGCTCATTAAAGTAAATGGAAATTAAGGTATGACGAAATCCTTTCCCTTTTTAACCTCTCTCATACTATCACTACATAAATTCTTACTGAGTAAAAGAGTCTTAAATTTCTTTGAATATAAGCCCACCAATATTTCCTCTTTAGAATTAAATGAAGCTAAACATATTCTCTAAATTCTTTGTTTTGGTTTTTACCTGGCATCAATCCCTTGACCTGGAGTTTACCATCTGGGCCTTTAGATATCTGAACTCGTTGCTGCGTTGGCACTGAAAAAGAAATACCTTCATATATATAAAAAGTTTTTTACAGGCATTAATTATTAATGCAATTTTTTATTTATTCGCTAAGCAGCATTTTAGTTCTTGTGGAATGATGTTCTATTACTGTAATGTATACTATAAGGTGTTTTTCAATATATATATTTTAATTTTGATGTCTTTTAAAAGTAAAATAAAAAGAACTAAATATTTAAACTTTGAAATAGAAATAGTAACATAAATAGAAATTAATTTATAAATTTCACTGACCAGTTGAAGGAAGTTTAATGAGGGATTGCTGAGTAGTCTGGACCTGAGTCGTCGCTCCCTTCGGAAGAATACTGGTAGGTCCGGTAACGACTCTAGTAGTGCCATCTACATCTGTTTTTGGATTAAAAAAAAAAAATAGTTAATTGGTTGAATTTAAAAATAATTCAATAGTTTATAATACACTAGCTGATATACCCGTCGTTGACGGGTGTATTGTTAAAATTTGAGATTCTTTTTCTGAGATGGATTTTCTATTATGAGGGAAGGAGGGTCCAAATTGAATTTCATAAAATTGGATCGGGTGGGAGGAGGGGGGTTGTTTTGAATTTTTTTATGGCAGGACTTATGGAAGTCATGGCTTCGCAATAGTCATAACAAAAACTTTGTTATTCGGATATTTGTTAAGGTACCACACAACTAACCGACCACCAGCGATCCATTAAAATTTTTTAAGTGTTTAATTTTCATTTATGATGAAGTGAGGAGGGACGGGGTGAAATTTTTGGGATTTTTTTTCCTTAGCCTCCTATATATATATATATATATATATATATATATATATATATATATATATATATATATATATATATATATACATATATATATATATATATATATACATATATATATATATATATATATATATATATATATATATATATATATATAAGTTGGCCCAGGCACTAATTCGATTTATATATATATATATATATATATATATATATATATATATATATATAGCCTAAATTTTTAACAAAGGGATAGAAGGTGATGGGGTGGTTGTTTAGATAGAGTGAGGGAAAGTTGGTGTGGTATCTAAGAAGGGGCTTGGAACCAATGAGAATGGCCTGAGTTTTGGCAGCATTTAGCCTTAATCTATTTAAGTTGGCCCAGGCACTAATTCGATTTATATATATATATATATATATATATATATATATATATATATATAAATCGAATTAGTGCCTGGGCCAACTTATATATATATATATATATATATATATATATATATATATATAAATCGAATTAGTGCCTGGGCCAACTTAAATAGATTAAGGCTAAATGCTGCCAAAACTCAGGCCATTCTCATTGGTTCCAAGCCCCTTCTTAGATACCACACCAACTTTCCCTCACTCTATCTAAACAACCACCCCATCACCTTCTATCCCTTTGTTAAAAATTTAGGCTTTCTCATAGATCAAACCCTTTCCTGGAATCACCATATCTCTCATATATCCCGCCGTGCAATTTCTACCCTCAAACTATTCCATCACTTCCGCCATCTTCTACCCCAAAATACCCGTAGACTCATAGTTTCCTCTCTCATCTTTCCCCACTTTGACTACAGCTGTGTGGTGTACGATGGCCTCTCGGTGGAACTGCGTGATAGACTCAAAAGACTTATGAATTGCTTCGTAAGATTTGTAATTGGAACCCCGAGACGCTCCCGTGTCTCCCACCACTACACTGAGTTAGGGTGGCTCTTCCCCTCCTTAAGAAGACAATATTTCCTTGGCACTTTCCTTTATCAAATCATTACCGATCATCGTCCTTCTTATGCCTACAACCTTCTCCAATTTAAGTCCTCAATCCATTCACTCACTACAAGATCCCGACCCTCTGACCTATACATCCCTTCTCATAGATCTGCCTCATTCCAAAATTCCTTTATAGCCCGCTCTGTCAACTTTTGGAATTCCCTCCCGATCAAAATTCGACATGCCCCTTCCCTGTATACATTCAAAAACCTCCTATTCCAATTCCTGTTCCAAAAACAGTCTGATACCAGCTAACTATTGATATTATATATGTATTGTGTAGCAATCATATAATCATAACACTTGGTAAGAGATAGTACATGCATTTCCTACTATCGACGTAGGAATTTCAATACATACATTTTTTTTTTTTTTTTTTTTATTCAATTATAAGTAACTGTTTATTTTTATATATATATTCAAGTAAAGTTTTTTTTTTTTTTTTTTTATGAAATGAACTCATTGTATCTCTTTTTCGTTCTTCATTTCTCAAAGTGTATGTTTATGTTGTGCAACCCTTAAATATAATTTTGTTCATAGTTCAAGTGATTCGTTCATAGTTTTAATTGTTTTGTTCATAATTTTAAATGCTCTGTACATAGTTTTATCTGTTTGTATATAGCTTGTGCACCTAAGGTTTTCTTTACTTTTTATTTTATTTTATCAATTTTATTTATTGTTTCAACGTTCAGGCCAGTAATATTCTATTATTTTGTACATTATTGTTATTCTGAAGGGACTTAGTCCCAGAATAAAGTTTTTTTTTCTATCTATCTATCTATCTATCTATCTATCTATCTATATATATATATATATATATATATATATATATATATATATATATATATATACTGACTTTTATATATATACTGACCTTATATATATATATATAAGGAGGCTAAGGAAAAAAAATCCCAAAAATTTCACCCCGCCCGCCAGAATATTCAGATCAAGTTCTAATTTTACACGGATCTAGGTGACTCAATGTCCAAATGTTATTTTGTCTGTGATAAACTCAGCAGAGTTTAAAGAAGTTAAATATATATATAAAGAATATGTGTATATATATATATATATATATATATATATAATATATATATATATATATATATATATATATATATATATATATATATACACATAGTTGTGTAACAGTTTTCGGTTTTTATCTGAACTGTTCACACACAAAGACCATTTTGCAGGACTTGGTTTTTTGAACTTAGGGAACCTCAAAACATGTATTTCCATTAAAAACTCAGATTAAAAAATTTTCACGATAGTGATACTTTCCCTCAATATATATTATACATAGGTAAAAGAAAGTAATAATAAATTAAAATACTTACTCTTCGTCATTATTATCCGCCGAGTTCCAAATGTCTTGTTAACACCGCCTGCGGTTGTGCTCGTCAACAAAGAGGTAAGTGTACTCTTAGCAGTTGTTGCAGGTGAAGGAGGGATAGCGACCTTCGTAACTACTTTATAAGTTTCAACTCCACCTATACAAATTTATAAAGTTCTAATTAATTAGAATTGTAATGCAACAATTTATTTACTTTCTCAGTTCAATTAAGAACTGTTAACTTAGGATAATATGTTAAGATATTAAAACATTGGAATTTTACTAATACAAGCTGAGACAATTATTACCACTCGAATTCGGGACCAATTTGATTACATGCTGAGTTGGTTTTGCATCTGCAGCATTCGAAGCAGCTGCGGCTTGATTCTTCCGCTGTTGGTGAGCCGCTCGCTGCATTTTCAGTTGGGCTTCTAATTTTTCTTTCATATCCTCGACATTGACTTTAGGCTCCTTATCTTTGGGAAGGTTTCCGGTAGCACTTCGTGTACGAGCCATAGTTTGTTGAACAGCAGCTCTTTCCAACCTAAAACAGAAGTTTAAAACATTTCAAATAATATCTAATTACATAAGATGCAACAGAACTTATTATTAACAAATAGCATGAAAAAAAATTGTAAACCACAAAAATGCAAGAACTGTGCAATGTAAAAAATTCAAACTTTGGTAGCCTGAACAATTCAATAATCCATATTGACCAAATGAAAAAACAAATGGATTGACAATTTTACAAATCTTTATTTACTTTCAAAAATAATTAAATTTAAGTTCAAAGTTCATTAATAATAAATACATCATTGAAAATCTATTTTAATTGTTATTTATTTTTGCTTGTCTAAATCAGGAGTCTCCAGACTTTTTGATCCGTAGCCTACATTGAAACCTCCACAAAATGAAAGCCCACTGCTTGGGATGAAAAAAAAGAAGTTTATTCTATAAATGACAATCGAATTGTGAAATGATCTTTCAAAGAAAAACAATTCATGCAATAAAAATTGTACGAACTTCGTGTTTGAGTGATTTACTAAATTTCATATTTTTGTAAACTTTATGATGTGATAAAGCTAACTAATTAATTGATCAAGGAAAATTAAAATTTTAAAAATACCTTAACAGGACTTTAATAGTTTAAAAATATTTTTTTATTGTTATAATAGTTTTTTTCTCTCAAGATGTTTCATATAATGTTTCATCAAATCTGTACAGCTCTTAAAATCATCAAAAAATCTAATACTTTATATTACTACCCATTCATTAATTAAAGAAATAATGTTTTACTAATACATAAAAATAAAAACGTCTGGCAAGTAAAGTCAGTATACCTTCCTCACCGTTTTCAATGATTCTATATCTGAAGGTCTATAATTTTTCGTATGAGAATAAAATCTCTGAGAGAAGCCGTTTTCGGAAACACAGTAATCGCTGAACATTCGAGGGTTTCATATCAACAAATTTTGTTTATCAGCGAATATTACAATGTGGAAGAGTTTCACGTTTCCAGATAGCGTATTTGATGATTCGTGATTAAAAAAAAAATCCCAGTACATACTGAACATTATGATTTATTAGTATAATTTCATATTTTATTGCCCTTTGCTATTTTCCATAGTAGCAGAATACTTATATCGGTTGCAGATAACTAAATTTCGCCTTTAGCACAAACACAATAAAAATTGAAAAGTTATACACACGACTCTTAGCACTAACAGTTGGGATTACTTAATAGATACGTTTTCAATTGTAAAATAGATGGATCCAAAAATCCATTGGAAAAATTTGAACTTTTTGTTCGTTCGGAATTAACGAGACCAATATTTTTCTTCAGTCAGAATAAAACCAATTTAAGCTGGAATATAAAAATATGAGTGAAATTTATATAACTTTGATGTTTAAGGAGGAAATCGAGACCATGACGAGCTGGTTAAACTTCAATAGAAATAAACACAATTACAAATAAATCTTTATCTATCTCAAAGTATCAATTAATTTTTTGAATAAAACCTTATTCAATTTTATAACTCCATAACAATGTTGTATTAATCTAACCCTTACCCTATTAGACATGATCAATGCCTTCCACATTTCACCGCCATTATTATGTTGTTAAAAATTATTTATATTAGTTTAGAATTATTAAATGGAATTCAATGAAATTCTTACAATGGAATTTCTATAGTATTCTCTAAATGTCCTCCAAGTTAGAGTCAAATTGAATGAGCTGTTTTCAGACTATAAAACTCTTGTACGAATATAATGCTTCCCTACCTTCGGTAGTGAGGAAGCAATATACTAACACTACATACATAAGCATAAGTTTTTTTTTCATATTATATTACCTCTCGCCATATAACTTGATTTCCCAAAGTTCTAGTTTGGATTCATCGACCCATTCTTCAGATACTTGAGGTTCTGTATTCTGCGGAGCCTCTTCCCTTTTCCTCTTCCGCAGGCCTGTCCTTATGGATTGCACTTCTAAAAATATAAGAAAAAAACGTTTTTTAAAAGGTTTTAACTAACAAACAAATACATCAATATTTGTGATTATAAGAGCAATATCTAACATTTGACGTGATACATCACACAACTTTCACTTACCATCCAGCTTTCAAGAGAAATTAATTTTTTTAAATCTTAGAAAATTTAATTATGACAATTCATATACTATATATTTTTGGTTTATCAAGCTATGTATATTCCTTTTAGTTTCTAAGAAAATGTTAATTCCTCATTCAATAACATAAAAAAATATGTTATATACTATAATAGTTAAAAGTCTATACCTGTATATCACACTCTATTATCTTCTATGAACTTAAATGATAGATTGAAATGAAAAATAATTTTATTCTGGGACCTTAGATTAATTTACCTTAGATTAATAGTAGAGTTTAAAAAATATGTACATTAGTCTGGCATGTATCATACAAATATATACAAAAAATACCAAGGAAATTGTAAGCATAATATATATATATATATATATATATATATATATATATATATATATATACACAGATCCAAAGATACTAAGGAAAATACAACTATATGAAAAAAAAAAAAAATACAAAGGAAAATATAAATATCTACAAAACATACTAAAGATAAACACTGATATATACAATAAAATACTGAGATATTAAAAATTAATAAATAAAAATAAAATGACTTAAATCAATTAACTGCTGGTGATCAACGTAATTATATAACCCAAAAACTTTTACAAGCATGCGGAAGTTTGAATTTGTAGTAGGTGGTGGAATAGAAGTTGTTTGAAGGAGCTTATGAACGTGGTTTGATGTATGGAGGTGGGTAAGCAGTCCCATAAGGAGGTAGCACGAATGATGAAGGATTTACTGAAGGAAGTGATTTTATGGGAGGGAATATATAAATCTATAGGTTGAGATCTGGTATTGAGAGAGTGGATAAAGGAGCGTAAAGTAAGGAGTTCTAAGATGTAGGGAGGGTTTTCGCTTCTGAGAACTTAAAAAAGAAAAACACCAAGAAACAATTGCCGTCGTGAAGTAGGATATAGCCACTTCAACTCGGTTTACCAACAAGAAATATGATTGAGGAAGGAGATAGTCCGGGGTGGCAGTCATAGAAAGACTAAAATAGTGAAAAAACTATTTTATTTCGCTCCATTTCAACCAAAACTCCATAAAGCTTGCAAAGTCGGGTCGAAACGTTGGCTTGAAATAAAACAGCGTTTTTCACTATTTTAATCTTTTTATGACCGCCACCCCGGACCATCTCCTTCTTCAATTATATACAATGGTAAGTATTTAAATACGTTAGATATTTATAAAAAAATATAAATCATAAATATATCTGTCAAGAAAAAAAACAACCTACCTCTTACTGTTTTAGGAACTTCTAATGGGATCACAACCTTACGAAGAAGGTATTCAGTTCTTTCAAGAAAATTTCCAAGCTGACGATGTTTAAGGATTTCAGTCGTCATAATTTCGGTTTCAGTCGTAACTTGGTGTTTACCATCACTTGAAGGTGGTTTTACCTAAAACAAAATATTTATTAATTTTCATAAATAAATAACATAAAACTATTTGAAAATTCTTCGAGAAGATAATATAAATAAAATAATTTTTTTAAAAAAATCAATAATTACCTGCATATCATCCCATTTTAAACATGCCCATACAGTCCTTAATTGTAAACCGGCAGCTGCCAAATTCTTGAAGCTAATAGTTCTAAATAACCAACAAGTCTTGAATGTAGGTCTTGAGCAAGGATACGGCCATGCTTGAGGATTCGCCTTAACAACATAAAATTAAATTTATAGCCGATTGATTAAAAAAAAAAAAATATTTAGTTCAAAATTTTAATAATTAAGTACGTACATTCACCTTGGCCAAGTGATTAAAACCGCTAACTGCGATTTTACCACCTAACCTTGCTAATTTGGAGAGTTCGTGCTGCGGAAGAATCAGAATACTCTTCTTCTTGCTTTTGGTCAAGAATGTTGAACATTTAGGATATTTCACTTGAGTACGCTTCTTCTTTTTATCGGAACTTACGACTACTTTTTTTAAGTACACCTGAAAATAAATTCTCATAAATAAAATAATAAAGTGAAGCAGAACATAAAATATCCCCAACTAAATGTCAACAAAAGGAATATTTTCTCAAAACCTGTTTGATCTATTACTTTATTTTTAAATTAATATCCATTTTGTTATATCCTGGGTTCTTTTCTGTTATTGCTCCATTAGTAAAATCTATTTTGTTTCAATTAGAAATAAAAACGTATACTACAAACAATTATTTATCCACAAGAAGACAATCATTGTAAAAATAATGAATATCTTTTATTATTGAGTTACAGTGACCGAAGAAAGTATTTGCGCACCACTTTTTTTTATTTTATTAAATTATGAATTTATGCAATAAAAAACACTATTACTTCCTACTGTACTACTATTATGAGAAGGAGTTAGTCGAGGGTGCGGTCAAATAAATAAAAAAATTAAAATATATATAAATTATTTTAATTTTGCCAAAAATTAAAATATTTGGCCAAAATATTAAAATAATTTGTACTACTATTACTTTCATGGTAAAATATTCCTCCGAACAACCACTATTCCTTTACCATTCAACAAATTTTTAAAAAAATACTAATTTTTTTACCCGTGGGGCAATAACAAAATAGTACCATATCCTATTTTCTGTTTTTTTGGGGAGTTTATTTTTTTTTAACATATCTTTCTTCTCCCTCTCAAAGATATTGAAATCCTGAAAAATCTCAAACTATGGGTGTAAAATGCTATGATAAAGCTAGTTCTAATATATGGCTGTGAGACCTGGACACCAACCTAGAAAAAAGTGTTGAAAGGTTTGAGAGGAATAATCTTCCGTATGATAACCGGAGAGATCTGAGAACTAATAACACATGGAGAAAAAAGACCAATAAAGAACTGCTTACAGAAACTGGTCAATCAATATCCTATGATATGAAGGCACGGAGGTTAAGATGGGCGGGGCATGTAGCTCGTAGCAATCCATCTGGAAGCCTCAATAGAAGGCAAAAGACCACATGGAAGGCCAAAAGCAGATGGATAGATAGAATCAACATACATGCAACAGAGCTGCGTGCAGATAAATGAAAAGAAATAGCCCATGACAGGCAGAGATGGAGCAGGCTTGTTAAGGTGGCAAAAGATCTACATCGTCTGTAATGCCAACAGAAAAAAATAATAATCTAAAACATCAGCAGTAACACTTATATTTACATGAAGTCATGTTTAAAGTTTAAATTATTTAATATTTTTAAAGGAAGTAAATGCTTCACAGCCACCTCCACAAGCCTACTCCATCTTTTAGCATAATTTAAGTTAATATTTAAATTATTATTCTATTTTTTTATAATGAAATACTCATAATAAACTATCCAAAAAAAAAAGTTCTACTTTCATCTAAAAATATTTTTAAAAAGCTAAACCATGGCTAATAGTAGAAAAAATAAAAGTAATTTTCATTACCTTTCCTTTAGTGCAAGAAGAAGAATAAATTCGGTTGTTTTCTTCTTCTTTTGGTTTTATCGTATTGTTATTAGAGGTCGTTGTCGCACCTGGTTCGGTCTTGATAGTAGAATTTAAATGGGTCCCATCCTCAGTCTTTATGTCACTGAGAAAACACATTAAAATTATTATTTCTTTTTTTTTCTTAATAATAAAAAAATAAAAAAATAACAAAACAAAAATGCATCCAAAACTCTTAAATTCATCCTTGTAATTATAAAAGATTTCATTTCATTAATGGGTGCCATGTCTGAACATGTCTCACTCCACTTTGATGAGTGGGCCGAGATCGCACGACAACACTATAAATGGGATTCAGAGGACTGATGTCTTCACAGTATATCTTCACTTTAATCCTTAAACTCCCGTTAATTATCTTCAATTGCATTGCATTGCTGCTTTCGACACCCACTAGCTAAAAATTCTTTTCTACTTCAAGCACAACAGTGAATTTAGGAAGTGTTTTATCATTTGGATTAAAATATCTCAGAAACTAAAAATCGGACCTGCATACTGTAAGCCACGGAAATATTCCGAATTATATCTTCTTTGTAATGAGCTATTAATCAAAATTGTATCTCCACGTGACGCTATGTTAGAGAGGCAAATGGAAACGAGTTTGCTTGAACAAATGGACTAAAATATCTCAGAAACTAAAAATTGGACATGCTTACTGCAAGCAAGGGAAATGTTCAGTATTTTATCCTCTTTGTAATGAGCTATTATTCAAAATTGTATCTTAACGCGATGCTGTGTTAGAGAGGTGAAAAAAGAAAAATGTAGCATCACTGGTGTGCTTAAAGTAGAAAAGAGCCGAACAAACACAAACGGGTGCTTTTCAGTTAAGGTCGGCCTTACTAGAAGATTAGGTTACTTCCATCTACATTCAGACACACTCGGCCAATGTCAGGATTTCATTTAAAGAATGATCGTGTGATCTTGTGCCACCAATTACAGTGGAGTGACACTTGTACAAAAGTACCATTTTTAGTTTTATAATAAGAAGAAATATAATTGAATATAGATAAAATATCAAATAGAGGAAAATGGAAAATCATTGTTTTTAAGATACTTAAGTTAAAAAATATTACAAGATAAATTTCTGAAGATGAGGAAAGAAATCCAGAAAAATTAATTCAATAATAAATGTTAATGAATTATTAAGGTAAAAAGTGTTCACAAAATACCTTATATAAATTATAGACTTTCATAGAATGTAAGAAAAAAGATAATATATAAATAGTCAGATTCACCAAGTGTTTACGCCACACCAGAACTCAATCATAAAACAGATATACCTTAATACTCACAAAGGATAATTCAGGTAGAAACTTAAATAATATCACAAGTAATAATTATGACATTGGCAATCATAAGATTATTTCAAATACCTATTTTGTGTTCAGCTTTTCTGATATTCAAAGGTAATTGATGTTCAATGTATTAATATTTAATAAATTATAAATAAAATATGTTATCACAACAATGGTGATGATAAATCAATCCCAGAAAGTTTTACACATTAAAAGTAATAAATAATGCATAATTATTAATAATTAATACACATGTTTTATTTGTAAAACATTGAAAAATAACAATAATAATACTTTTGCCATATTAAAGTTGGTGTATGTTTGTACAGAGGAATTTGAACACTACCAAGCATATACAATTTGAAATTATTCACTCTCCACGACACAAATGGATAACACAAACCTTTCCATCTCATCATAAATCTAAACCGCAACTGTTAATTTAAAAAGAAGCAATGTTACGAACTATAAATAAAATTATTTGATTTACAAAGGCTATTTTTCAAGTCACTGATAGCGACATGCCAGATTCAAAGGTCAGCGTGAGAGAGTGAAAATTGGAGAAGGAATAGTTTAACGGGGACTTCAATAACACGATATAAACAGAAAATATTACAAGATTACAAGCTCCACTTAGAACGACAAGTGACAAGAGTGGAAGAAGAGATTGCTCTACCAAAGAGGTAGGAGTACAACAGAAAGTCATTGGTGATAAAAATTTAATATATTTTGAGAATTTCAAGTGTCAAAGAACATGGGTAATTCCAGGTGAGCCCATGTTCACCTGTTTGGTTTAATCAGAAGGGTGTGATTGCTCATGAACTGCTAAAATATGGCGGAACTGTTAACACTGAAAGATATCGAGAATAAATGATCGATTTTAATCCAATATTTTGTGAAAAACGACAAAATTGTATGATTTTGCTTTAAAATAATGAGCTAACAAACACACACATCAAAACCAGTAAAGAAAAATAATGAAGCGTACAGTTGAGGAATATTAGTGTACGGGACTTTCTCACAAGACTTAGTCCTACTGTTTTTTCCATTGATGTGGCAAGCACTAACTCAACAGCAATCCAATGTTGATGTGGGCTGGGTGGCCGAATGGGCTATCGCGTGTGCACTGCACCGCCGTTGCCCGGCAACCTGATATGTATCAATCAAATGATATAAAAGTAGTCACGAGTTCGCATCCCGGTGCCTAGGGAGTCTTTTAAATCCCCGCCCACACTCCCTGGCCCGGGAAAAGCCACGTATAGCCTTAATGGCGAGGAGAACGCAAAAAAAAAAATTTAATGTTGATGAAAATAGCTTGATAACTAGTTCACCACAAAAGAGCAACAGTTTTTCTGTAATGTCATTCATAAATTGTCAAAGAAATGAGAAAAATGTATATATAACAACAGACAATATTTTAATAAAATATTTTTTAACATTTTGATACAATAAATATGTACTTTATACAAGAAAACTTAGGTTTCATATTAACAAATTCGGCAGCTTCACTAATTCTATACATTGTCCAGACTTATTAGATAGTAATTTATAGTTACATCGAACATAGATGTTTCTCTGAAATCACTTATACTTTGAATGTATTATGGAGAAAAATGATATTATTTAATTCGATTTCTTTTACTGGTACAGTAATTTGAGAATATATTATTTTTATTTTAAATTATATTAAGATATATTTTGCTAAATTGATTGCATATGTCGTATATGCTTAAATTACTTGTAACCTCTTATTAAGTTATTTAAATAGTTAACTGATTACTAGACCTAATTTTAAAAATAATCTGAATATAACTTTGTTTTAAAAGCTATTGATGCCAGTTTAGTATGGAAAATGGAAATAATTATTATTATTAAGCTAAAATAAAGAACTATCATTATTATATTCGTGGCTAAAAAGTGTATTTCGTAAATCTAATACCTATGGCAGTAGTCGAGGTAATCAATGGATACAATATAACAGTAAAAAGATAGAACATGACTTAAGAGGAGCCAGTTCAATTTCATGGCTGCTTAATAAGCAGATAAACAATATAACAATTACAAATTAACGAACAGGTTTTATCCAACTAATTTAATAAGTTAACGGTATAGCTCTGGAATAATACTAAAACGCTAGAAGCATAGCACAACAGCCCACCTCGAGAGGCCAGATAAGAATTTAAAATCAGTTCAAAATCTTTATCTTAGAGAAAGAAACGACAACTTAGAATGAACTATATATAACTAAATATCACGGTGCTAATAATTTCTATTAATATGAATGAGCCTTTTGGGTTGAAGCACAATATCTTTACCATCTATCGTTTCCCAGGGAATTTCAAAAATTTTGTTAATTTTCTCCAATCTTCCTCGGGCCGATGACACTAAAAAGAATAGTTTAAGATTATTACGAGCTGTCAAACGGAAAAACTAATACAACTTAAATAAGGCTTAGTGGATAGTTTTTCTCTTTACTATGTTTTATAAAAATAAATATTGAGAAAAGAAGCATGAGAAATCCTAATAGTGCACCGGTAACATCATCACAGAAGTTCAAGAATATTTGATAAAATTACTCAAAAATATTAAGGATTTTTATATTTAAAAAAATGGTTTAATTTAATGAATAAATAGTTTTTAATGCTTCTTATCTCTCTTAAACTACTGATCAATCGTTTAAACTCATGAAAAAAATAAATAGTATTTATTATTTTAAAAAAATATTAAAACGATGAATAGAATAACGGTCGTAGATCACTTATACACTTTTCATGTGTATTTTGTACAACAGATAAGGCAATAGGTTTATCATTTCTTAAGGTGTTACAAAACTTTTTTTAATTATTAGCTACACAATTTATTTTAAAATAAAACATAAATTTAATTCATTTTCATGTAAGGAGAAGTTGGTAGGGAAAGAAAAGCACGCAGGTAAGTATAAAGTTATCTAATAAGCACTCACATTTCAGTCTAACGTAAGTTCTAAGCCTTCATAAGCGATGGGTAAGCACAACAATATAAAAAACTACATGAGAATTTAGAAATATGAAAATATACCAATAACAAACTGTTATTTTTGTTTTCAATTCGTGTAGAATAATATAAAACTGTGTTCAATGGGTTGAGAAACACTCTGTTTACAAAAAATGATGATATAATGTAAATCCTATCAACGACGCTAGTAAAATAATAAATTTAAAAAATAAAACAAAGTTGGAATCAGGAGCATTAGAAATAAGAAATTTTCTTATAAATGTTATGTATTTGTATTTTAAACTACAAATAGCTCGACACAATCTATCAGGAAGCATCTACATAATAGATGGCTCTCTAGTAGGCTAGAGCCATGTGGGAAACAAAAACCATAACGGTAGATTGAAACAAAGATACTGCACAACTGGATACAATAAACTGATAAAAAAAAAAAAGAAAAATGACAGAGAAGCATGGGGGAGGAGTGGCCGACTTGGCTAACAAGTATTTGTTGAACGGCAACCCGAATACCTGAAGAATGTGTGAATTTCATAGCTCAATAATATAATGAAATAATTATGAGTTGGTGTCTCGGTGCCAAGTTTTAACTATGCCATTAATCCCCACCCTCTCTCCTGGCCCAAAAATTCTCCATACAGCCTAAAAGACAAGAAAGGAGAGGAGAAAAAAGATGAGAGAGGTATGATGCGAAGAAAACAGAGAAAATAATAATATACTAGTACTAATGTTTCAGGGTTAAGTCGCTAAACTGCAAAAATGAACCTAAAAACAAGAAAAAAATTCCTCTGAAGGTATGTCAGCAAACGCTTTGTTTAGGAGAAATATATTTACGAATATATGTAGCCAAATGGCAAAGTTTAACACCCATTTAATAAAATTAATTTAAAAAAAAAGAGAAATGTTAAATACCTTGACGATACTCCATCTAAACAATTGTTGGCCTTCTCGTCGGTTTTCACTTCTTCCTCTGTCGTACCGATTTCCACTTCGTTACAGACTTCCATGTTGACTTCTTCCGCCTCGAGCTTGACCCCAACTAGTCCTTTTTTGTCTTCATTATCAGTACAATTTTCAGTTTTTATGACAACTTCATTTTCGGCCGGAATACTGGTAACATCCACATCATTATCTTCAGGTTCTGTTTTGATTAATGGTTTACTATCTTCCATTTTTCCTTCCAAAACAGCTCTTAATGTTTCCGCACCACTCATTTTCTTTTCTTCCATAGTTGAATCAGAATTTTTTAAATCTGTTTTATCTGTAAGTAAAATAAGAAAAAGTTATAAAAGTAGTTAGTCAGTTAAATAATTCAAATTGAATAAATATATATACATTATATATATATATATATATATATATATATATATATATATATATATATATATATATATATATTTTAAGAACACTTTCATTCTTCATAAGAAGTTTCAAACTTAAGAATATAACATATATTTAACTTGGAAGATGACACTACAATAATAACTAATTAAAATTTAAACTTATATGATTACCATTGGAATGTGGAGTAAGCATATTGCTACTTCTTGCTGTGTTGGCTTTCCGAAGTAGAGTCAACAACTCCCTGCGCAACGCAATCCTTTGTATACAAACAGGTGAATAGCACGAGGTACTCGCTTGTCCATCACAATCCTTAACATAACAACGATACATTCTACATTGTTTATTTAAAATAGAGTACTGAGTTTTTATCGTTGCGACTCTTCTTCCGATAGCTGTAAGAACACTCCTTAAATCTTTCCCAATTACTCCGGCCGGAGTTGAACTTTTATTTACATTATTGGCCTAAAACATACAAGAAAAAAATAATGATATTGAAAATGATGTCTCATATCTGTGGTAAGATATAAAATAAAAATTATAGTTTCTTTCCTATATTTACAAAAAACAACACCACAAAACTTTCCATTGTTTTTCAGAAACTGTAAAATTGAATAATTTTAACTCATACTAGGCATGAAGGAATAAGCAACTTTACATCAGTAATATTTTTTTTTTTTTTTTTTAATAGCTGTATAGTTGTTTGAATTAAGGAGTTCATGTTTTGGTCTGTTATGAAAGTAAGCAATATACTTAACAGTATTCATCTGTATAAAAATAAGATTCCTATTATATGCTTAAAAAAACAAAACAAGAAGTTCCAATTAAAACATTTTACATCCAGATGTATCACTATTCATTAATAGCCACTTAAATCTGAGATATGTACAGTATCCTTACATATAATGATACCATAACTATTTTCTATAGAATTGGATTATTTAATGTACAAGTAATATATAATACTAAATTTTCTACAAATTAAATTTCTGCTTATAACAGAAAACTCACCTGACTTAACTGCCGTTCTTCCAGCAATTTAAGATGTGTACGTCTCCCGAGGAATTCGTCCAATTTTGATTTTTTAGCTACTTTTGGATAATGTAATCGCCCAGGCGTTGTTAAAGCTTTGGTGATATTAATCTCTTCAAATTTTGTAATAGGTGGGAAAACTTTGAGATTCTTATAAAAATCTAGATTAAAACGGAAATAAATATTCAGTCATTATATTTTAATAATTAAGAATAAAAGAATCAAAACAAACAAAATATAGTATATATCTTCAAGCTATATCTAAACAACGGACATTGAACTGATTATTAGGTTATATTTATTTATTATCAAAGTTAATAAATATTTTTAAAAATTTGCATCAACTTACTTATATTAATTATTTCTGAAAGAGCACTGAGGCTTGCTCTGTCTTCAGAATTGTTTAATTCCTTCTTTTCCATGAGGTATTTATAGATAGAAGGTTCTACGGCAAGAATTTTGATACCTTGGTCATCTAAAAGCAAAGTCAATTTCATTAGTTATAGAAAAATAATATAAAATTAATAGTAAGTCAATTTCATTAGTTACACAAAAATAATATAAAACTAATATCATTGAGTAAAAAACAGATAATAGAGAACCATGAGTTTACCTTTGACCTGAACCATGTACTTCTGTGGACCAGCTCTGAGACCGACGGTTCTGCAGTCAAGATACTTATAATTACGAACGGCAGAGAGCCATTGCCAGCCCCACTGCCCGTGTAAACGATATTCTTCTCCTTTCTGCTTCCAAACCTAAGAGATTTTAATGATTAAAATGAGTTTTTTATTCTCTTTTATGTCTTAAAATTTACTTTCATTTATAACAGAGATATCAAAACTTCAGCCCATGAAAATTTCTTTGATTTCATGGTAAAATTTTTACAATTATTTAAAATATCTGGTGTATCCACTCACACGACTTTCCTACCTGTTTCAGAAAAGTTTTTATATCTTTACATATGTTCATGAAGAAACGAAAAAAAGGATTGAACTAGATTTATTTTCCTGAAAATTAATCGAAGAAAAGATTTGAGAACGATTTATTTGATAAACTAAAGCAATGTAAACCGGCTTAAGGTAGATCAGTGTAAAAATATCAATACTCACTAATATTGCTGATGAAAAACTTTTTGCCATAGCTTAGTATTGTCAAAAAATAATTTCTGTTAAAAGTAGAGAAAATAGTGAAGATTGTGTGATGAGGCAACAGATTTTCTTACTTTCATTTGTCATCTTTATTCTCTCATTTACGCCTTTCTGACACCAGGATATAAACCCGTAATCTTACATTGGAAATTGAATAGCTGTAACTTCGTTAATAGTTGTCCAAAATGAACGAAGTTAGTTAAAATCATAATTTGCTGAACGAGGTTTTTGACCATGTCATTTAAACAAATTATTAAGTTGTAGTAATAATTTGACTTAAACTTTAACATTTTTTGAACTTATGGACGTAGTCTTCCAAGTAACTTTTTCCTAATATGCATCATACAGGAGAAAAAACATAAAAAGTCCTAAAAAACGAGGTTATTTTCCTGCCATTAATTCTCTTAAGAAAGGCCGTGCTAGTATTTTTGGTGTTCCATGTCTGTACTCACATACTTATTAATCAATTAATCAATCATAAATTGTTTATTTATTGAGCTATGCTTAAATAAAATTTCAAAACTTTTTCCTTGACTTAGTGGGAGATTTACATATTTTTTGCACCTAAAGATGATTAATGACTCAATCATTGGATCTGATAAAGAATTAACAAAAATACAGCAGATCGACAAAAACAATAATATATTAAGATATTTGGTTTATTGAGAAGGGTGAAAGATATCATCACCGAAATAGTTTAATCTTTTAAACTAACAATCATGATTTAGAAAACAATTTGAACTTCTTTTTTTACTTTAAATTCAAAAATTTAATAAAGAATTTCAAAAAATAGAGAATAAATAAAATAAAAGATTAGTTAAATATTCTGATAACTAACTTGATGTTTTAGGCCGAGCGTATATTTTACAAAGTTTAAAAGCCGATTTCTCTCCTCCTCTTCTTCTCTTTCCTTCTTTTCTTTTTTCTCAATTCTTTTCCTTTCTTCTCTTTCATTTGCAGTAATTCTTTGCAGCCTTATATGACCTAAAATTAAAATGAATTTTGAGTATTTTATAAATTTATCATTACAAGTAAACACACATAGAACATCGAATAGTATTACATTTCAAGTTAAATATTATACAAAATTAATTCTTACCAAGAGATTCCTGCCAGACTGGAGCATAAACGGCTGGTTTCATACAAGCTTGTAATACGATTATAGCTCTTGCAAAGTCCCTCGGAGAACTGGACGAGGCTACTGCATTTACCCAGTGTTTTCTCAACTGGCTCCAATTTACGTGCATAAGTGAGCTAGCGATCGCATTTTCTAACTGTAGCATGGTTTGGCGGACGGTAGAAAGGAGTTGAGTTTTGGTACCTGAAAAGAACAAGTTAACACATCAAGATTCCATCAGGTAAATGGAACATATCATAAATAGTGCCGGCCTTAGACATTCGGTGCCCCTGGGCAATGATGTCATCTCCCCACAAATATAATTTCATTTTTTCTTAAAATGTTTTTTATAAAGTAATATTTCAATTTTATTTCATGTCTCTAATTCAATCACTTTGTTGACAGGTTTTTTTGCACTTACATATATTTATCCGCACCTGTCAATTACAACTATTGACAATCAGCAGACGTCAATCATGAGAAAAAAAAAAAATAAATAAATAAAAAGGCTTGATAGGCATGAGGAAAAGCAATTCCCCGCGGCATCCTTTCCATGGCTTTTACTTACATACAATTACGTAAGTAGGTCCCACATCCAGATCCTTTTCAGTCGTCTTCTGGAGTTCTCCAGCATAATAGTCATGGCCATTTCTTTAATTAGCTGGTTGGAGAGTCCATGTAATTTATTATGAAATCGTTTGTAGTAAGCTTGTATGTGTTCATTGATCGTTGGCATGTGTAAGTCAGTGTGTAAAGTGTTGTTATTCACGTACCAGGGTGCTTGGGTAATTAGTCGTAGTATCTTAGACTGAAAAGTTTCAAATTGTTTTATGTGTGTAGGTTTTGCAATTCCATATATTTGTAGTCCATAAGTCCAGAGAGGTTTTAATAGGTATGTATAAATATTTAATTTCTGTCTTGCTTTTAATTTAGAATGTCGTCTTAATAATGAGTGCAATCTGTGATTTAATGATGCACGTTTTTTCTTTACATGTGGACCCCATGTCATTCTTCTGTCAAACGTAAGGCCTAGGTTTTGTACTCTGTCTGTTTGTGGAATCGGTATGTTATCTAAGTATACAGCAGGGCATGTTTCTAGTCTTAGAGTAAATGTGATGTGATGTGACTTTTGACAATTTATTTGAGTTTTCCATAGTTTACACCAATCGTTTATTTTTTGTAAGTGATGTTGTAGGTTAAGTGATGCTTGTGTAGGATTATCGTGTCTAGTAATGATAACAGTGTCGTCTGCGTAGGTTGTAGGTTGCTGTAAGTGTGTGGATACTTTGAGGAATGTGATGTGTGTATGTTATGTACAGTAGTGGGACTAAGATGTTGACAGGTTAATATTATTTATTCTCATATATATACTTTGTAAGTTTTATTTATTTATAACAATTGGCAGGTGCCCCTCTCCAACTTGGCGCCCTGGGACAATTATTCGGCCCTTCTTATAACCCTCATCAAGAACTTTAATGTGCAATATAAAAAATCTTATGTGTCTTAGATGTTTCCATGTGACTCACCGTGAACTGGTCCAGCCCATTTGAATTCAGATGCCTGAGTAAGACTGAATTTATGAGAAAGATATCTCTTTTTATCACGCTCTTCATTTCTCTGAGGTTTATTCAAAGCTGCAGTATTCGTACTAAACTGATTGTTGTACGCCTTGTATCCATTCTCCATTCCAAGCTTGAATAAATGGGTACCTAAAAAGAATTGAACAGTTAAGTAAAAAAATAAGAGGACAGAAAACTGAAGTTCCATAAAATGGATCAACACTGTATGTTATGGTTAATATTAAATAATAATAAACAAACCTGTTGCTATTTGATGAGCTTTGAGGCGAGTTAAACGACTATTATCTCCAATATCTTGAAGCTTATCACCTTTTTTCTTGATGTCATCGGCAGAATATGTCCTCGGAGTTATAGCCCCTGTCCTTGATCTTGTCGCTATTGAATGTTTCTTTCCTGAATATTCAATAAGTGAAATTTGTAAATACATATTTAAAATATAAACATTTACATCTTATATAACACAAAATATAGTGACGAACTGACATTAATAACTAACTAGTCAAGTCCCTTGAACTTGGTACACTATGAAACACAATTTTAACTGGATGTAACAATATCACATGCCAAGGAAATCGAGGCTAATGTGTAGGAACCTAAAAACCTGTATCATTAAAACTCACGAAGGATTTATGGGGTTCAGTACTAGGAAGTAGGCAAGGCCAGCGGTTGTGCAGGGAGGTGATCAGGCCAGGATCATACTCAACCGCCAGGTTATCGCCCTTAATTAATTATTTAATTAGTAGTACCCGATTTATAGAGGGTGGGTGTGCGCCCTAGGAGGGTCTCTCGGCACCCAGGTAGATCCATGGCAAATGAAAAATCACTTGACATCAGTCAGGCTCAAACCCAGGATTGGTTTTGAGCTTAGAAGCCCAGTGCCTAATTCACTGAGCTACTCCGCTCCCATAGTGTAGAAACATTGTTTACAGTAGCATGGTAGTGGAAAAGAGAAGAGGAAATCAGCTCAAAATACAAACAAACTTTGTAAAGATGTTGCGTCACTTGATACCTTTTATGATGATTATTGATTTCGGATTTCATTATGGATCATCTCATTTACATATTCATTAAAGATTTATAGACGGGTTCAATCAGCCAGAAAGAGTAAGAATATATTTTTAAAGAATCCTACCAATTATAAGGCCATAAAATATGGTTTAGATTCTCGACCAGTTTTTTGGATGAATTCATCTTAGTCGAGCAACTCAACTGTGTAAAAGGCTTTGACTAAGTCGTGGGATATTATTGATTCAACTTGTTGGAAATTTTTTACCCAACTACAGCAGCACTCTTTGTGTTCAGGAAACAAAGTATTCTCAAAAGATATTATTTATCTTTAATCCCATTTTTCTCTTGTATTATAGTAAGCGTGACTCAGCATTTCATTGTAGTAAAAATGTAATGAGCCGATCACAAAGTTTTAAAATTGACTGAAATGCTTCGGGACAGACCATCTCTCACACATAAACTTTTTTTTCCTCTAAAGGTTTACTATTATTCCTTTTAATATTTCCCATTATTTACATGACACACCCATATACTGCGTTGAATTAATGAAAACAGTAATTCGTTTTTCAATTTTTTAGCACGATTGACAAATAACATTGAAAGTAAAATTGAAATATAATGTTACTTTCCTAAGCAATCCATTAACTATGATTCCGACTTTATTCGAGAAACTTAACCATGTAAAAGGATCTGAAATGTCTCTAGAAATCACCCCTGGCGGTCGAGACCTTAAGTATTTAACTACTATTTCTAGGACAAAACTTTGTTCAACAAACTTGAACGTGTAAAATGGCCTTGAGTGACTATAGAAATAGATCAATTTAAGGAGCAAATTATCTCAAAACAGCAAAGTATCAAATTAAAATATATTTTTACAAATATCATGTATATGTAAAAGCTGAGATAATCACAACTTTGATCCAAAAAAAGAGAATATTTATTCATTTAAGAGATATATCATTTGTTGATTTTTATTATTATTATTTTTTTCATATTTAACCGATTAAAAATATTGGCTTACCATCCTTTCCATACTTGACATTTTCAATATCATCATCTTCCTGTTCTGAGTTCTTGTCTTCAGGTGAACCTGATCGCGGAGATCCTAATAAAAAAAATATAAAAAAATTTAACAAGGAAAAAATTATACCTGAAATCTCTTAGCAGTTTATCTTGAAATTTAATCGGTGACTTCAACGTTTAATTAAATGTATAAAATCATTTACCTTGCATGTTAGATTCTGAATCAACAATTTCTTCGTTAGCATAATCAGTTGAATTCTGAAAAATAGCAAAGAATACAAAGATTATTACCTTCATTAATTATCAAAAACAGTTAAACAGCTGGTAAAATAGATAATAGAAAACCATAAATTATACAGAACAAGAAATCGAATAAATAATAATAAGACCTGTCAGTCTGCACTAAATATTAAAAAAAAACATTGCTCAATATTATGTAAGTACTTCTCTAATTTGTCACTAGAGGCCCGTTTACATGGCGACAGTTTTGCCATAACAGTGATATATTGACAGTGTCAGTGTAAATACATTTCGGATGACAGTGGAAAAAAATAGATATATAATGAACAGCTGACTGAATCTTACACATTTAAAAGAACAGCTGATGTGGAACGATTATTTCAACAAATTAAAGAACTCTTTTATGAAAAAGAAAAAATAAATGATATAGTTTTTATGAATTATTAAAGGAAGCTAGTCGGACTGTTCTACATATCATGGGTGATAAATATTCAGGAGGTAATCTTTTAAAAAAAATTGTTATTTTTTATTTGTGTCAACGTTTCAATCCAAACATGTGGGTCTTCTTCAGGTCTGATAATTTTAAAATACAATCAGAGATATAATATTATAAGACCGATAATGGTAAATAATGAACTATAATGATTTGATGGTATATGAATCTTAACTATTATTACAATAAACAAATTTACATATTTCATTTTTAATAATTAAAATTATAAAAATAAAAATTAAATTTTTTTTTTTAAAGACTGCGTCCTGAATATTTATCACTCATGATATAGTTTTTACTTCTATTTCAAGAATGAAATAACACTAAACTGTTGGATAGAATTTCGAATTCAGAAATAATCGAAATATGACAATAGATGAGAATATTTTCCCTAACAATCGCCATTACAATAGCCTAGGTTAGACAAGGTACAACAGTTTACATAATGTTCACCAATCTTAGGAATTAAAGTTCTTGACTTTTTGGAAATTTCCTAACTAGTATTATTTTTACAAACATCTAATAATAAATCAAAAGAAAACTTAAATGACAGAAAGATTATTAAGTTTAAATTCAAAATGCGGCAAATCGTTATCCATACTTAATAATTTTTAAATTTTATATATTTTTTTTTGTATAAAAAAAAAAAAAAAGAAAGAAAAAAAGATTTTGTATAGAATATCTGAGGGGAATCAAGTATATCACCAGATCGCTAGCAGTATCCTCAGCTGCAGTGAAGTGGATAAAAATAACAAGATGCATGTCTATAAGTCTGTATACCTTCCTATTCTCACGGCGGAGAAAGCTGGACTATGTTGGACAAACATTATAGTCGCATAACAGCAGCAGAAATGCGGTTCCTACATAGATCGGTGGGCAAAGCTAGGAGGGATCGCATTAGAAATGAAACCATCAGAGAACAGCTGGCAGTGCCTGAACTCAAAACCACCTTGGAGAACAGGCAATTAAGGTGGTTTGGACATGTCTGCCGCAGAATGAGGACATGGACCCTATAAAGATATTAGAGGCTCGATGGTCGGAAGAGACCACGAGGGCATCCCAGAGTCTCAAATCAGGAGTTCATGGAGAGGATTGGAGGTAGAAGAGGCAAATCCTTCAACCAAATGAAGCGGTTGAGCAGAGACCGGGAAGAGTGGCTGCACTGGATAGAGAGTCCTCGACACTAGACATGGCATTGTGAGGAAGACAAAGAAGAGAAGAGAAGATATATTTTTTTAAGATGTAGTATATTATAAAAACACTTCATATTTTTCCTACAATATCACAAACAACCAAGATAGGAGCATACAAAATCTCTTATCGGCTGTCACATCATTAAAATGAAAGATCGGATGGTAACATCAAGTTCCGATATTTTTCTATGCGTGATCTATAAACCTATGACTTGTGGAGAAAACAGAAAAAAAATAATTGGCCCAGCAGGAAAGGCACAAATGGATGTGTTATACAAATTTAGGTCTGCATGTGTCTTAAAAACCTAAAGAATAAAATTTTGAGGAGGGGAAATAGTTTGTTTTTATTTTCATGCTTGATTACTAAGGATACTATAAAAAAAAAAATACAATTAAAAAAACAATACATCAATGCAACTCAATCATCTGCATACAACTTTTTCATTATTTTATCCACTAATACTAGCTATCCCACAGTTAAAATTAAATAAAAGGCCATAGTGGCCAGTAGTGTTGGAGCATTGCCCACTTTATCATTCTCAAGTCCTGCTGGATTGAAATATATTTTATGGCTAACCCACAGAATAAATCTCAACCTTCCCACTTTGGTTAGAATAAGTTTGGTTAAACACCCTCCTCATCCTCCCTCCCCCTCCAGTATGCCAGAAATATCCAGGTAGAGAATAATAGAAAAAAAAGGTGGAATTAAAGGAAGATATTCAAATTGAGAACACATGAAGGCTTTCCCGATATCGCATAATTCACTGTTATGATCCCATGCCTTGTTCCTAATTTTTCCAGACCATACAAAATTCTCCAATACACTCCTGATTTTCCAAAAATTTCAAACTGGTAGACACCCTCGTTGACTGGTAAGTGTCTACATACTCCCGTCAATGTGTCAGTGCCTGTCATCAGGGCAACAGGCAATGTCAAATAACAAATACTAGTTGGCCCGTGTGAAAAATTCGCAGATAATTTTGTTTAGTGAAGAAATATTAAAACAATATGGAAATAAATATTTCCTATGTATTATGTAAGGAAGGAATTAATATTTTTTCCTTAGTCGATTACAATATTCCATTAAACATAATAGACCAAAATATTTATAAAAATTGCTTTGCTAGAACCTATTTTTAAACGCTGACTGGAAAGATAATAAACGTAATAAAGACAAAATAATGCCCGATCATACGATAATCCAAATTATTAAAAAAAATAATATGTAAAAACAACCAAATGTCTAAGAAATAATAAAGTTAATATAAAAGCCAGGAAAAAAAATGCAGTAGACTATTCTACTCCTAAGTGCAATATCTTTAAACAGGAAGACATTATTGAGTATACCAAAACTAATGGCCTGTATCTTTGTCAAAATTGTTCGAATTTTTATTTTGTTTTGTAGGTAATTTAGTAATCTTTCTAATTATCATGGGTACAATCAAGAGAAAAATGCATACTTTTTGAGTTATTCGCAAATAAAGTTTCTTTTCTTTCAAAACTTTTTTTCCAGAAATTTTGGGGGGATAGGACTATTTTTCGCCTAAGAAGGAACAGAATATCTTCAAAATGAGTGGTCAATCATTGGGTTTGATGAAGAATTGACAGACAAAAAAACACCTTTTAGAAATAATACATAGGATAGTAAATAACTAAATAATTACCAGTAAACTAAGAAATATATTAATTATTATTTACCATTTGGAGGCTATTATCCATATCAGTCACACTTTCATCGGATTTCCTTTCACCTTTTTCTTTCTTCATTTTTAAGATATTTGCTGTAACAAGAAACATAAAAAAGTTAAAAAAAAAAAAATTAAGTTCCAATAATAAAGTTATTAATGTTATAACTTAAATATCTAAATCTCATATATACTTTACAAGTTATATATAGTAGTATACTTATACTAAATAGGTTATACTATATAAATATACTTTACTCTACAGAAGGGTCACCAAATTATAATATGAAGAAATAAATAAATTTTATGGCAGAAGGGGAGACAAATAAATAAAATAAAATGTATTTTATGTATTATAGACTCACACTCAAGAACAAATTTAAATAACTATAAAGGGTCCTCCTTATAAGCAGACAAATATAAATTGGTTGAAATAGAAACTGCTGTTTGTAATTGGAGTGCTTAAGCAGAGTGGCTCCCAAACAGTTAAAGTAAAATTCCCTGACATTTTCCTATTTAATGATAGTTTTCTCTGAACAATATTATGTTTGGGGACAAAGTATTAAAAATGAATAATTTATAATTAAATTTAATTATAATACATGAACGAAAATTGACTACAAAAGGATTTGAGTAAAAAACAAAAACAACAGTCTTTTAAATAAAAAATATAATGTTTTAGAGGAAGCGTTTTTAAACTTGCTTAAGATTTTTAATTTTAGAAAACTAAACTTTCAGTAATTTATTATTATTGCATTAATTTTATTTTCATGAACTGAGAGGAGGTAAAAGTTAATACTTGATAATTCTCTGATTTTCTCTACTGTAAAATAAAGTTAGCTATGGAGGATTATAATATTAATGTAATTTCTCATAAGTAAGCTTGTTTATTACTATGAACAGCATAAGAATTACAAATATGACACCAACTGTGACATTTCTGGTAATTAATGCTCTAATACTAAGATAATAAAGTAACACCACAGGTCGAATGAACGAGTGCTTGCCTACCAGATCTTTACAAAGATGTAAATAGTAAATAGTATTGATATGTTTTTAATTCCATTTTGCTTAAATTTTATTCATTACCCTTGTATTATTTCAATATAACGACCAGTGCTGTTATTGACAGTCAAAGGTGGATAAATATAGCAACCATTTTCGTTTATAACGACATTTACCCCTTCAAGGTCATACATAATAAACGACATCCACTGCATATATATTTCCAATTTGAAAAAAATATATACGTACTTAAAAAAATTCTCTGATTTTCCATTTTTCAGGTCGGTCGCCACCCTGTTAAGGGAACCTAATAGTAGAGCTAGAATGGTTAAGAGGTAATACGTCATTCTATTGTTCCAAAACATCCCTAGTTCAGTTAACATTAGGTAGAGGCAGCTGTGAATGGTGATTGAGAACATAATAGGACTAAATATTTGACAGAAAGGGGGACAGATAGACAGAATTAGAGGAAGGAGCTCTTGTTAACTTTCTTTAAATCAGAGATGATAAGAATGACATCAACTTGTTACAATAGAAATAAACATAATATCAACAGTATTCTCTATATTTTATAAACTTATTGCAAGTATTTTTGGAAAATAGAATGGTCAAACTAAAAATTCCTTAAGACTAGCTGTTTTTCAAGTTATATGATATTTATATCAATATGATATCAAGTTAATATGATATTTACAACTGTATAAAAAAAAATACATCTAGTAAACTCGCACATGGATATAATGACATGAAACACACGTTGAGAAACTACCCATTGTTAGCACTCTAATAATATGTCTATATTAGGAGATTACATGGCCATCTTCTTTTCAGACGCCTCGGAGGGTTATCAGGAATTGAATAGGAAGTAAGGTTAGAAACAAGAGGGTTGGGATGGTTATGAAGTTTGTTATGGAAGGATAGGTATCTGGATTGGGCCAAATCTGATACATAAGGAACATTAAGGTCATTGTGGATGATTTTATTTGTAACAAAGTAAGGAGCATTGAGGATTTTACGAAGGATTTTGGATTGTAAGGATTGGATACGAGAGGAATTTGAAGGTTTGGTGGAACCCCATCGCTCAACTCCGTAAGTTCAAATAGGCCTTATTATAGTCATGTTAATGAGTCTTTTGTAATTAATTGGAAGGTTAGAGCGTTTGTCTAGTAAGTGTTGAAGTAGTCGGAAACGTCGAGCTGTTTCTTGTCGTTTCAGTCTGGTATGAGGATTCCAAGTAAGACGTTTGGGTGGAGTCCTAGGTAACGGATTTGTTCAACAGGAATAAGTGAGATGTTGTTAAAGGATACTGAAGGACAAGAAGTCATTGGTTTATGACGAAGGGTAAAAATAATTTGATGGGATTTATTGGAATTTATTTTAATTCTCCAGTTCTGACACAATTCTTCAAGGTTTATGATGTGGAATTGAAGGGTTTAGGATGCAATAGATGGGTCGTTATTAACTGATAGGATATATGTGTCATCAGCATAAGTGGTGATGACAGTGTTGGGGTGTCAGCTGTATAGACAGTGTAAAGGATAGGACTTAGGATACTACCTGGAGGAACACCTGCAGACTGGGAAAAGTGGGATGTATTGACATTGTTTTGATTTACTTTAAAACATCTATCAGTAAGTTTTCAGTTTAATTCCATATTTCTTCCTGTCACAAAAAATTTTGGGGCGGGGTGGCCGAATAGGCTAAAGCGTGTGCACTGCACCGCGAGTCGCCTGGCAACTAGATATATGAAGATTTGAGAGACAAGAAAAGTACGAGTTCGCATCCCGGTGCCAGAGGGGATTTTAAATTCCCCGTCCCCACCCTCCGGCCCGGGAAAATCCCGTATAGCTTAAACGGCGAGGTAGGGAAGAACAAAAAAAAAAAAAGTCACAAAAAATTTAAATAGAATTTCAGACCTGACGTATCTCGAGTAAAACAAGTTATAAAATATAATATTTTTGTTAATTGTATTAATATTTTCAGAAGGTTCTTAAGTTGAAGAACTTTTCAAGAAAGGCAAAGATCTTAATCTATAAGACAATAGTAAGGCCAGCTGTCACCTATGAAAGCAAATCACGGACCTTAACAGCAGAAAATAAGAGAGTTTTGAAAGTCTGGGAAAGAAAAGTTCTACATCAAATATTCTGTGCAGTAAAAGCAGATGCCTGGTGAATTAGAGAAAATAAGGAGCTGCAGGAGTTTTTTGGAAAGGGAGACATTTTCTCTTATAACGAGCTGGGCCGATTAAGGTGGGTATGATATATAGATGACATTGCTCTAGGGGTGTTGTGCCTCTCCTTGCCTGTTCAAGATTTATCTTGACATTTGTTTGAAAGCATGGAGAATAAAATGCGAACCCATGGGGATTCAGTTGAAAGAAAAGGTGTTTCTTTAAAACCTATCCTTCGCAGATGACCACATCATCATTGCACAGGATGCAGAAGATGCTGGTGGATATATGTTAAGAAAATTAAATGAGGAATATCAGCAGTGGGGACTAGTTATTAATGCAGAGAAAACTGAATACATGACATTCAATAATGAGGATATAGAACTGAATCAAGGAGGGATTCTAAAAAGAATTAAACATTTTAAATATCTTGGCTCCATAATTGAAATAGATGGGGCATGATGTGGAAATAAAAAGAAAAATTTCAGATGGTAAAAACATCATATCAATGCTCAACTTGGTATTAAGGAACCGGAACATTGTCCCTAAAAAAAAAACACATCTAAAATAGCATAGTACTGAGCATTATGACATATGGGTCAAAAACTTGGACCATAAAAAGCAACCTCAGGAAGAAACTTTTAGCCACCGAAATGGACTACTGGAGACGAGCGGCGGGAATATCCAGAATGGATAGTCAGAAATACGACCATCAGAGAAAAGATGGAGGCTAAAAGAACCATTCTTGGAGAGATTGAGATACAATGCCTGAAGTGGTATGGACATTTGAAAAGAATGCCTGAAGGAATACTACCCAAAGAAGTTCACTTATGGAAAACTAGGGAAAGAAGAAGACGAGGAAGAGCAAGAAGATAACTAAGTGGAGGAATCCTTGATGAGTCATACTCTACGGGAAGAATCTACCTTAGATAGGATATTATAGAAAGAAGTCATCCAAGATTTAGGTTAAGGAAACCCATTATTAGCGGAAACTTCTAAAAAAAAAAAAATAACATTTAGAGAGAATGGACTATGGTAGAATTCCTAAAAAACTTCTCTACGGAAAGCCATGTGACGGACAACAGTGAGTAAGACCTCGAATGCTATGGCTGGATGATATCGAGGCAAACATGAAGACTTTGGGTGTACACCACAGCAGAAGATATACCATGGATAGAGGCAAATGGAGCAAGCTGTTGAAGAAGACCAAGGTTCTATATGAGCTGTAGTGCCAGTTTGTGAGTGAGTGAGATTAAAATGATTTATAATATTTTGATATATATCCTTATTAAAATTGTTTTCATACCTGTTTCGATTTCCAAATAAGATTTCCTATTTCCTTTGGCTTGATTGGTGATTCTTTCGGTTATATTCATTTGCCTGATGATTTCATCTTTAAAATCCAGCATTTCTTGGCATAAAGCTGCTTCGTAATTTACACTGTCCAAGCTTTCCAAAAGAAGTTCAAACTGGACGGGACAGGAGTAATACCAGGCTTCTCCATTATCCCCTTCACTAAAAATAAGAAATATCTTCTTAAATCTTTTCAATTTCTTTACCAAGACTATGAGAATAAAAGGAATCAACAATATACATTAAAACAATTTTTAATTTAATTAAAAAGAGAAGATTCTTTTTAACATACTTATTTATGTTTTATAAATTTAATTATATAACATATAATAACCACAAAACAATACAAACAATGAATTAAAGATATCAAACTTACACGAATATTCGTCTCGTAAGAAACCAATATTTCCTTCCATGTCTGTCAAAACCAAGGTGCTCTTGACGACAAAGAAGACCTGACTTCTCGACATCCGGAATACAATCATTAACTCCAGTAACCTATATAAAAATACATAAATATTAACCAACACTTCATTTACTTAATATGACACAAAAGTTATTAAACGTATAACTAAAATCTTATTACAATTAAAACAATAGTTTCAAAGAAAAAAATATATATTCAGTATAAACGAACATTTAATTCAAATTAACCTTATTACAATGCAACATTACTGAGACAATGATGTCAATTTAGTGACACAAAAACCTTTTCATAAAAATAAAAAATCCTATTGATTCAAAAACAAGGTATCGTGTTTCTTAAACAATAAGAGAATATAATACAAAAAATAATTAATTAAGGTACAAAATGAATATCACTGAATATTAATATTGTTCTCAATAAAAAACAAGCATAAATAAATTAAAATGATAACGCACAGTTAAAATAATCTCATAAAATAACGGAAATTGCACGAAGCGCCAAGAAAATTTTTAAAATAAATATCAATAAACAAAGGGCGTAAAAAACACATTTGAGTCAATAATAAAGGAGATAAATAATTGATATAAATAATAATTATTACAAATGCTATTAATAAACTTGAAAAATATCACTGTTATGGTACAAATATTGGGGGGGAAAAAAATTAAACGATCAAGTTAGCTTATGTTTAACAGAAAAGACTAAAAACAATATATTACTGACAACATCCTGAAAAAGCAGTAACCATTGGTCCATGAAAGGGTTTGTTTATAACCTGACAAGAAAAGGAAACAAAATGATAGACTGTTTGTTGTCAAAACTTGACTTTGATTTCTATTACTTAAGTTTATGTTGCATGAACACCTTTATAGTTAAAAAATGGATTAAATATCAATAATGTTTATAAAAGAAACAGGTTTGCTTGTTTTATGAAATTTGATAGAGCTGAAATTTTTTGACATCACGAAGTAGGATAAAACTACTTCTTAGTTGAAAACTAGGATTAAACAGCAAGTTGAAAATATCACGTACCTTATGAGCCCGACATATATTGCACTGCCAGTCTTCTTGAGGAATATCTTGTAAGGGTGGTTCAACACATTCTAAATGAAATACTGCTGGACAGGTTTCACAGCATAACAGATCACCCACACGATGGCATATTCGACAGTGATCATCGTAAGTAAAATTACCTGAACATCGATATTAAAAGAAAACATTAACACAGACATAGCAACATCCGACATTAAAAGAACACTTTATTTTAAATATTGGATATACAAATCTAATGAAAATGGTTATGTACCTTCGTGTATCAAATCTTCACGGACAGGATTGGTGATCAAAAATTGATCGGTAAGGAACTGCAAGACTTTTAACCTATTTTCAACTTCTGTAAAGGGGTACTCAAAATTAGTTAAGACATCTAAAACATTAGAATCAAAGTTTTTATCACTTTCTAGATATGATCGTAACACTTCTGGCCAAGTAACTGCATCCACAAAAAACAATGAGATATTAATACTGTCTTTCTGATCAAGAGGGCCAAAATGAGTCTGTTGAGCATCCTCTTCTCTCAGAATAGCTTTTAATAACATAATATGAATTTCAGCTAACATATACGTTTGTTCTTCGCACATTAACACCGCACAAAATTCTTCAAATCGAAACGGGGAGAGTCTCACTAAGTTTCTAAAATGCCTAAGCACTTCATATATAGAAAGGGCTTGCATCACTAATTCTCTATGTATAAGGAGATCATCAGAGGATTTAGGGAGTTCCAAGACGGGAAGTTCAATATCTTGAAGCCAAAGGGGTACCGGGCTAGGATTCCTAATATAGTTATAGGGTTTACGAGTAGTACCACTAGCAGTACTGTAACTGGACAACGAAAAGTCACTATCACTTAAATCATCTTTCAGATTCATTTCAGAATCACTACTTTTTGATAAAACATCATCATCATGGTCACTTTTACCACTAGAATCTTCACCAAAGTCTGAGCCATAATGATATTCAGAGTCCTTATAATCTACCAAGTCAGGATTATAACCCCTTCTATAAGATGGTCTTCCCCTAATTCCTCTAGATTTTGGTCTTCCTCTTGGTCTGAAACTTCTTCTACTGCTTTCACTTCCAATAGGAGAAGATCCTCTAGATGCAGTGGGTGTACTTGTCTGAGAGTTAGGCGTTTCGGAACCTTTTCCATCATTATTTAAACCTAGGAGGTATTTTGGCTTTTTCATTAAATGGTACTGAAATTTCCTAGGTCTTTCCATAACAACGGATTTGGGGGGCCTCCCCCGTCTTTTTGCGCCCCTAGCTGACATTTTGACTGTTATAACACAAAACAGCAGGTTATGGTTCACGTGTAGAAGTTTAACTTACACTTGTAAACAAAGCCAAATGACATAACTTTATCAAGAAGTATCCATGTTTGCAGTCCATCTTTGCGCCATTTTTCACTAATGGTCACGTGACCCACAACACTTGGCCATTCACTGGGTTAAAATTAAATAAACACACAAAAATAATGAATTAACACAAACACCGAAATGCACGCAGCATCTGAAAGCATTATTGGTCAGTTTGACAGCACCAGGCAATAATTCACTGACGCGGAGAGAACGTTGAGTTGCTAAAACTATGTTTTATGAAACAAGCCTTCTGATTGGTCGGTTCTGTCCCTTTCATCAATAGGATAAATTATTTTTTAGCACCTCCATAAAATAACCTAAAACGACTCAATAAAAGTCCATCTCTCAAACTATAAACAAACACTAAATGTCACTTTGGTTAAAATACTATTACCGAATGTAAAGAGTACAAATACGTTATGAGCTAATCCAACATGGCGACCGCCTATAACAAGTAAGCATTCGGTAGCATATCTGTATTGACAAAAAATGTTACTACTTTCGATATCGTTTTAAATTTACATTTCATTTAATAAAACGACGACATTATATCATAAAACGGAGTTCTACATATAGAAATGATGCATTCTATTACTTAACCGATATATGTTTAATATCTAGTAAGCAAGAAATATATCATTAACGTTTCATTTTTTTAAAGTTGTGCGAGTAAAGTAAAAATTTAAACACATTTTAATTCTTTTCTCGTAATAGAAACATCAATACTGATGTAATACATTTCGATTTTATTAAAAATATATTCGATTTCAACCATTACGCATTCAATTATTAATGACCACATATTAATTGTTGATTAGTAAATATTTATAGTCATTACAATAATTATTAATAAAATTAAGGAATAAGGATTCTATTTATTTTTATCTCATTGTTTAATTTTCTTAACTAGTGCTTTTGTTTGTATTGCTTAATTCCATGATGTGTGTAAATAAACTGCTGTTTTAAATAAAAGGAAGATCGTTTATTAAATAAAATCTATTTTATTCTTTCTTCTAATTTAATTCCTATAAAGATTCAATGATTTTTTTAAAAAAACCTGCGCAAATGAAAAAAAAAAATCGAATCTTATTTATATAACTAAATATTTGAATTACAATTTTTCTTTTCTAATTAACATTTGTCCAATTCTTTTATACTAAAACGTATTAAGAAGCGTTAAGTTTTGTATAATTTTCAAATTCCATGTAATTAACGAAACTGTAAATCATTGTTTGGATGATAATATTGTCCATATTTAAAAAAATGTATTAAATACTTGTATTTAAATAAAGATTATAACTGTGCTAACAACATGAAACTATCACTATCCCTTTACTTCTGTTTAAATTGGTCTTTAAATGCTAGTTTTAAATTGTTTTATCTGCTGGCAATATACTGAGCTATTTTTTCTTTCAAACTATTTTGTACTTCTTTGAGTATTGTTTCTTCAATTTAGAAATAAAAGTACAGACGTACATACCTCTTGTTTGGAACAAGACCGGCACAACTCAAAAAATAAATAACATGCAACTTTTGCATAATCACAAAGATTATTATAATTGTGTAAAAGTTGAAAATTAATTTTTGTATGGTTTCTCTTTTATGAAGTAGCGATGTATGTATACATAAAAAAAATAAATTGGGTTGTGTCAATACCAGAATTGGATGGGGAAAGGGTAAAGGGGATATTTATCCCGGATGGCATAATTAAGAGAGCGGCAAATTCGATCGAATTTTTTTTCATTTAAGTAAAAAATATGTTATACTTTTTTGCCTTAATTAAGCCATTCCAATGAGTTAATGTTATGAATTGGTGACATTTATTTCAAAATATATTACCTAAAATATTGAGGGAAACTAGTCGACTGTTCTACATGTCATGGGTGATAAATATTCAGGACCCAGTCTTTTAAAAAAAATGTTTTTATTTATGCCAACGTTTCAACCCAAACATGTGGGTCATCTTCAGGACTGAAAATTTTAAAATATAATCAGAGATATAATATCATACGACCTATAATGGTAAATGATAAACTATAGTGATTTGATGGTACACGGATCTTAACTTTTATTACAACACACAATATTAAAAATGAAATATGTAAAAAGTTATACACGTATTTTTTTAAAAGACTGTGTCCTGAATATTTATCACCATACCTAAAATATTGTTATACAACTGTTTATTTTTATTGAATTATTCCATTCTGGGGAGTACCATCTGTACCATCTTATATATCAGTTTTTTTTTTTATTTTGTAAGGATATGATTGGATTTTTCATTATTCCTTGGTATTTTATTACCCAGATTAATGTAAAGACAGTCTCAACATTCTGTAAACATTGTTTCCATGACTACGACTGTACATATACATACAGCTATGCATGTCTCTAATAGCACCTGCATAAAAAATATATTGGCGTAGATTGTTTTCTAATAAGTAGAGAAATTGTTATACGATCACGTATGATATTTGTCTAATAAAAAAAAATAATAAAAAATTCACTCTTTTCAAAAGATATTTGCTTATCAAAATAACTCCAAAGCCTCACACTTAATGTTGCTACTTTTGACTGGATGTATTCAAGAGTACTTTTGGCATTTAGAATGCCTTGCGTATCATCACGGGCCGATCTACGGGGAGGAATTTGGGGCTGAAGACCCCTTCCCAAAATGGTAAAATATAACTATGTTTTATGGAAAAAAATTATCTCTTAAAGTATTATTGTTCGTGTAATTACATTTAAAAGGACTTTAGGAATCACTTAAACACCATTTCATATAGGTAGTTAGTTTCTTTCTTTTTTCCAAAGTAATTATCGTCATTTTTATGAAAAAAAAAAGTTTTCGGACTGAAGCCCCCCAAAATTAAATCCTGGATTCGCTAGCGCGTATTATATAAGTATACGTGCATGAAATGTTAAAGTATGAGGCTTCGTGCCAAATCTCTGACGTCTGGAATCTCTGACGATACTTAATGTCAGATGCGATGATGTCTTAACGAATAGAGTATAGACGTCAGTTGCTAGACTTACGAAGTTTAGTTTTTGTGAATCTATCATTAGTTCATAATCGAAATGGAGATTGAAAAATCATTTTTAATTAAGCTTATTTAAATTTATTGGAACCTACCGTATCTATGGAAGGTTAAATCGGAAGATGGTTCCAGTTCTCTTTCGCTACTCCATGATAGCTCAGCTTTCTGAAAATATCTGAATTTGCCAAAAGAAGAAGGAACCTATCGCTTCTCAGCTCTTGATTGTCAATTACCCAACATTTAAAAGCGAAATTTTTACTTCATTATAATAGTTTATAACAAGGATCTCCAAACTATGGCCTGCCAACGTGTTTTTGATTATATGATAAAATTGAAAAAAATATGAAATTTAGCAAATTACTCACACAAGAAGTTATTATAATATTTATTGAGTGATTTTTTTTTCTCTCAGAAAGCTAATTTTACAACTGAAGTGTCATTTGTCATGTCAAATTAGAGAACAATAATTTTTTTTATCTCCTCAAACCGTAAGAAGGTTGAATTTCAATGTAATTTAAATAGGCTTATTTTTAATGATGTATTTTATTAGTATATCTATACCTCTCCTCAGCCTTCACTGGTCCTTTTTTTTAACGTGTCTAGAAGCACCGCAACCATGAAGGCCTATTGTGGTCCTTAATACCATTGATACGACTGAGCGAGAGGTGCTGGGATTTCCTAGTCCTGCTTTCCCTCTCACGAGTCAGGGAAGGCTTAGTTCGAATTTCACTTGAATGTATGAATTTTGTAAATATTGTATAGATGTATGTCTATAAGTTGTTTTGATTAGTTTAAACGTTGGCAACTGAAAATATAATTTCCAATTATTATGTGTGTGACTTGGAAACGTGGTAGCTCAGAGGATAGAGCACTGACTTCAAAAGCTAAAGGAATTAGATTCCGGCTGATGGTAGGTAATTATTCATTCTGTTTCATCAGCCATGGATCTAACCTGGTGTTGGAAGACCCTCCTGGGGCACACCCAGCCTTTATTAACTAAGGCTTAATTAATTAGTTAAGGGAAAATCCTGACGGCTGAGCGTGATGCCGATCAAATCACCTCCTTACACAACCGTTGACCAAGAAACAATATTTCCTTACATAGTACTGAACCCAAGACCCTTCATGGATTCCAGTGGTACAGGTTTATTATTATTATCTCTTTTTTTTATGTTTGATTGTTTTCCCTGTTTGCATATTACTTTTGCAAAAGAAAATATAAACTATATTATTTAATTATTATTAAAGGTTCCTTTGCTAGGTAAATTACTTTTAAAAAATTCAAGCTGTGTTTTCAAATTACTTTACTTTTTTCCCAATCATGTTAATGTTCAATTTCTAATTATAAGATAAAAATGGAGAATGTATTAAACAGTAGGTAAAAAAAAATAAAAGTATATATATATTTATACAAATTCTTAACTTTAAAAATGGGTGCATCGAGCATTTGTATATCCTTACATTTGGTATCATACTATTATCAATTATACAACTTCGTTGTTAGAAATTTCTACTAATCGTATGAACTTCTGTTTTCATATTTTGATGAAAAACAAAGCGTACAAGAGAGAAGCAACCGTACCAGGAAGATCGCCGGACAGAGGAGGAGATGGTGGCTAAACTGAAGAATGTATGCTAACGTAAACATATCCTTACTTGCAGCAGTAATTTGTTATGCAGGCATTTGTGTCATCTCACTGACGCAAACGACCGTATTTCCTTAACGGAAAGATGGGTTAGAAAATAAAATAAAATACATTTTCAATGAAATCAAGACATCCGAAATCTGAATAAGAAAATCAAAAATAAATCTGGTGGATCCAAGAAGAAAGTAGTAAGACGAAACTTCGTCATTAAATTTTTCACCAATATCTAATTATCTCTTTTCTTTTTACCATACTCCGACTTTCCTACTGAGCCGTTTTTTTTACCAGGTCAGAGGAGAGGGTAGAGTATTAATTCCAGAGTTACAAGCCTCCCTGCATTTGGATTCGAACTCATCTTCTGTTTATCAGGTTACCGAACAACGCCTGTTTTGTACTCACGTTATCACGTTGCATTTAATTGTCTTTGAGATAGGAGTGCCCATCCCCCTCTTGGTCGAAAACGCACGAACTTCCTCCTACCTCCCAAAATATTTTATTGCTCTCCTCTTCTTAATACCAGTGCAAGCTAAGTAGAATTTTAGAAATCATAGGTCATACATAAGCAATTACACGTTCAGTGGTCTGTTCTGTTTTTCTTTTGTTCCCTGGCTTGAAACTTTTCATTTCAAAATTTCATAACCCCGACGAAATGTACCTCCCTCAAAAATTGAAAACACCGTCAAAATGTGGCTCTTTCAAAAATTTTGATCATACAACTTGCACCATTAAACCCCCTTATAGGCAATCCTGCTTTCAGAGGAGCTCATTCTATGTTCTCCTTTCTGAATCTTTCAAATTTCTTTTCCCGATCCACCAAGCATTTAGAGAAATATTTCCCTTTCTCAATTGTTTTCTTTACAACCTGCCAAAAGATGAAGATAGTTCCCAAGTGCATAAAAATTGCTTCCGAAAATAAAATCGCCATCATGGTCTATTGAATTTCATTAGAACTGACCACTAGGGGATCCAGGATTTAATTTTGGGGAGGGAGCTTCATCATGAAAGCTTTTTATTCATAAAAAAAACTATAATTACTTTGGAAAAAAAGGAACTAACTACCTATATGAAGTGGTGTTTAGTGATTCCTAAAATTCTTTTGAATGTAATTACATGAACAATAACACTTTATAAGAGATAATTTTTTGATATTTTTTTCCACAAGACATGGCTATATTTTACCAATTTTTGGTGGGGGGCACTACCGGATCCAGTATTTAATTTTTTTTTTGGGGGGGGCTTCAGCCCAAAAGATTTTTTTTTTCATATACATATAAGGATAATTAATTTGAAAAAAAAAGGAAAGAAATTAACTACCTATATGAAATAGTGTTTAAATGGTTCTTGAAGTCTTATTAAATATAATTACACGAACAATAATACTTTGAGAGATAGTATTCTGTATTTTTTTCTGTAAAACATGATTATATTTTACCATTTTGGGGGGGCTTCAGCCCGAAAGCCCCCACTCCCCGTAGATCTGCCCATGGAATTGACCCATCATAAAATTCTCTCTTCAAACACTAGAGGAACCAGGATTTAATTTTTTTTTGGGGGGGAGGCTTCATCCAGAAAGCTTTTTTTTTCTTAATATTCAAAGAGTTCAAGACTACTGGATACCCAATAATTATACTTGTTCATATATGAGTCGTTTATTTTCAAAATGAACACTAATCATCATTAAGTTTTCAAGAAAAACGAAAAACCAATATTTGCAAAAAAAAAAAATTACGAAATTCTACATTTGTATCATATATTTCTGAAAACCATTGATTATTTTAATAGTAATAAAAAAAAACATTGAAACTTGAATAAAGCAGCTTTTGGAAAGAAATATACTTTGAAAGCATGTTTTTGAACAAAAAACGATTAATTGGGTTTCGGTTTGAAAAGAAAAAATGTTATATGATTAGTGGAAAAAAGTTATAAAATTGTGCTATAAAAAATTAACATTTTTTTTTTACAATAATTGTACAATGAAATTAATTTTCATTTGAATAAAATGATGAAAAAAGTTTTTAATAAATTATTTTCTAAAGTATATTTAAGAAATGGAAGTTTCAGTACATTCCTTGAAAAAAAAAGATAGGTTTCAGAAATAAACTTATTTTTTTTACCATTTCATTAATATTTAGGTTCGTTTTTGAAAAATTATGACAAAGGTTTATTATGTTTTTACATGGGAATCGATACATTTCAATTTTCAAAAAAATCCATTAGGGTTCACTTTGGAAATAACTGACAAATAAAAAAATTTTGTTTTTTATTTTTTTGTTTTCCTTACCTTCACCACTCCAACTTAAATAACCTTGTTAAGTATGAAATTCTATAGTATACTTTTTCAAACAATTAACATTGAATAAAAATTACTTAAATATTTGGTTTAATGTATAGCAGAAACACATTATTTTAGAATACATTATAAATTTACAGTGTTCAACTGAAACAAATACTATATATAATTGAAGGAAACTAGTCGACTGTTCTACATATTATGGGGGATAAATATTTAGGACGCAGTCTTTTATAAAATTTTTAATTTTTTATTTGCGCCAACATTTCAACCCAAACATGTGGGTCATCTTTAGGGTGTGGTTCGAGCACTGAAGATGATCCTCATGTTTGGGTTGAAACGTTGGCATAAATAAAAAATATTTTTTTAAAAGACCGCATCCTGAATATTTATCACCCATAATACTATATATAATTCTTACAGTTACAATCAAAATACTAAATGTATTTACCTATCAAGAATAGAATAATATTCATCATTTTTTTACTGTGGTCTTTAAAGCGTATTGCTTTTCCTTTAGGTAAAAAAATAATTTGGAGTTTGAATTTCAATATTTATATATTTTTTTTTTTAAATTCAGATATAAAAATCTAAATACTGTCTCGTAAAAACAAACATTAATTACACCTAATAACAAAAACAAGAATATACAATATTAGAAATTTACTGGTCATAATTTTTCTTTATTATAGATACAAATTCTCGTAAAGGATTCGTGTAAAAGAAATATATAACTTACAATAGTCTAAATAATTAATCTTTATCATTGTAGATAAATACAGCTCTAGATTTACAAAGAACATAGTTTCTTATCTCCAGGATTTTAATTAAGTTATAAAATAAGTATTAATAACTTATCACAGGTAATGTCCATGTAACAGTTCACTTGGTATCGTAGATATGGAGAATATAACAGAAACTTATAACAATAAATAAACTTAACTGTAATGCACATCCAAAATATAAAGGGAAAAACTCAAAAATATACATTTTATTATTATTAGTAATTTAAGAATTTCCCAAATCTGTTTAACATGTTGACTGCCGATCTAAGAGAGTTAGTATCCATGAAGTAGGAGACCAACGATGTGTTAACTCGTTTGTTTAGGCGCCATATATTTGCAACTATAATGAAAGCTGTTCTTTGATGATGATTAAGCTATTAATAATATAATATGATTAAACTAACTTGAAATTATAAAAAAAAATACTATGGCAATCAACATGTTAATCTAGTAGTTTATTTTAAAAAAATAAATAAATAAATGAAAAATAAAACAAATTAAAATGAGGAAATTGTTAATAGTAGCTAATCTAAGAGTGTAAATATATGAGTGGCCTCATATCAAAGACGCACATCTGTCATTTTCAGAAAATGGAGAAAAAGACAATTATTGTTTTATTTGTTCAATTCAAACTGTTTCTGATGACTTCATTTAATAATTTTAAAACTTGAACCTTGAAAAAAAAAATCTTTAGAATTGGTTTAAATCGAATTTATGTTACAAAAATTAACTTTTTCTCAAATTTTTTTTTTTTAATGTGATATCAGGCTACTCAAATATAAAGTGTTACCAAGGTACAAAAATAAAGATAAAAATTTGGAAAACTTGATAGAATTCCTAAAAGCAGAAAAGCAGCACCTTTTGAGTTTTGTCCCTTTCTTTTTGAACGTACATTATACTTATGACATTCATTATTATGAAAAAAAAAACGCATTTAAATAAAATAATTACTATTTCAAGTACGATATACTAATTTTCATGAAAAGGAATGAACCATATTAAAAAACAAAACAAAATTTCAATAACAATTACAAAAAAGAAAAGAATTATTACCATTTTGTAATAAAAAACTTTAGTAATAAATAACCATAACGACAAGTCTCCGTAAAACAATTTCTCCCTCTCTCTTTTTTTTTAAATAACAAATATAAATGTAATAGTTTAAACTTTTGCTAAAATTCAAATATATCACTAAGGCCTTCTTCCGGTCTTAAGGCATAGAGGTAATCTTCTTTTCCTGGAGGAGGATTCAAAGGAACGAAGTGATTCTGGCCTGTATAAAAAAATTATATATATCAATTATATATATATATCAAAATAAAAATGACAATAAAAGCAGCACAAGAGTAAAAAATAAAATAAAAATTTCTTAAAATTAGGTATTTTTATTACTCAATTTTTATTTGTCAGAATAAAAATGAAAAGAGTCTCGAATTTTTCTGATGCATATTCAGGAAGTTAATCATCATAAAAGAAAAGTGGTGGAGACATAGCTGTCATTTTATTGGGTTAGCAAATAAATCCTTTCGGTTTTTCTGTTTATTTTTATGTCACTATGATACACTTCTTATGTGATGAATTAATCTCTAAGATGGATTGTTTATCCTGTTTGTAATATGAAAGTATAGTTTATTTTATTTCTCTAAGGAAATTCCTGTACAAATAAATATAATGGTATAATTAACAATGTTAGATCTTGAATCTAGTACTGCATTCAAACATAACATTAACAATGTCCACATGTCCACAGCATTATGTATGAATAATATAATAACAGATTAGTAAACAATTATATATATATATATATATATATATATATATATATATATATATATATATATATATAACAATTAGTAAAACTTTTTTTTTTTCAATAATACATTTTTTTTTTTTTTTTTTAAATATGCCAGAGGTATAAGACAAATGACGATAAATAAGCATTAATATATGTTATACGATTAACTATACCACTTAACAGTTCAATGAACAGCCCTGTATGAAATAATACAGTTAGTTTATTTTTTTCATAGTGTCTATTTTCAGTATCTCCTCCACACTAGCATCTTCTCTGGATTCAGTGATAAATGTCTTCAAGTACTTATTTCTCGGCTCGTTGAACTTGATACATTGGATCAGAAAATGAGTTACCGGGTCAGCTACAAGGCAGTTGCATGCACCACATACCTCACTGGATTTAATAGTCAAAGTAGCATCTTTTAAGTATATTTTCATAAAATCTTTACTTGCTACTCTGAGACGACTAACGGCTCTTAATTTGTCCTGTTTGTAATATATCAACAACTATATCTGTTAATTCTTATTGAAACTAGCTAAGTATTGTATTTGCTATTGCACTGTGAATATGGAAGAAAATATCATTCATTATCGGCATATTTTGTTATATTATTTTTAAAAAGGTAAGCATGCTATAGAAGCTCATAGAAAAAATTGCAATGTTTATGGGGATGATAACTGAACACACCTGTCAAAATCGTTTTGCCAAATTTCATTCAAGAAATGTTTACATCAATAATGTTCAACGGTCTGGTTACCCACATGAAATCGAAACGAGCAATGTTAAGGCCGCTGTAGATCAAAATCCCATCTAATCAGTGTGAGAGATTGCTATGACCCTAAATGTGTCGCAGAAAAGCATATAAAACCATTTGCACAAGCTCGGCTATGTTTCCAGGCTTAATGTTTGGGTCCCTCACTCTCTGACCAAAGTCAACTTGACAATACGCGTTTCTGTTACTGATTTACTACGGAAACGGCAGCACAACGACCCATTTTTAAAAAGGTTGGTAACAGGAGATGAAAAATGGATATTTTGCGATAATGTAGTCCATAGAAAATCTTGGGGGCCTAATAGTGAGGCTCATAGAATAATGTCAAAACCTGTACTGCATCCAAATGGTGGGATTTCAAGGGTGTTATTTTCTATGAGCTATTGCCATCAGGACAAACAATTAATTAGACTCTACACTGCTTACAATTAACAAAATTGGATCAATCAATTTAAAGTAAACGTCCAGAACTGGCAAATCAGAAGAGTGTTGTGTTCCACCAAGACAACATTAGGACTAAAAGGACTTATTTGCCAACCCAACAGCTTAGAATAGCATTTCAAAACGTAGCTATCATAAAAAATTTCATCCAAGAATTATCTTTCTGTTTTTTCTATAACTGCTTACTTTCTGAATAAAAACATTTATTTATTGAAATTTATGATTTACTAAAGATACAGAAGTTGAAATTGGTAATATGACATGTATAGACTTGCAGAGAATCTACCCATTGGTAGAACTCCGATTGTAGTTCTACATTAAAAGGTCCCGAGGCCATTTTCTTTTGAGATGCCTAGGCAGAATGTCAGGAATCGAAGAGGATGCAAGGTTAGAAAAAGTGGCTTTGGAATTATGGATTAATGGTGCCCTAAAGTTCAATTCCATAAGTCCAAATAGGCCTTATAATAGTCAAGTAAATTATTCTTTAGTAGTAAATGTCCACTGTGGACATTATGCTTTTATTTAAATAGGATGAAAATATTTTAACATTGGAATACTTGTCATATAATTTTTATTTTTGACTGTCTACAGATTTGACTGTTTCAAAAGAGAATTTCTGAATTATATAAGGTGACAACTTATTTCAAGGAAACAATTTTTGCAATAATGATATAGAATTGTGGTTTAGATGGATTATATAATCATATTATATAATTTTCTACTTGAAAATGGGCAAAATTGCCCGAAACACCATTGAGCTGTTTAAAATGAATTAAAGAATTAATAAAATGTATAAGGGTTAAAATGCAATTTTTTCCTCGATATTATAAGCTTTGTTTAGTAATATGTCCCCTTAGAAAATTTTGAAGATTTAATGAAAAATTAGTTTAAAATGTATTTTATTAGCTTTGCATATTCTTACAAAGTATATTTTAATGATGTAGAGATGGTTGACCATTGATATAATATGAGGAGTTGATCGGGGGGTGCGGTCAAATTAATACTAAATTAAACAAGTAGAATTATTTAATTTTTGCCAACAATATCTATCTACTTATATTCATTTATTTTATTTTCACCATGTTTTGTATCTTTTGTCACCCTGATGAAGACCTGCAAAGTGGGTCGAAACATCGGCAAAAATTAAATAATTCTACTTGTTTAATTTAGTATTAATTTGACCGCACCCCCCAATCAACTCCTTCTCAAAGTATATTTTAAAGTAGGGCTAAGAGATTTTTTATATCATCCTGTTTGGTATAAATTTTCTAAGGTCATACTTCCAGTTCCCACTAGGGATGGCCACGGATAGTCGATGTTATCGAAATATCGATATTGTAATTTAAAAATTAAAATTAAAACTATTGTTTTCGGAAAGCGCATGAAATTATACATGATTCTGATTGTTAGAAAAAAATTATACTCATCTTGCCTGTTTGATATAGAATGTAGTGCTTAGTAGAGGAAATATTGATATTTCAACAATATCGACAGCCATCCCTATACAGAGTTAAATAGCGCACAAGGGACCCTTCTCATTCAGTAAATTCAATTTGCCCAAATTTGTCAGTAAGAATCTACTCAAACCAAGGCCACGAATCATCAAAGAAATCTATATAGGATGAAATAAATTACCATTTCGCTGAATGTAAGGCATAATTGGTTGAATGGAAATTTCTGGAAAAAAAGAGAGGATGACAAAGATGGGCATGAACTAGAAAATTAATTTTACTAAGGATGGTAGAAGAATTGATATTTCCATTAATTAATTTTTTTTTTATTTTTTTTTTTTATTTATTTATTGATGATATTTACAACTGTATTACAAGTAAAAATACATTTAGTAAATGTGAACAAAAGAATATAAAAGCATGAAATCATTTGTTGAGAAACTACCCACTGGTAGCACTCTAAAAATGTATTTACAAAAGGAGATCTCGAGGCCATCTTCTTTTCAGACGCCTCGGACGGTTGTCCGGGATCGAAAAGGAAGCAAGGTTAGAAACGAGAGGGTTAGGATGGTTCTGAAGTTTGTTATGGAAGGAAAGGTATCTGGATTGGGCCAGGTCAGAAACATACGGAACATTAACTTAACTTAACGGAACATTAAATCATCGTTATGGATGATTTTGTTTGTGACGAAGTAAGGAGCTGTGAGGATTTTTTAAATTAATTTAAAGAGGAAAATAACATCTTTTTTGATCCGCCATGTGCTAGAGATTCGATATTTATATTGATAATCATATTTCAAAAATATTTATAATATCGATGAAAATATTTACTATCGATATTTTAAGTCCGATATTTTGTAACTATGGTAACGATAGTTATAGGCCAATATTGATATCGATATCCCATCCCTAACCCCCTCCCCTCCCCACCACAGCTCGCAGGCGAACTGTTATTTTAAGTTTTAACCAAAATATGAATCTTTTTTTTAATATTTAAAAGTGCAATTTCAATCTTATATACATTTTTTATCACTTCAATTCTATTATAGCTCAAATTTACAAGGTTTCCTTTTTCCAATTGCAAGTAACAATTCTCTTTTACCATAATATTTTATAATTAAAATATTATTCTGATAAAGATATTACAAAATTAATTTATTTTTAAATATTAAACTTGTCATTTTAAAGAATGTTAAATGTTAATTTAAACTAAATTGAATTACACATTGAAATTTTTATCAATCCAAAAAAAAAAATTAGTTATTTTTGAAATAACTAAAACTTACCAATTGCATCTATATATGGTGTCATATTAGTTCTAGTTTCTCTTTCGAATGGTACTGAAAAAAATAAAATAAATAATAATGATATTGCATAAAAAGAAAATGGGTGGATTTATAATATTTTTTCTAGGACAAAGATTCATTATTGAAAAAAATAGACAATGCATAACCACAAAAAGCTTAAATATTTTACTTTAGGATTCTGGTACATCCAGTAAAATAAGAAATATATATAACAAAAATAAAAAAAAAACTTCCTTAGAATAGAAGAGAAAAATAGTTTTTCAGTTGACGAAATGATGATCCCCTACCATCGGAAAAGAAAGTTGGATAACGGTATCAATATTTGAAAAATAAAACCAACAAAGAATCGATGAAGAAGGAAGAAGGTTGAAAAAGGACCAAGCAGGTAGCAGCAGCTGGAGAAGAACACCATAGGAAAAAGAAGGGACTTGAGGCATGGTCATGAAGGAAGGAGGTGATCTGAGAAGAGAAGTCTACTACACTGAAGATTAAGAATATCAAACCTATAGTTATAACACTGTAACCATGATTATGAAAGCATTGGAAAAACAAATAGAACTCTACTCTCTTTTGTTTCCTGTGCCAGATTACTAATTAGTATTTTTTTAGGATGTGCATGTGCTCTTACATCTTATATCTCTTGTATCTTGACTATCTTTTCTTGATGTTAAGATGTGGCATGCCATACTATTGTATATAGAATAAGTATCTTTTTTGTTATTTTTATTATCTTTAATATCTTCCTATTTATCTTTAATTCTATATAGTAATTAAGTTTAAATTCTCTCTTTTTCCTTGTTTATTATTTCTTTTTATTGTATATAGTATTAATTCTGTAAATATTTCTTTATGTAAATAGATCGCTTAACCTTTTTTGCTGCTTTATAAAAATATCCAACCTAACTTATAGAATATCCTTCTCATCTGAGCTAGCATGGTAGGATAAAGTATTAATCATAGCCAAATAATGGGTAGTTAACTTATATTCTCTATAACTACCTCTTTAGAGATGAAAGGCTAGTACAGCCAGGCGCCGAACAAGTGAAGATTCTGACAGAAAATTATATTCATCAAAAATTGTTTTATTATCTTTTTATTTATCTTTTTTTTTGGTCATAACACTTTAATACATTCAATTTATTACAATTGAGAAAATAAATTATTTTGCTATACAGGAGTGAATAGTCCTTTTATTTAGTTGTCCTATATGTCTCACATTTGAAGAATAACAAACCATATGAGTCAATTCATTCAAAGTGTGTTTACTAAGTCCCACATTTCAGATATATATATTCTTATTATTACTTGTCACTCGGTGTTACAAAAAGCATCGAATTCCTAACGACAGTAAAACAACCTCAAAAAGTCTATATCTAGTGCGGGGTTTTGTTTTAGGAAAATTAAAATTCACGAGTATAAATAATCTAGTCCCCCGCCGAAAAAGAGGAAGGAAGATTTCCAATTACCGTCTAAAAGGTTATTTACAATTAACCCTTAACGGGTTATTAACATCACCCCTGTATCGCTTGAAAGTCTATACATCGCTAGTAATTAACTGTCTATGATTAAAAGATATGATAAAGATAAAAAAACTAATTAACAGCATAAAAAAATCCCAAATAACATGACTTACTGACTGAAACAATTAGACAAAATTTCTTAAACCTTCACAATCTGGACATAAAAGTTAAACTTTAATGGGTTAAAAGACGCAGCAGGATCGCTGGAAAAGAAGCAGCATATAACATATGATAAAACCCCTCTACTCCACCTAAAAAAATACATTTTGACTGACATTATAAATACTTGGAACAGACAATGGCAACAAGCAACCAAAGGACGACCGCTTTATAAATTTGTTTCTAAAGTAACACTTACCAACTATGACAAAATCAAAAGTACACGATACAAACTGACACAGTTTTTTAATGAACATGGGAAATGTAAATTTTACTTAAAACGTTTTCATCCGACAAATACTGATACAAGTCACTGTGACAAACTCCTCAGATATTTCATTACATTCTATATGACTACCCTATTTTTAACTGTAAACGGTAACCTCATAAGAAGAATAATTCTACAAGGAGATAATTGGCCGCTGAAAGAAGAGGACATCTTCAAGAGTTTTGTTTTATGTATACTTATTTTTGGTTTTTATTTTCTTTTTCCCATGTGCTCAATTAGAAAAATATGAACTTTACCATAATCATGTAACTTACAAATTTATAAGAGATATGTAATTTTTCACCCATTGTATATATATTATTATGCTTAATGCATGGAACACGTAAAATTTAACAAATAAACGACCCTTGTGCAGGGTTACTGTATGAGGGAAGTTTACATACCTTAGACATAAAAGGCTCATATTATTATTGGGCTTATTTGAAGCTGGACAAGTTGGTTATTTATTATAGTTACAAATTGGCAATAAGGCTCGATGTATAATACAGATTTTTATAGAAATTAAAAATTTTTCCGAACTATGGTTTTGTTGCATTTATTTTGTGTTGATATAAAATAATACAATCTGAATTACACAAAACATGTAAATTACAGTTATACAATTTGAGCAGTAGTACAATTGAATGAACAGTTGTAAAATGGGGGCTGGTTCGTGTTAGGCGGACAGAAGGTACTCTCCCTCCCCCTCCCCCCAGGTAACTTATAATATCCAAAACCATAATAAAATTAAATTTAACAATTTATAATTATTTAACAGAAAATATTACAAACAATTAATCTTTAACAAACATTTGCAAAATCACTATACTATATAAATACAATCGGGTTTACTTATAAATAAAAATTGTTTTACAAACTGAAACATACAAGTCATGTTAAAAAAATACATTACCTGTTGGCAAGCCACGTAATATAACCCTAGCACTTTCAACAAAGTCTTCATCATCACAAAGTTCGGTATTGCTATCATTCCTAATTTCTTCATTCTTTGGTTTAGAAAATGTTTGCTTACGACTAGGCTTTGGACTTCTAACGTTTCTTTTCGACTGTAATAAAAAAATTGTTTATTAAATAAAAATGCAGAAAAGTATAAACAATTATTTAATAACTACAGAAGTTATCAGGGCATATTTTGAGCAGTGGCCTTAGTGCTTGAAACACAGCCTGATGATGATCCACATACTTTGGTTCAGCACTAAAAAAACCCTTAAAAATGACTGCGTCCTGACAATTTATCATCTTTGAAATACCATTATATAATGACACTCATAGATAAAGTCCTTCTTTAGGATAGGACGAATTACAGTCCTTTTCCATGCTTCTAGTATCCTTTATTCATCCCATATTTTCTGGATTAGTTGTAATTGTGATACCATAGTATTAAAATTTAAATTAGGTGTACTCTACAATCTTTAAACAATTCCAATAGTAGGATGTCGCAGGACCCACATGCTTGGGTTGAAACATCATCACTAATAAAAACCTTAAAAATGATTGCGTTCTGACTATTTATTATCCTTAAAATAATATTATAGTGATCAAAACAGTGTGAGCGGATTCATTAATATACATAACATAATATACAAAACACAGCCTATAGGAAAAGAAAATATAACCAGTACCACTACAACACATGAAGGGTCTTGGGTTCACTTTTTAGGGAAAGCACTGTTTCTTGGTCTATAGTTCTGCAAGGAGGTGATTTGACCGAGATCACGCTCAACCGCCAGGTTTTCCCCCTTAATTAATTATTTTACTTAAGGGTACCCACTTTGTAGAGGCTTGGTGTGCCCCAGGAGGACCTATCTACCCAGGGTAGCCTCACGGCCAATGAAACAGAATAAATAATTTTTCTGCCATGAGCCGGGGTTCGACAGTAATTAATATAACAAAACTACATTTAAAAAATAAAATAAATAATACACTAAGCAATACTGTGGATTCAGAAAAGGCAGGTAATTCAAGATTTAAACTCACCACCTCTTCATCGATTTTAGAGCAGTTAATGATAGCGTGAATAGGGGCCTCAGAGGCAACATGTGGCCTCTGTTACATAGTTGGGCCTCGGAGGCCATGTGCGGCCTCCGAACATTTTTACACAATATTTATTAATCTAGTACTAGTTATTATTTAACTATTTAAATAACGTCAATTTGGAAGTTCATAGAATGTATGTATGTGAGTGTTTGTATTTAAAATTAAATAAAAATAGAAACGTTAAAATATAAATAATTATTGCGGCCTCCGTTAGCTTTTCCTAACCTTACTGTGGCCTCTGATAATAAAAAAGTTTCCCACCTTTTATCGCATTTTAAGATCCTTAGCAAGCTCATAGACCTTGTGCGGCTTACAATGAACAACGTTAGCAGCATGGTTCAAATCAGTGGAGAGTGATCGGAAGAATTCTTCTCAGGAAAAGGAATGCGTCTGGGAGACGACTTAGCTTTCCTTTTCTTTGATCTTGCGCTTGAGAAAGCAGTGAGAGATGCTGGCATACAGACCAAAGGCAAGATCTTTAATAATCTTAGCAACTCCTTGTATATTGTATACGCGGATTATATAGACATCATGGGATCTTCCTTGCAGGCTGTATCAGAAGCTTTCCTTGCTCTAGTTGATCCTGCAAAATGACTTCACTTTAATATATGTGACTGTGTCGATGTCTGTATAAAGAGAACTGAGCTCCCTATTTTTTCTTTTCCTCCAGACATCAACCTCCTTTACTGGACTCCTATAAATCCTTCTGAGGACTCCTCGCTCAAACACACTAAGCTTCATCTCATCACTTTTTGTCATCGTCCTAGTCTCTGAGCCATATGTCAAACCAGGCCGTACAAGGGTCTTGTATATAATCAACTTGGTCTTCTTTGCGACCAACCTACTTCTAAAGTGTCGGCCAAGTCCAAAGACACATATATTGGCAGCCGTGATCCTTCTCTGTATTTCTTGAGCCATGTCATTTTTGCTATTTATTTCAGATCCAAGGTATATAAAGCTTTTTACTCTCTCAAACTTAAAAGAACCTACCTCAAATGGAGAGTTCAGATCCACCTCACCACCGCTGCCAAAATAAAATATATGGTCACAGATATGCCTAGGCTTGGAAGAGAAGATGACCTTCGGAGACTACCTATTCGAGAAGACTAAAGATTCTGTACATCTCCGCTCATTGGCAACTCAAGACAACGCTCCTGAAGAGGTTAATTTTCTATGGTGTAGTAGACAGCCTCCTGTATTTACTCCTTTATGTGACATTGGGTGAGGGAATGAGAAGGAACATATAATATATAGGAATGTGAGGTTGCACTGTGAATTGTACTCAATTGTGCAGTTGACAAATTGCTCATTGGAAAATCTCATATCGATAAACAATTGATAAAGAAGGAAAAAGGTCCGATCAGGTAGCAGCAGCTGGAAGACGACGCCAGGGAGAGGGAGAGAAGGGCACTTGAGGCTGGACATTGAGGCGGAACACATACCTGGGAAGAGAGTCTACTACAAGATTTAGAAGATCAAGTCTATAGTTATAACACTTTAATGGAGTCAATTTATTACATTTGTAGAAATAAATCATTTTGTTATACAGGAGTGAAATGTCATTTATTTATTTAGTTGTCCTATATGCCTCACGATTGAAGAATAACAAACCAGGTGAGTCAATTCATTCAAAGTGCATTTACTAAGTCCCACATTTCAAATATATACTCTTATTGTTTCTTCTCACTCAGCGTCACAAAAGGTATTAGATTCCCGAATTCCCAACAACAGTTAAACACCCTCAAAAAGGCTATATCCAGTGCCGGGGTTTTGTTTTAATAATCATGAGTGTAAATAACCTAAGTTCCCGATAAGCGGAAGGGCTATTCGCTATTCCCGCCAAAACTAATTATTTAACAATTAACTTTCAGTAGGTTATTTACAATGGTCAGTCACTTTCAAAGTAGAAGTTGTAGTAACTAAGCGATACTTAGTTTAGTAATATTGGTATGATTTAAAATAGATACATGCCAATAATTAGGTATGTATAATAAATACTCACAACAGGTAATTGACCATCAGACAACGAGTATTCCGAAAAAATAGGTTTACTATCTGACAGAGGTTTATTTCCAGAAAACAGCATCACATTAATAGGACCATTAGTCGATTTTAAAGTTAATTCGTAATCTAAATTGTCAGTCTGAAAAAAACAAAAAAAAACAAATAACAAATACAGATAGAAAATACACTTAATACTGGATTAATAAGAACTAAGAATAACAAAATTTTATAAATAAAAAACACATATATGGCTAAAAACTACATACAAAAAAATTTCAATGATATACAGTAACTTCAATAACAATAAGCTAAGCAGTAATAAAATAAATATATCAATGGCTCGGTTCAAAACTTACTAAAAAATCAATAGTTTTCAGTTTTTTTCTGATAAGTATGGCCTGTAATCTGTTCTTCATAGTACTAAATGGCACCATTTTAAAATGTATTAGCATCAATGTAAAAGTTGGTGTTTCACAATGGAATATTTTATTTTATTTTTTTTAAAGTTTTTTCAAAACGTTTGAACTCGTTTATCTCAAAACCTTGACTTGAGTTGTTTCTGTTTTGAACTGAGCAATCGAAATATATCTCTATAATATAAAAAAGTTTTTAGCGACCGTGTCAGATTTTAATTAAAATATACAAAGCAGAAAAGTACTGTTCCAATGAATGAATGAATAATGAAGACACCAGTGTGATGGACCATAACCACGACACCACATTTCTTAATCCCTGAATTATTTCTCTCTTATATAACAATAATTAAAATTATATAATAATATAAATTTAATAAACAACTATATGATCTATTAATCTAAAAATGTTTATTAAACTGTTTATCAAAGATCTACCATACTATGAAATAATACATATAAATATATCTATAAAATATAAATATTTATATCTATTATTTCCTTATATAACTTCATATTCCTTTTCTCTGTTTTACATTTTATTCTAAGATTACCATTTTGGTTTATTATTTTCAATAATCAACCATTGTGATCGACCAAAAAATTCAAAAACTTAACCCCCTCTCAAAATTTGAGGTTTCACGTTTCAGGACGCGTAGAATTCGAAAAACGAATAAAAATTTTTTTGTCCGTCCGCCGTCCGCGCTTTCTCCGAAACTACTGGACCGATTTTTTTTCAAATTTTGATATAAAATCAGAGGTCACCCGAGGATGATCCTCCTTCATCGACTTTTTTATATGTTCTACTCCAAATGTTATATCCTTGGTTTGGTTTTTAAATTTTGAATGTGTTACTGAACTAATGCTATTTTTTTTTTAGCATATTACTAATGATTAAAGAAAAACAGTTTAGTCCAATAATTGGAATCACCTTTTGTTTGTTTTTCTTTGTAACTCGGAAGATAATGTTACTTTAGATGTATAATTGTTTGGAAATAATAAACCATTGTGAAATAATTTGCAACATTTTCATTTCTTATGTTACCTTATTTTGATTATGTTTATTTCATTGGTCCGTGCTTTGTTATTATTATTTATTTATTAGTTCTCTGTTACTGTTATTATCCTACCTATTTTATTTTACTTTAAATGTTCACTGTATCTACTTCATTTTACTTTAAGTTGTTTCTACCTACATTTATTTAGTCTATACTTTTCATCTTTTTTAATTTTAATTCTTTATTATTCAATGTTTATAGTTTCTTTTACCTACTGTTATCTGGTTCTTTTCTTAGCCCAGATGAAGGCCTGAACTTCGGTCAAAACGTCGGCGAATGTGAAACTAAATATAATTATTTATTTTTAATATTTTTATTTTGACCGTTCACCCCAACCATTCTTCTCTTTGATAAATATTACACATTGATATTCCATTATGGGAAATGAATATACAAAGATGCGTACCATAACCTATCATATAATTTGTGCTATTTTTTCATATTCTTTGCTAATGGTGATATTCGATAAATAGATATTTCTCTTCTATTACATTTTAATAACACGTTATCCATTTTATTAAACTTTAAATGTTGCAAGCGACGATCACTTCATTTCAACTGTCTCATGACAAATGGAACATGGAGCAACGATGAATGTGAAATCCTGTGTGCATTTTGGATCCAAGTCCTTGTGTAACAAGTCATTTATTACATAGAAAGGTGCGTCTGCAATTTTTCGTAAAACTTGTGATTGAATGGTACATAAAAATGAAATGTAATTTTATTAATTAAATAATATTCTAAGCACAAAATTGATTTACTTACTTCATCGAGCCCCTGCCTACCGCTGTTGCAGTGTTGGGGTTCTCTAACAGAGCCTGGACCACAGATTTCTATCTAAAGTCAATTCTCTCCTCCTTCTCCAATCCATTTCCCTGTTTGCAAATGCTTCCTTTATACCTTCCTTCCATCTTCTAAATGGCCTTCCTCTCGGTCTACAACTGTCGACCTGTGTCTCATAGGTTGCTCTAGTTATTCTATTTTCATCCATTCTAATGAAAAGTCCATACCATCGGAGTTGATTTTCCTTGATCACTGTTCTTGCACGTTTTACATTGAGGTTCGTCCTTATTGTAGTATTCCTGATTCAATCTCGTCTTGTTTTATCTTCAATTCTCTGCAGGAATCTAATTTGAGAACTCTATAGTAGACTTTTGTGCTTTGTCATAAATGTCCAACATTCACTGGAATACACCAGTATTGGGATGAAAATATTTTTGTATATAGCCACCTTTGTTTCTTTTGATATTTCTCTCCTGTCAATGAAGCCTATTTTAACAGCATTGAAAAATTTTCCAGCCGAAATTATTAATACTTACGTTTTTCTGTTAGGTGTGCTCCTAGATACTTATAGCTATCCAGCTGTTCTATTATTTTTCCAATTATACGGACTATATGTAAGTTGTGATCCCGAAGTTTTCGAATTCTCATTACTTTCGTATTTTCCTGGTTTATTTGCATATTAATTTTAGCAAGCTCGTCCCTTAGGATCAATATATTATACTGAAAATCCCTACCATCTTTCCCAAAGACCGCCAGGTCATCAGCATAAGCCATCAACTTATAACTTGGGCTATTGGGCTTAGATTTCAGTAGCCAATGAGAAAATCTTTTATTTTAGGTTTGGCTTTTTTCAGAGCTGAGATCAGGAGAGCAATAAAGAGAAGAGGGCTGAGACAACAGCCTTGTCGTATACCACTGACAGTTTCAAATTCCACAGTGGTGCAATTGGACATTCTCACTATATTCCTATTTCTTTTGCAAAGTCTTTCTATAGTCATTCTTCTAAGCACAAAATATAGAAACAATATTGAAATATGCTCAGCATAAATATGCACAAAAATCAAATTTTGGCCAAATATGTAACATAAAAGTTTGCCAAAAGATTAAGATCGAATTGTTTGATAAAGATATTGACACAAATTTTTGAAAAAATTATGCAGAAAAATATGCATTTAAATACAAATCGGGGCTTTAGTAAATGCAAATAAAATAACATGTTGTTTACAATTATTTCTCTATTACTAACTAACGTGAAGAGACAAAAATATATCTCACCTTTTTGTTAAGGGGTACTGCTAATATCGAATTCATCGGAGCTTGAATTCCTAAAACTATATCACTATCAAAGCATGAAGACAAATCTTCATGAGTAATGTAAGCTTCCGGATAACTTAACATTTCTTCGGTCCTATTTCGAATCGTCTAAAAAATAATAAATAATATTAATTAATACAAGGTAAAAATTTTGAGGAAAATTTAAACATAGTATTGATTAAAGAAATAATAAGTATATTTTTGTTTACTATTCAACAACATGGGAATAACAAATGAAATTTCCTTCCTTTAAAAAAACACAGGAAAGTTTACAGAAACCAATCTCTTGATATGTCTCATGATCACAGGTTCCCATATAAGTAGCCACAATAAATATTTTGGGGATGATAAATAGTCAGGACAGTCATTTCAAGATTTTTATTGTTGCCAACGTTTCAACACAAGCATGAGAATCATCGTTAGAGTATGTTACAAGAACTGAAGGTGTTCAAGTACCATGATACCACACTCCATCATCTAGAAAGTACTTCATCAATGAAATCCACATCCTACATACTAGGTTGAAACGTCAGCAACAATATAAATTTTAAAATGAATGTGTCCTGACTATTTATTATCCATGATATATATAACAATTGACTAACTTCTTTCAATAATAAATATTTTACTATATAGTTAATTAATACATCAATATTATGAATAATTATAAAAATATTTTTTAAAAGCCAATTTATTTATGCTAATTTTTTCAGTTGTTAGCATAGGAATTTTAACGTAAGCTAACCAAAAAAGCTAACTTTGGCATACAGAAAGTGTGATCATGTGATCTTGACACACATGTCAACCTGATGTGATATTATCTAAAATTATTTGAATTCCTCTTAAAAAAGTAAACTAATTTAGGTACTAGTTCACAAGAGTGCCGCACGGATTACGCATGGTTCACAATCACTTCGGTCACACTTGTTCCTAGAATCCCGAATGCATTCGGGTTTATCCGAAAGAGAACGAAGACGACTGATCTCTTGGGCCAGTTACTATTAACTTTCCCGCCATTGAAGTACTTCTATAGCCTTAACCATGTTCAGTTATATAGCAGGAGCAGATTTACATTTGAAATTTAGGCTACACATCATGAAACCTGAATTGAACTTGTACATATATTATAGATCTGTAAAAAAGAAATAGTAATAGATAAAAATCTATTACTATTACTATTATTACCACTATTACATCTCTGAAAGCTATTTCACGACATTATTTTTCTTATTGATGATTTTCATTATTCATTATCTTGGAATTATCAGTATATTCATAAATCTTTAATCTGACATTATTTTCATAAAAAGTGTCCTTGACTCTTATATCTAAGAAACCCAAAAATCGAAAAACAGTTTTAAATCCGACAGTATATACATAAAAACCTCCAACGACTAGAAAATAGTGGATCCGTGTATCTAAGAATTCAAAAAAGTTACATAAACTTGATGCTTAATCTCAAATCAGAAAGTATATGCATACAAAGCACTCCCCCCCCACCCACTAGAAAATAGTGGATGCTCTTATTATTAGAAATCCAAAAAATTACATAAACTAGATAGATGACAAACTAAAAAAGACTTGCTAAAATAAATTACAAATACAATTATTCCAACTTCTATTGAAAAACTCGAATAACAAATAAAAAGATTAGTTCAAATTATTTATTATCCAAATGATAAAAAAATCTTTTATACACAGTTATAAAAGATAATATACAGTATATGCGTATTTATAGCCACTACATGTAAGCACGTGTCAATAAAAATTTTATTTCTAAAACCACTTTTTTTTTATAACCGTTATAATAAAAATTAACAATTAACTAATTAGTAAATACACAATTCATTAATAAATTGATAATAAGGAAGTTCCATGAAGGAAATACGTTGGTTTTTTTTTTTTTTTTTTCAAATCTGCATGAAAGGGGTTGCGTGATGGGGCAATAGCTGATGTCATAAAAGATGACAACATTCGGCTGTTTTCGGGATTCCATGAACAAGGGTGATCGAAGTGATTGTGAACCACGCATAATCCGTGCGGAACTCTTGTGAACTAGTACCCTAATTTCAATTGATTAAATATATAGAGAAATTACAATATTTCAAAAGATAAAATCACTAAAATAAATTTATACCCTCATATGGTGATCTAACATTTCTTCGTATTCCTTTAATTCTCTCAAATCTTCTTTTAATGAAGTGATTTCACTATGACTCGTCTCATTCTCATCGGCTGGGCCTCTAAATAAAAGAAAATGTTATTAGAAAAAATAGCTTTGAAGAAAAAAGAACTAATAAAAGTTGTTAAATAAATATTAAGAGATAGAAAACTTAAAATTAATATAGGAGTTATTAACCATGAGAAACCAAGGATAATGCAAAACCTTAATGTTAACAAAACTACAAAAGAGGATCTGTACTGTTATATTGAAGGAGAAATGTAAACGGAATGAGTGAAAGGATTTCTAGCAATGATAATCAATGTTATATATGTCGGAAGGATTTCAAAAGACCTTTTTATAAATATTGAATGAACAACTAAACATCTCAATGAATGAAAAGCAAAGGCGGTGATGGACTCGCAGGTTGACCAACCCAGAAAAACCCTCGCTCAGGGGACACTAACCTGAAGGGAAGTTACAAAAAATTACAAAGTGCATAAGAATAATCAATAAAGATATATATGAGAATGTAAATAAAGATATATTGAATGAAATACAATTCAAATAAATTTAATATAAAACAGCTTAGGAAATAAAATAAACTTATTTTGGAGGATGACATCCATTACCTGAAGGCACCGAATGTCTAAGGATTGAAATAATCGTTACTTAAGAATTCTATAAAGTCCTATTCTCTTATATGGCACAGTATTTACAGTATCCCTTGAAAAACCAAAACTGGATACAGAGTTAAGGAATGAGAAATAAGAACTATTAGTTAGAATGTATCAGGAAAACACTCAGCAAAAGCATTACACTGGGTTAAGATCATAATAGCTAAATTTTTCTTTATGTTTAAATATCATATATTTAAAAAAAAAAAAAAGAGAGAAATTTCACTTTTTATTTTAAACATGAGGTAGGCCTGTCTGACCTTGTTGCTCATACCCCTCTCTCAACAATATCATCACTCAGTACCAATGACCTTAACTTACTGTTTTTCCGTTGATGAAAAACAAATAATGTTAAGTAATTTATTATAAAATGCTAATATTAGACTATGACTACACATAGCAATGAAACAATAAACTCTCAATTTTATAAAGTTCAAAAAGTTTTATTTTTGTTCATTTATTGTTTCTTCAACCTACAGGAAGTAGAAAATTTAAAACATATTAAAAAAAAATACATACATATATATATATATATATATATATATATATATATATATATATATATATATATATATCAATGGGAAGCAAATATTTGTCAATGATAGGTCCCTTAAAAAAATAATATCGTAAATTTATCAGAAAAATAAAAATAAAATTATAAACTATTTCAGAGAGATAAGCAAAAATAGTCTCAGATGGACTAGTGATACTGAATTCATGAATCCAAATGACTAATATTTATAAAACCACAAAATACATCTTCAATTAATTAAAAAATGAAATATCTATACAAAATCATGCAATTGGAATTTCCTTAACAAATACTATATTTAATATATTATTTAGTATAAGGAATATTTGAAAGTCAATTAATCATAATTGTATAATGTAAATACAACATAATATTCAATCATGTAGGATAAATAATTTGGACTATTGAACTTCACTGATAACTGATACATTCTACAATACAAAGTAGTTGACATATGTAACAAACTTTCTGAAAGTAATATAACACAGAAGGTGTAATATGCAGTATCAGCTAATTTATATTAACTATTAAAATATGTACACAAAAATATGATAAACCAAGTAGTACACATGGATTCCGTCTTAATCTCATCTTTCACAAAATAAAAAATAACTCACTTCCATTGTATGATATTTTTCGTTTTCTTTTCAATAAGTCCTATTCCTTCTAAGACATTAGTAATATCATAGATTCTTCTCTTTTGTTTAACTTCTAAAGTTTCTGCAGCCTATAACATATACATTAAAAGTAATCTTAAAACATACACATATACAAACACACACTTATTAATTTAGTTTTATTATTCAAAATTAAGATTTAAACAAATTACAGTTTTAAGGTCTAGTAATCCTCCTGGAGAATGTTGTAACAAAAATACGAATCTTGAAGTTAACAAGCCTAAGGATTTTTCAAATCTACTTTGAGAAAGTTCCATAATTAATTATAGACCAGTACAATCACATAATTCAGCTGAATTATCCCATTTAACAAAGATAAATCAAACAATTAGAAATATCACTTTTAACTTGAAGAGAACCAGTCAAAACAACTTTTGGTGAATGATTAAATTACAAAGGCATTGACATTAATTAATGCTCTGAATCAAAAAAAAAACTTTTTAATTTCAAAAAAATTATTTATTATATTTTTATTTAATTATAAAACATTTTAACTAACCTATTTAATGTAAAAATTTGACAGTTTTGATGAAATATTTAAGGCGTGTTATCCTCGCGTAAGGTTTCAAATAACTTGGCATTTACGCTGTACGAGGACAAAACTTAGTTTCGGATAGAATTGGATATTTACTGTTGATGTTCCATTATGAATGAGAGTAATCTTCAATCGACTCCCAAAACCAATGCCGCTACTGGTTTCTTCCAAACCACCACTCCTAAACAAGCGGGCGGTGTTAGCTTTGGTTCTACTACCATGTTTATGCCTCCAGCATCTTCCTCTAATACAAGTACTCCAAAGACTACAGCAACAGGTAATGCAACATTGTTTAGTTTATCTACTACAACAGCTACCTCTGCTCCAATGGCTAGTGGTGCAGTTACAACATCATCATTTCCCATTAGTTCTTCCCCATTAACTACTCAGCAGTTCAAGCAACCTTCTACTTCTCAACCTATGCAACTGAAAACAACTGCTAGTACCGCTATGCCTTTGGGTACTGGCTTATCATCAATCGGAGGAAATGCTCCAGCCAGTACTGGACTGAATTTCGGAAGCACTGCTAAATCTACTAATGCTGGAGCCACTTTGTTCAGTGCAACTAAAAGCGCACTTGCGCCTGCCAACACGGCTGCGACAACTTCATCTTTAACATTGCCACCTTCTTCCACAACATCTCTCACTAGTTCATTATCAAACAAACCTGTTACTAGTACTGGTCCTTCAATCTCTCAGCAACAAAATCTTACATTTCAACAATTGGAAGAATTGATTTTGAATAAATGGACTGCAGAATTATACGAACAGGAGAAAGTATTTTTAAATCAAGCAACACAGATTAATATATGGGACAAGGTTATTAATGAAAATGCTGAAAAATTAACTCAGTTACATTCTACTATGGAGAAAGTACGGAAGCAACAAGGAAAAATAAATGATGACCTAGAAATTATATTTACTCATCAGAAGGACTTGGAAGCATGTCTTGTTCCCATGGAAAAGGAAGACTTACTTTCGGTCCTTAAGGCTGATCCGAATAGAAAAAATCTGTATATAAATGCTAAGAAAATTGATTCTCAGATTAAAACAATGTCAGAGGATTTGAAGGAAACAATTGAACATATCAATGAAACGTCACGATCACATGATACAGAAGATCCCGTCATCCAGGTAGGGCGAATTTTAAATGCTCACATGGAATCTTTAAGATGGATAGATGAGCATACTGCTAGAATGCAAGATTATTTTGATTCTTTATTAAAAATGCACGATGACTTGAGGAGGGAATGTGAGATAAGCAAACATGATGTATATTAAATTGTATATAGTTGCCTAAGTTTGAAAACAAAAACATTATAAAAATGAATACTCTGTGAAAACCAACTGTGCTATGTTATTGATAATAATATTAAATATATTTTCATGTTTGTAAATAATGATGGTTTGTAAATTCTACTTGAATTTTGTCATTACCAATTCTATTTTTATTTCTAAGTATATATTTTTTTTTGTAATTTAAAAATTGTTCAACTCTAATTTTTTTATAAATATTTTAATTAAGATCCACTTTTGAAAATAAATAAAATAATGTATTTTCTAATGTCTGTAAATATATCATTTCATCACTGTTTTATGAAATTGTGTATCTTTTTTTCTTAAATTAGTATGTTTATGTTATTTTTATGTCAAAAAAGACATCTGTAAGTAATAAATAAACTTTTTTTCAAGGTACCTGTTCAGATATTTTTCTTGATTTTTTTTCCCAACTTGATTGTATATCTTAGTTGTAAATTCTTAAGCTAAAATTAAATTTCCAGATTTATACAGTTGTGTCCAGAATTAGGAGTATTCCTGCTTCTTGTCCTAAACATAGTGCACATTAATATTGAAAAAAATATTTATATTTATTAAACAGGTTTCGTACTACTATAAAGTATTGGAATTAATGTTAAGTTTATAAAACTTAAAGAAATGAATGTTATCAATCACCTCACAGTTAGAGAACAGAAAGTTATATTGTGAACTACCTATCTTGATGCACATTACAATATTCATTTTTTTAAATACATATGTTTTGATGAAGAGTAACTAAAAAATCATTTCAAAGAATTAACATAAATTGATAACCACCTAAATTATATTTATATTTTCATAATTTTGTAAATATTTAAGCAATTGGCCATCAAGAATCCTAGAAAAGAATTTTTTGTCTCCTTAAATTATTTATTTATTTGGGAAAGGAACTGAGGGCGACAATAGAATTTGGGCGAAATATTATGTAATAAATTTATTATCTAACTTTCATATTTATACATTACCTAAATGTAATTTAGAATATTTTCTGATTCCATGTCCTGCTAGGCTTTCTTACACCTCATCTTTCCATTTTACACAATTATAAAATCTTTCTGCAGACATTCTTTTAAAGTGCCCAAATCATCTTAATCTTTTTTCTTCATATCTACTTATAGTTCTTTTTCATATCCATTAGTTCCAGAATTCTTTCATTTTTCAACTGCTCTTCTCCAAAAGTCCTTTTCCACCGCTAGCAATCTTTTCGGTATTTGGCATTAATGACCCATGGTTTCGAGACATATGTCGTTGACTCAAATATAGATTTTATATTAGTCTGTTTGTGCTGGGTTGTACAATCAAGCTCCAAAGGACACACATTTCACTATCTCAAACTATTTAAAATCGATTGTCATATGCATAGACTAAGTAATTAATTTCATTTATGCATCTACAGAGATCAATTTCTCACTAGGTGGGTCAATTTTTTATTTTCTTCCTACCTAATGAATGGCAACTAGAATTCTTGGTACTGACAGATATACTTTCAATTGTCGCCTTTTTTTGTTTTTTTTTCTTAATGGTTATTTTAGGAGAATTTATCCTTTTTACTTTCATGTGAATAGCAGCTCACTCTATTAAAAATATTTTATTATTTCTTACTACTTTTATTTTTAAAAATATACTTTTTTTAAGTGGGATAGTAAAATGAGTAAGAACTTATGTTCCATGTCTAGTATTCGAGTCTCGTATTTTTTTTTTTTCTTTTAATGAAATATTTGATTGTATTATCAGAAACTTCACAAGTTTTTCAAATCCAGCACGCACTTCATTTTCTTGCAGTATTTTTTCTCATAAATAGGGAACAGATTAAACTGCGTGGGTTATAGTGTTCAGTGCTCAATACTTTTCTAAACTTGAGTTGTTTTCATGGGATAAACCACATTCATTAAATTACAAAGTAGCAAAAACCTATGTCTATGATAGCTAGCTATCTATTTATAAAAATAAAATAAAAATCTATAACTGTAAAAGGCTTTATAGTATGTTAGAAAATTAAGGCTTTATAATATTATTATTAAGGCTTTATATTATTATTATTAAGTAATTAGGCTTTATATTATTATTATTAAGGCTTTATAATAAAGTTAGAAAATTTACTTCAAAAGAGAGTAGGTTTTTGACCCTTTAACAATGGTGGATTCATAACTGAGTCGAAAGGGAACTAGGACCAGGCGACAATGAAAGTATATATGAGTCAATCACGCCATGGTGACAGTGGACTACATACAAGTCAAAAGATTGTCGGGCTCATTCCTGAGAAACAACAGGGTTCAGTGATAAATTATACTTTAAAACAATCTTGTTTCTAATTTCTAAGAGGCAGAAGGTAATTAATTAGGTCAAAAAACAAAATAGAGAAGTTTGGAATGATAAAAATAAAAATGTTAAAGCGGAGAGCAGAGGTGATGAAAAGTATTCCCTCATAGGGACTCAGAGAAGTGTTAGATGGTATAGTCCTCTAGGTCGCCCCACCTTTCTCAATCATCGTTGCTAAAAGATTAATAAGCATTAATTTAAAAAAAAAAAACTTTATAAGCTATAATCAACAAAGTACAATAATAAAAGGTGGAAGAGTAGTAGTCTCAGTTTGTCAAAATACGGTTCATTAACTTGTGGAAAAGGGGGGGGGGGGAGGGCTATCCTTGTAACTCACTACCGAACATGTCATCTAGATGGCCCTTAAGATGTTTGTGGTACAGTCATCTTATCACTACGAGTATGTGTGAGAAGGCCTTAGTATAATAAATAAAATACACTTTGTTGACACAGTGAGGCATGTGCATTCCATCTCATTATTCTTCTGTGCCATAATCCTCTATGATGGTAGAGTTGGGGATGAAAAATAATTAAGTTATATCATGGCCAATGAACTCAACCAATTTATGTTTATAAACTTAATGATTTCATTTTTAATAAAGATTACTTTAAAAAAGAGTTAGGGTGGGGTGGCCTGATAAACTGAAGGTTATGAGTTCGAGTTCCATGGCTGGGGACTTTTTTAATTCTAGCATTAATCCATTGCCGTCTCCCTTGGCACAGGAAAAACCCCAAATAGGCAAGAGGCAAGGTGAGGAGAAAAAAAAGATTTACAAAAGAAAATTAGTTTATAGGATCATTATATTAAGACTAGTAGGCCCGTGCGAAAAATTAGCACAGCATATTGTTTTCAAGTACCAAATTAATAAGAAAATAAAATAATGTAATATATCAAAAGATAAAGAAATCAATTGTTACTTTATCGATAAATATAATCGACAAAGGAAACAAAAATTAATTTAAATCTTCATTAATGTTTGGAACCAACATGTTAACAAAATTTCAATAAGCTGCATTTTTGCTAAAAATTGACCAATTTCGTTGATTTTTTTTTTTTTTTCCTTTTGTAGGAAATTTAGTAATCTTTTATATAATCATTGGCATAACCCAGGGAAAAGTGTGTAATTTTTTAGTTATTCGCAAATAAAGTTTGTTTTCTTTCATAACTTGTTTGCCTGAATTTTCGGGGTGATTGGACTATTTTTCCCGCCTGAAGGAGAAGGAAGCCTTCGAAATTGGTGGCTCAATCTTGAGATTTGGTGAAGAATTAACGATAATATGGCTTGCTGATCAAAAATATCATCGATAAATAACATAAACTCCTCCTCTTTTGATCATAGAGTCCTCAAGTCGACGAAATGAGACATTTATTCAATGACAGTACTACAATTAATGTAAGGTTGTGTGGATGCGAACTCTATGCCTTGCGTTATCTCGAAAATAGTACGTTTTTGGGCTTAAAAACTGTACGCATCAAAATCTTCAAAGTCCACTTTGTCCCATATCGATCTACAGACCTACCACCGTTCCAGTATTGAAGCCTAGTAGAATATCTGTATTGACTTTATTTGTTTTAGAAAGAAAAATAAAAGTGGAGAATAGGATTCGCTAACCTCCCGTGAAATTCTGAATCCAACGGTAGCCCATCCATGATATTTGAGCATGACAGGAGCTTCTATTCGGTAAAAAACTGATTTCGAGCCTTACTGTAATAATATATGTGGTGATGTCAACAAAACTTACTACAAATTAATAACTATAATTTAAACCCTAGTTTTACTATGAATAATCACATGTATTCCACAGATATTGACAGACACTGAAGGTGTACTAAATAATACCAATCTTGTTATAATAGCAGCTGGATCAGGATTGTAGTCATTTGAAATACACAAAAATAAATTATATTATATTGTACTTCAAATGACTACAATTCTCAACCAACAATTTCTGCAGCATCAACAATCTTGTTATTTATTATTTGTTGAGAAATAAAAAAAATTGTACCACAAGTGCAAGGAAGTGATTTCACTCAGCTCATATTTAACCACCAGATTTTTCCCCTTAATTATTTCATTAGAGAATAAACAAAAATTAATGAATATTAATTTTTATTTTTAATTTAGAAATAAACTACTTTAGTATAGTTTAATTTTAATAAAAAGGTTTGTATTACAGTTCAAACACAATTTGTAGGCAGCACGAGAGTGAACTAAGTTCAAGTATCAATTATTTTGTTTTTAACCTAATCCCATGACAAATTTACATACAAAATATTTACTAACGTTCCTGTAAATTAGAAAATGACAATGTCATCTCTCAATATTTGTATAAATTTGTAGATATTTCATAATTTATATCAGAGATATAGGGGAAAAAAAATAATGTGATTTTCAACTTAGTGTTGCGAGAGGTCATACTTGTGCTGCCAACTAATCGTGGACGAATTATAATAAACAACTAAAATTAGTTTTAAAGAGTCAAGAAACTGATATAAAAATACTATGTGATATCAAAACTTAAAGTTTTTTTAAGTAGTCTAATTTTTAAAGCAATTAGATAATTTAATTTTTTTTTAAATATCTAACTATAATTTTATAGTATAAGGTTTAACAGTATGTTAACAAACAAATATTGAGTGCAAATAACAAATTTATTGCTTGTGACAGATACATACAATGTTTACTAACACAGCCTCTTACATACATTTATTGTCTTAACTTACAATAAATAAAATAAATTAACGGACAAAACATATCTACTTAAAACCACTAAAACAAATTACCACATATATTATTAGTTTTAAACACTAACTTAAAATTTAAATAAACAATAAATAAATTTTTAGCAAAGTCTAATTATATAAACGACAAGGGGACAAAAAAAAAAATTAATATACCTGTTTGGTACAGGTTAAGAAAAAGGCACATAAATACATAAAAGATTTTTTTTATAATTAAGTTTTTCTAAAATTCAATGTAAACATTTCTATTTATAAATATTTTTCACATATACAATAAAATAAATGACCACTATACTTTTGAATGATGAATACATGGCAAATTAAGTGAAAAATGATTATAACACTAAAAAGGTTACATACTAAATACTAAAATGAGACTAATTTTTACAATATTTTCTAACAAGAGAAAAATCAATTTTTTGTTTATTATCGATAAATTTATTATTCATAATTGAAACATTTTCACAAATATTAATTAATAAAATGCATTTTTTAACATGGAATAAAAACAATATAACTTTATCAACAATATTATCGCTGATAAAAGTCTATTCTCAATCCTTTAAAATCAAATTATTAACCAGCATCTTTCACAAAATTAAATATGAGTTATGTTTTGTTTTTTTATACCCTTCCCAATAAATTCCTAGTAAATTAAAGTGCTCAATAAAGTTTATGTATCTTTATTATTTAACTATTGTTGATTAAAAATAACATTTGTCAAAAAATAATAGTTATTATATAAATGATTTTTAAAAATTATATCGATAGCCAACTGCAAAGATGTAAATGCAAATTTTATAGTTTTCAGCAAAAAAATATTTTAGACTAGACCACCTCCTGTAAATTTGTATTTATTAATATTCTTGGGTTTCTAGTATTTGTATATGTATCAGATGTTCATTTAAAACATTTGAACAAACCTATATTAAACATTTGAAATTGTTACAAGAAACATCTGTGAAGTTGACTATCGATATTTTTTCTCTAAAATGCTATGTTTTTACTAAAATTTAAAATAATTCTTACTATCAATCGCTTGCTCAAACAAAGAGAAAAAATTGAAAATAGGAATCAAACATGACAACATTGACATCAGATATAATTTGTTTTTCTTTTAACAAAAAAAAAAAAAAAAAAAAGACTTTAATTATAAAACTATTTGAAGGAACCTTGTTAAAGAAAAAAAATAACTTAATACAAAGATTTAAATTTTATTTAAGATATAAATTTTTAATTATACAAAATGGCAGTTCACCCAGAGATTGGGACAACCCTGATAGACTTTAGAACTTGGGTGCTGATATATCTTTAATTAAAAGTCTTTGGCAGAACATTCAAGAGATGGTTATGGCAGTTTTTTTTATTATAAGCGAAATAAAACTATGATAAAATCGGATATTCTAAAAATGTTATTTACTATTTGTTCTAAAAATTAATTAAAATATGAAAATTTAAATTCAAAATATGTAGTGGATTCATTTAGTCACAACATAATGGAAAACTAACGTACAATAATAAATACTTCATTCATTAAGGAACATGATTTTACTATGGTTACAATATTCTCATATTAAATAGAAATAAAGGTACTTTCCTATTTTAGCTCCGTCTCATAAATTAACAGAGCCGTATACCAAGAAAGAAATATATTTAATAGGGAAGGAGACATTGAATTTTATAATAAAATATTTAAAAGGACGATCAATATTTAAAAATGATATTTTTGGGACAAATAATTGTTTTCTAATGTTCAATAAAAAAAAATAAACATGACTTTCCCATGTTTTCCAACTTCTACAAATATTAAGTCATTACATAATATTAACGATCAAGTGCCAAAATGGAGAGAATAGAATCTATCAAATATATGCATAACTAATACACCAGAGTCAAAATTAATAAAAAATGTATTATAATATTTTCCTATTTTTAAAATTTTGTTTGTTGGTGGAGGGAGTTGGCAAACAGCACTTGATTAAATTGTGATGCAAAAAGTGAACAAATAACATATATTCTGTACGAATAAATATTAGCACATACTGAAATAATAGTTTTTAACCCCAAGCTTGGCATGGTAACGAATTTTCATTACGATTTCAGAAATTTTCTAAGATCATTAATGTTCTCTTCCATTTTCTCTGTGATAAGTAATATGGTAACCTTGAAGGCATGAGCTAATATTAAGAAGAATACAAATCAATTTTTCAGCTTAAAAAAAATCTAATGGATCTATTGTTGCCAAGCCAGGGGTTAAATCAAACCTTTATCGCATATTAAATAATGTTTTCAAAATCTTTTAACAATCAGATAGTTTATAAATATTTAAATAAGTCCGAATGCCTTTATACATTATTACTTCAGATTATACTGAGCTATTCTCATTAAAAATATTTTATCAAATGATTTTTCTTTACTTTAAATTCTACTAACTACGATAACATTACACACTCTACTTATTCAACTAATAAATTCTACAAAAGAAAAATATATAGATGTAGATGTACTGGTAAATAACAAATAAATAATTTTTTTTTTGTGACAAACAAATGAGATTTTACTCCTTTTTAAAAGTAAAGTTTCAGTTTTGCCATTGCGGTAACAAAAACCATACTTAGAGAAAATAAGTGAAGTTCTCCAGGTACAAAAAACATGTTTCATCAATGACTATAAAATTTAAAATACTGAATATTATTTTCTAGTAAATAAAACAACAGTTTTTAAAAAAAAATTGTTATTATAAGTAAAAGAAGGAACTATTATTAACTCAAAAAAACATACTTAAGTACAGATTTTGCGATTTCAAAGATCATAACAATTGATAAAATATTTAATAAATGACACATAAAATGTAATGTTTTAATTGAAACCTACAAAGAGGTCTAAAAACGACTAGTACACAGTGACTCAGATTTAATAAAACCTTTATACACTTTGTGTAATGTTAAATGTAAAATTTATTCATAGTGAAACAATTTTATGCGCATGGCATTGGCTGAGACGGTGCATTGATGGTGAAGTCTCTGTACTGAGCGAACACACCTATCTAAAATTAAAAAATAAAATAATAATCATAAAAAAAACAGGGTTTATTAGGAATAGAAATACAGTGTTCCCTCTCTGAGAAGATACGCAAAGAGATATTAAATCAAAAATTGTTAAGTTCAAGTTGGTATAAAATAAAATCTTACTTTGTAATTATAAAAACACATATTAGATCACAATAATCCTACTTTATTTTATTATGATTATTTATTCTTTATACAACAATGTTTCAGCCATTAGGCCATTTTAAAAAGAAGAAACCTTTAACAAAATAACCATCACAGTCTTATTACATTTGCTTACTAACTCATTCATATATCACAATCTATTTTATATTTACATAACCATTTATACCTGACTAAGCAAAGTGAAATGAGGGTTATATGATCGGGTCGTCCGCTAAAAGCTATGTAACGCTTTTTTGAGCCAACCGCTGGATCACTTTTTTAAGTTTGATGGCTCAAATTATTCGGTGAGATCCCCCAAATGTTTTGAAATAATTTGAGCTCAAAATTCTGTCAAATTACTGTGTACATTGTATTTAATCAATCAGCTAAAAGGTATGTAAAGCTTTTTTGAGCGGATGACATGATTTATTTTTAACTTTGACGGCTTCAGTTATTCAGTTAGATCCTGTGAATGTTTTGAAACAATTTGAGCTCTAAATACTGAAAAAAAAATTATTATAGAAGAGAAAAATAGTTGGGATGATCAGTAAAAAAAAGAAAAAGAAAAATGTAAAAATAAATAAAGGAAGGAGATGGTCCTTGGCGGTCATAAATAGACTAAACAGTGGCAAAACTATTTTATTATAAGCCAACACTTCGAGCCAACTTTGCAGGTCTTCTTTAGGGCTAGAACGGACAAGATACAAAAAGATATAGAGCATTGTGGAAGTTAGACAATATTTAGACAAAAAAAATATAAACAATGTGAATAAGGTTATTAAAATTATAAACAGTAAGTACATTGAAATATAAACAGAGTAAGCTCAGTAACAAGATCCTAAACTGAAGTAAATAGATGGTAATAATTTTTGTAGTGTAATATATAATATAATGTATGCAATTATGAATATACTTCTACAGATCTACAGGAGAGATTGAAAGAAAATGAAAAAGGATATAATATGAAATAATAAACATAAAGGAATGTGGAGAAATAAAAGAAAACCAAAAAATAAATAAATAAGTATGTAAATATGAAGAATAAAAATAGAGACTTACAGGTGTGTTCAGGTAGGAGTTTCACTTAGAACTGGAAAATCAGGGTAAGGGTAGGTATTGGAGAAATTTGCTGACCTGTTTGAGTAATGGAAAAAAAAAAAAAAAAAAACCTGGAAAATTACAGTATCTAACATTTGAAGATATGGATGGATACAAGGGAAAAATACTATATTTATGAAATAATAAATTATAAATTATATCTATCCTCATCGGAATGAATCATAAAATCCTTGGATACGCGGATGATATAGCTGTGCTGGGAAGAAGTCAAAAAGACATTGAGAAACTCGTTACAACACTGATAAAAGAGGCAGAGCAGATCAGCCTACAAGTAAATGAAGACAAAACAAAATATATGATAATAAGCAGAAAATCCCACCCCAATAACAGGATCTGCATAGAAGGGAAATCATTCCTGAGAGTATAAAAATTCAAATATCTCGGCTCCACTATAACCTCAATGAATGACCAATGGGCAGAAATAGACCAGCGTATAACTAGTGCAAATAGAGCTTTCTTCTCCATCTCAAAGGTATTGAAATACCAAAAAATCTCAAATTAAGGGTGTACAATGCTATGATAAAAAAGCCAGTTCTAATATATGGCTTTGAGGCCTGGACACTAACCAGCAGCCTAGAGAAGTGTTGAAAGATTTGAAAGATGTTGAAAGAGGAAAATCCTCTGCCCGATAACCGGAGCTGATCTGGGATCAGAGTACTAACACATGGAGAAGAAAGACTAACAAAGAACTGCTAACAGAAACTAGTTAATCAATACCCCATGATATGAACACAATCTGGAAGCCTCTAAGTAACAATGAATGCTACAATAGAAGATGGAAAGAAATAGCCCAAGACAGGCTTGTTAAGGCGGCAAAATATCTACATGGTCAGTAATAACCACAGAAAAAAACAAAAAAAAACACATCGAATAAACAACAATTGTGACTGTGATTTATATAAGAGTTTAGAAACTAACTGATGGATTCCTGCAGGAAGTCAACATTCCTAGAAGGTCATAAAACATATGAAAAATAAAAAATATATATTAAAAAGACCTACTTCCTAAATTGCTAAATTTCAAAACAGATAAAATAAATATAGATTAAAATAAACTAAATGAAAAATATTTAACATAAATTGAGAGACGACAGAGCTGAGGTCATAATAAGATTACATCCATCGACACTAAAAGTCATTGGTACCGCTGAGCCTTCCTCAGTAAAGAAATTCCAATGATCGTTTCTATCAATGAGTTAAGGCACGCTCTGGTTGATTTCAGATGAGCTTAGCTACGAGTTCAGAAACAAGTATGATATTTTAATCCATATCTTCCATAAAACTCTTTACCATTTGGTTTTCGACACTATTTTTTCCTTTTAGCATCCCTAACACGGCGTCGTGATACAATTTTGAAGATGGGGCGGGACATGTAGCTCATAGCAATCTATCTGGAAGCCTCTACGTAACAATGAATGCCTCAATAGAAGGCAAAAGACCACGTGGAAGGCCAAAAAGCAGATGGATAGATAGAATCAACAGAGCTGCATGCAGATAAATGGAAAAAAATAGCTCAAGACAGGCAGAGACGGAGCAGGCTTGCTAAGGTGGCAAAAGATCTGCACAGTCTGTAATGACAACAGAAAAAAATAATAAATAAATATTTACAAATTAATTTTACTTATCTCTGTCTATGATTATTGTGATCTAATGTGTGATTTTATTATTACTAATAAGTTTAAGTCCTTACTAATAATATTGAAATATATATATATATATATATATATATATATATATATATATATATATTAATAATATCTTACTTTATCCTTAAGTTGTTGACAAAGCTGCAAGGCTACAGTGAACAGAACAAGTACTTCATTCAGCCACGGCACTGATATTTCTGCTTGATGGCTGTCGAATTTCATATTTCCATGAATATTACTGACTTGGTACAAAGCAACAATCAATTTATGGCTTTGAATATAAAAACTTAGAGCCAAATCTTCAGGCAAATTCGGAACAAGATTCCTCTGAAAAAAAAAATTAAATCATTTTTTAATACAGATATATTAAAAAAAAAATGTTAAATTATATTCCGTCTATTATAAACATTCACTAAATTGTTTTGCGATCCAAAATGTATGAACAATAAATTTCATATAAAATACTGCATGTTAATTTCAGAAGTTAGTGAGGGATCATGGTCAAAATTGGAGTTGGAATTGTACCCACACATTATTTTATGAGGAAGAGTCATCATTTTTCAACATATATCTGTCATTTTAATCCACAAATAACATTTTGTCAACAATGAGATTTTTTATGATATAAAAATACATTAATTAGTAGATAAAAGTTGCACAATTTCCATAGCCTCATTGCATCTTTTGTCAAGGATTATCTGTTATTATCAATCTCAGATAACAGATGCAATCTGACTATGAAAATTGAGCAACCTTCATCTACTAAAAAATGTATTTTTATGTAACACAATATAATATACATGGATCAAAATGAAAAAGAGATGGATATTGAAACATATTTTGCTTTATGTATAATCGATAACATTATCCAGAACCAACTGTCCTTAAAGATGGGCCAGGAACTCGAAATATTGACAAAAAATAAATAACAAATTAACATAAGAAATAAATTCTTTAAGGTACAGGTCTATTATATAGGGTTTCTGTCCTGTAAGCAGAGGGAAATAATATTTAATAGGTTGATAGCAGACCTCAAGATCTACAAAAAAGTTTATATAAACAATTGCCCAATTTTCAGCAGAAAAAAAGGAAATTCAAGATTTGTGTTTTTTTAAGCGATTCATGTTTTTTGGCTGAATAGGAAGCGATAACTAAGAAAATATTTGATTGAAGTATTTAAACATTGCTCCATAGAAACCTAGATAAAATTTAAGAGGAGTTGGTCGGAGGTGCGGTCAAATAAATTCTATATATTAAAATAATATATAATATAATAGAATAGTATATTATATATAATATAGTAAAATACTAAAACAGTATTTTATTATATACTATTTTAATATATAGTATTTATATGACCGCACCCCTGATCAACTCCATCTCATATTATTATTATGATCACGAACAACCATCTCTACACTATTAAAGATAAAATTTACTTGAAATGAGAGTATATTTTGTTATTTTTAAAACAATTTAAAGAGGAATATTTAATGGACAAACTCAGCGAAGTTCCGTTAAAAAAAAAAGTCATAAATTATTTGTGATTTTTTTAAACATCTTTGAGCAGTACTACAGTTACCGCACTTTTAAAAAATGTTCACGTTTAATAAGCTTTAAATCCATTATAATTCAGTTACGGCTTATTGGAAAAAATTTTTAAGATTCACCTTAAATTGTGTAAAGAAATGATATGATTTTCTATCCGGTTACCTAAAAGTACCCGTGTTTTCAACTAAAATGATAACTGTTGCTAAGTTTTTTTATTTCTCGTTTCTTCCTGATATGGGATTTATTTTAATAAATATAATTGCCTAAAATCACATTTTATTTATAAAAATTAAAAATAATGATTTTGCTAATATTTTTCATGTAAAGTGGTTATAACACTGCGTTTTCCTCTCAGATCTCTGCCATAGGAATTGTTCTGTATTTATCAATGACAAACAAAATGTTGATAACCAAAATTTATGTTAAATTAAAGAAACCTACTTATTGCTTCAATTATTTTCATGAAAACGTAAGTATTAGGGCTAGAAGCATCAAGTTTGTCATTTATAAATATGTATTAATGAATTTCACAAATTTAACATTCGTTTTTATTTGTTTGTATAGTAACAAATGAACATTAATGTGTAATATATTGTTCCAAATTAAACATTAAAGCATGCTGAGTATCTGGCATAGAAAAGTACAACTGAAAGATTAGAACCAATCAGAAAATAAAAGTACACCATCTTTAATATCATTAATAAAATAAAGCTGATTCAGTGGAAAACCCTTTTAGATCATCAACTGAAGGAAATAGAAATAAAGTCGACTCTTTGGGTCTGTGATTAGATAAAGAAATATGAGTCATCCGTCAGTTAGATTTCTTCTGAAATAAAATCTTTACACTGAACCCTTTGACTAAAATATGATACAGAATTCTTCCAAATAAATATAGAATTTAAAAAAATTAAATGTAAGACAAGTTTTCTAAAACATTTGAATTTAAAGCCTGGTGAGAATAAAATATCAGAAACAGTTATAAACTGTGACATAATGAAAATAAAAAATTAATAACTCCACAATATTATTCTATTATTAATTCTTTAAGGTTTTTTAAACTCATAAAAACAAATCTGTAATAATATATTAATGGAGGAAAAAAATGTTTATATAAGATCTATGCAGCCAATCACAATAGAAAAATTTGACAATAAATAATTTAATGATTATTAAAAGGAAACCAAGGAATGTTTTGTAAAATTTTTAAGCCCTGTGAATTAATAATATTTAATCTTAACTGCCATGATAAAATTTACAACTAGCAAAAAAACTAAAACACTGCAACGAGCAAAAGAAAATACAAACATGAATTAAATATTGATAGTATAAAATCAGAATAAATACCATGTTTCTACTCTTCATTAAATCAACAACCGTACGTTTACGAGGAAGTATAAGAGAAGTTCTACCTCTTTGTAAACATCCCAGAATACTTCCTAATACATGCAATACCTCTTCTGAAGATCTGCAATCAAATATTAACAAAAATAATTTTATAATATTTTTAAAAAAATCACCGATATTATACTTCAATTTAATGTACAATAAATAAAATAAACCTAATTATTAACTAAACTAAACATTAACATTAACAATATTTAATTTTTAAACAGAATTATCTTAGAAAATGCCTCTGTTAAAACAATGACTTGTATTTATTTAAGAACTGGTAGCACAGTGATTACAGAAGTCACCATATATTATAATAAAAGAATGTTTACTTTTTTCCAAGGTAGATAATTTTAAAATTGTTAGTAACATTTATCGTCATTTACTTTATGACCTTAAGTGTTTTAAGAAAATCCACTGATTTCTTTCAGTTTAAAAAACAATCATATATAAAAGGAAATTATTAATTAAAGATTAATAAGAGCTATATAACCCAAATTGTAATAAAACAACAAATAAATTTTAATAATTCAATATAAGTATAAGAAACAATATTTATATATATGACAACTCAATGTATTTTCCATAATTAACTGTTCTACTAATTGCCACTCAATTAAACGTCAACGACTAATTGAGGAATCCTTAATTGGCTACAGCTGTCCACTTTTACAAATATAGACATTATCATTGAACAAGAGTTTTAAATAGAAAATTTTAATAATATAATAATATACAGGAAATAGAACATTCTTCAAACATGAAAACAATAAAAGCAACTTCAAAAAAATCAACATACCTAAAATTATAATTTTTGTCTACGTTATCGATGTAGACTATTGCTTGATTCAAATGGTTAACTGCATCTTGAATCTGGTGCAGCCTCCATGGGTTCTCACTCTGAATACATGTACGATATTGAACTACCTGTTGTCGTTGAATTCTGAAATTGATTTCCTAAAAAGAGAAAATATCATTTCCGATCAACTGGCTTAGAATACACTATATTGAAGCCAAAATAAAATAAATATTTACAGCTTGAGTAATACTGTCACCACATAGAGAAACGACACATTTTAATTGATCTAACCCACTAAAAACATATTTCTCGTGTTTTTGAGAACCATCAGAGCTGAAGGACATCGGAAATCGTCTGAGGCACTCCTAAAAATAAATTTAATGTTTGTAATTACATAAATTGACTAATTTAAAATTACATGGAATAGCATAAAATATAATTAACATTACCGTTAAAATATTGCTAAGCTGATTGAGTACAGCGTGGACTTCTTTATGAAGAACCCATTCGAATTCATTTTGCTTTAAAAGAATAGAAACTTAGTAAAAAATTATAACAAATTAACTAACAGATTGTGTTAAAAAACATTACCAGATTGAAACTGAATTATTTGATAACAACAATTATAAAATTTAAGATTATAACTCACAAGACTAAGTGCTTCTTCTCTTTCAGCATCAGCCATCATTAGTTTTAAATTAATTATTAACACATCAATAAAATACTACAAAATACTGCCTCTGATTTTGCTTCTCTGGGTTTCAGAAGTAATTATAAGTAAAACTTAGCACACATACGAATGATAATAAAGTCTAATGTAAAAATTAATAACAATTAATATAATTTAAGCAGCCAAACGACACTAAATAGACATTCTTGAATATTTATTTCTAAACGGTCTGAACCATGTCAATACTAGAGGTGTGAAATTCTATCATAAAAAAATTTTCATCATAGAACAACTTGAAAACTTTGAAACAGCGCTGGCGAATCAGTGAAATAACAACAATGTTGCTATTACGTTGATGGATCGCCTCTCTCTTGTCAGAGATAAATATTTTAAATTATGATATTTCATGAAATAGTTAATATGTATTTATATTATCATAAAGTAAATTGTAAAGGCAAGGTACTCCATTAATAATATAAACTATAACATAAGTAAATTACAAAAGAAATTTTAAACTAAACTTAAAGACCAGCAAACAATTCGTCTTTAAAATATTCCATTATTTGCTATTAAAATGAATAGTATTTTAATGATGTATTTAAAATGCAATGTGATTATATTATTATTAATATAAATAAACAGATTTAAAATGCAATATCCCGACAAATCAATGAATTGATTCGAACTCCAAACCATCATTACATTATAGAGGAAAGAGATGGTCCGGAGTGGCGGTCATAAATAGACTGAAATAATGGAAAAAACTATTTTATTTCAAGCCAACGTTTCGACCCGACTTTGGTAGGTCTTCTTCTGGGCTAGAACGGACAAGATACAATAGAATATAGAAAATTGTAAAAGTTACGTAATATTTAGATAAAAATGATAAGCAAGGTGAATAAACTGATTGAAATTATAAACAGTAATTACATTGAAATATTAAGAACAATAAACTGTATAAACAGAGTAAACTAAGTAACAAGATCGTAAACTGAAGTAAATAAATGCTAACAATTGTAGTATAATATATGCAATTATGAATTTACTCCTACAGATCTCAAGGAGAGATTGGAAGAAAAGGATAAATAATATGAAATAATGGGATAAAGGATATTTCTTTTATAAGGATAAATAATATTCTTTTATTTTTCTTTCTTCACTTCCCTTTATGTCTATTATTTCATATTATTTATCCTTTTCTTCTGATCTCTCCTTATCCAGAGGTCCATAGTAGTATATTCATAATTGCATATATTATATTGTTTATTATACCACAACAATTGTTACCATTTATTTACTTCACTTTAGGATCTTGTTACTTAGTTCACTCTGTTTATATAGTTTATTGTTCTTAATATTTCAATATACTTATTGTTTATAATTTCAATCAGTTTATTCACCTTTTTATCATTTTTATCTAAATATTACGTAAATTTCACAATTTTCTGTATCCTTTTGTATCTTGTCCGTTCTAGCCCTGAAAAGTCAGTTCGAAACATTAGCTTGAAATAAAATAGATTTCCACTATTATAGCCTATTTATGATCGCCACACCGGACCATCTCCTTCCTCCAAATTAACGGTCAACTATAAAGTATTTAACATCATTACATTAGTGTGAACATATTTATATCATTATATTACATACTATATACTATTATATTACATACTATATACTATTATATTACATACTATAGCAAGAATTGCAGTTTATTTATCTTGCTGATAGTTTCCTATGATAGTTATCACATGTCGTTTAGGTTTGTTAAAAATATAGTTAGAAACTCTGTTACGGATACAAACCGAAAGCCTGTAAAACTAGAACGAGTGTTTGGATTTCTAATAATATAAAATCTGTACAAGAAGAGTGTTTAAGTTTTCATTGCGATCAAAATTCAAGAAGCGGGAGTATAATATTTCTAAATGCCATTTAACCAGGTTAGATTCAAGTTGCTATTCTTCATCTTTGACGGAGCTAAAACATAAACGACTAAACCAATTATTGAAACTTTGTAGTCCTCTCAACTGAAGGGCACCTTACACCATCAATATTATTGCGTCAATATCGAGTTTCGTCTATATATTGACAGTGCAAGGGCTTCATTGGCATCAATTATATTGAGGTCAATCAAACTGGTTGATAGCAATTTATTTTTATTTTTATTGAAGCTTCTTCAATATCATTAAAACAATGTCAATATAATTGTACATGTAAGAGCTATATTCAGAAATATTAAACCACATTATCTAAAGGAGCTCTGGGTGATACCAAATTTCCGTGCCCCTCCTGGCAATATGTTTGAGTAGGGGGAGGGAGAAGGGAAGTGATACTTTTTTCTTTTATTTTTTTAGGGGAGGGGGGAGTTACTCCTTCCCCTCAGATTTTTCAAAAGATAAAACGAATATGTATTTCGGTAGGTAGGTGATACTTTGTTTTACTTTTATTATATATATATATATATATATATATATATATATATATATATATTTTTTTTTTTTTTGGAGAGGGGGAGCTAAGAGTTAAATCCTCCCTCTGAATTATTTTTTAAAGATAAAATGGTAATACGTTTAGGTAGGTGGATGATACATTTTATACAAAATTTAATAACATTTTTTGATTACCAAACTTTTCTTTAAATATTAAATAATTAGGAAACAAGAATAGAACCAATTTGATACAAGAAACGTTGTAATGTCTAGGAACAAAATATTACAAAGAACACTTTTTCTTTAATGCTAAAGCCAAGGCAATTAAAGTAATAGGAAATTCATTATTATTCATTTCCACAAAAAAGAAAGAGTACTTCTTATTTATTTATATATTCCACCCTCCCATGCCACTATGGCAATACGGATGTTTGCAATAGTGTGTTGTTAAGCATGAATGCTTAATAACACACCGCTACTTGTTAACATGATGTACATTTCTTCTGTTCTTTTTTTTTTTTTTTTTTTAGCTTTAATGTTTTATTCACACCTGTCATAATGCTAATGACAACCAGTGAATGTGAGATCGATTGATTAATAGAATTGTCATGAAAGGCATGAGGAGGATCAGTGCCCAGCGGCACCTCACTCGGCGTGATATCTACATTAGGCGAGGAGGTCCCTCATCCAGCTCCTCTTCAGTCTCCTACAGACGTTACCGGGCATATTCGTTGTGGCCATGTCATTTATAAGTGTATTAGTATGTCCTTGTAAGTTGTCATGGAATCGTTTGTAATGAATACGTATGTGTTCGTTAACAGTCGGCATATGGAGGTCAGTATGTAAGGTTATGTTGCTAACGTACCAAGGTGCTTTTGTAATTGTTCTGAATGTTTTTGCTTGAAAGATTTGAAGTTTGTTTAAGTGAGTCTTCTTAGCAGTTCCAAATATCTGTGATGCGTAAGTCCAAATAGGTTTTAGTAAGTAATTGTATGTGTTCAATTTCTGTCTAAGTTTTAGTTTTGAATTTTTTGAAAGAAGTGAACTCAGAATTCTTAATCTTTGATTTAAAGTTTTTCGTTTTTTGATTATATGTGGGCCCCACGTCATTTTTCTGTCAAATGTCAGACCAAGGTAGTGAACGGTGTCTGTCTGTGGAATCTGTGTATCGTCAAGGAAAACTGGAGGGCATGTTTCATGTCGAAGCGTAAATGTGAGGTGCTGTGATTTGTCTTGATTTAGTCGGATTTTCCAAATTTTGAACCAGTCATGTAATCTAGTTAAATACTGTTGTAGGGTCTGTGAGGCGTATGTTGGATTTTTGTGTCTTGCTAAAATTGCTGTGTCGTCTGCATATGTCGCTGTTAAAATGTTGGGACTACAAGGTATGTCATGGGTGTATGTGATATAGAGTAGTGGAGAGAGTACTGAACCTTGAGGTACTCCTGCTGAGATAGACCTGATGGAAGATAGTTCTGACCCGTGTCGGACCGAGAAAAATCTATCGGAAAGGAAGGATTGTAGAATTAGATAATATGTAGGTGGGAGTATTGTCTTGAGTTTAAAGAGAAGACCCTGGTGCCAAACTCTGTCAAACGCTTGAGCAACATCCAGAAATACGCCAGTTGCATATACTTTCTGCTCTAGTGCTGTAGATATGTAGTCCGTTACTCTATGTAGTTGGTGTATAGTTGAGTGATGTGCCCTAAATCCAAATTGATGGTCAGGTATTATTTGGGTGTTTGTTAGTATATCAACAAGTCTTTTGTTCAGTAAGCTTTCAAAAATTTTGGAACAGATAGGTAGTAAGCTGATTGGTCGGTATGAGGAAGGTGAGTTTTTGTCCTTTTTAGGCTTGTGAATCATTATTATATGTGAGTATTTCCACTGTAGGGGAAATTTAGTTGTCCTCAGTATTGCATTATAAATAGTTGTCAAAAGCACTAGAGCTTTTCTAGGCATTTGTTGGAGCACTTCAGCGTTAATCAAGTCATGTCCAGGAGCTTTTCTTTTAGGCAACTTTTTGATTTGTTCAGCAATCTGTGAAGGTGTGAATGAAATAGGAGGTGAAGTTAGTTGTAAGGGCATGTCTAAAGTGTTTAGTACATTGTTATCGTGCACAGTGTTAGTGAAGTCTGTGTGTGGTACAAAAACAGAAGAAAGATATTCGGCAAAGAGTTCTGATTTTTCTCCGTCCGTCACGGCCCAGGAATCATCTTGTCTTCGAAGGGGTGCTGACACTTCACGATGCTTAATAAGGTTTTTAGTATGTCTCCACAAGCTTCCATCGTCGGTTGAGAGATTTCTGATGTAGTTGTCATAGGTTGTTCGTTTGAATTTTCCAATCTGTCGCTTGAGTTCATTATTAAGTCTGTTGTAAGTTCGTTTATCTGATGGGAGTCTGTCAGTCTGCCATATTTTGCGAGCTCTCCTCTTCGCTCTGATCAAGTCCCTTATGTATTGTGGGTACATTGGTAGGAACTCATATTTTTGAGGTTTTGGTACTGATGAAGACCATGCTGCTTCTTGGATATTTCGTGTGAAGTATTCAACGGCATCCTCAAGTTCTTCTTCGTTTTTAATGGATAGAGGAACAGAGAGAGCAGTGTCCAAATGGTTCTTGTACCTGTCCCAATCCATTATGCCATTGATCAGGGACAGTTTTTTTGTAGCTTCACAAGGCTCTTCAAACAATACCAAATGCAAAAGGGAATGATCAGAGCAAAGATCTGAACTCGTTGTTATAGTGTGAGGTGTTGTTCGGAGTCCTTTAGTTATGAAAAAATCGAGTAAGTCTGGTGTTTTCCGTCTAGAAGTTGGCCAGTACGTGGGTGAATTAGGTGATATTGTGTCTAATGAAAGCTCATAAAGAACATACCTAAGATTCCTTCCTCTTGGAGTAGATAGTCTGGATCCCCAGAACTGATCTTTGGCGTTGTAGTCGCCTCCTGCAACAAAGCATCTACCAAGACGTTTAAAGAAATTACTAAACATCATGGGTGTCAGAACATACCTCGGAGGGCAATAAACCGCAGCAAGAGTAATGTTTTGTTGTTGTGTTGATAGTGTAATGGCTGTAGCTTGAATCTCTGGTGTTATGGGTAATTGTAAAGGATTATGTTTTAGAGTTGTTTTGATAATTATGGCAGTGCCTCCATGTGAAGTTCCATCTGGGTGGTCAGTTCTGTAGATTTTGTAACCACGGATGTAAAATTTAGAATGTGGTGTCAGATGTGTTTCTGTTATTAGTGCAATGTCAATGCGTTTCTCGTGTAAGTATATGTCTAGTTCGGTTCTATGTTGATTCAGTCCGTTTGCGTTCCATAGTATAATAGACATGGAGCCCACAGTCGTCTGATTACGGGGCATATTTTTGGGTAAGAGCGAGAGTAGCCTGAGATAGCTGTTGTAGAAGACTGAAGAGGGGCTGTATGAGGTTATTGAGACCGCTAATCAAATGTATGATATCACCTGAGGAGGTTTCAATAGTAGGGAGCGTTTGGGCAATGCCCCTACTCATACCTTTAGGCCTTTGTTCTTGGTTTGTTGCCGGTGCTGGTTTTCGTTGCTGTCTCTGCTGCTGTTGTTCTGGTCCTGAGGGAATCGGATGAGGGTATTGAGGCTGATGCAGTGGTGGGAACTCGTGTAGTTCTGGTGGTGGGGGTTGAACTCTAGGAGGCCTTTGCAGAGTATGGTTTCTTGTGCGGGTCTTCCTAAGCTCTTTCAGAGTTTCGCAACCTCTGTAGTTAGCAGGATGTGGTCCTTGGCAGTTGGCACATTTTGCGACTGTTTCTCGAGTCTTTGTACAGGAAGTGCTTTCGTGACCCATACCACACCTTACACACCTCGGCTGGTGGTTGCAGTACGTCTTGGTATGGCCATAATGCTGACAACGTACGCACTGCGGAATGATCCTTTTTTTCCTTGGCTCTTCGATCTTCACGTGTGTGTAATACAGGAATTCAATGTCGAAAATTTTATCATTGAACGTTGCTTTGGACACATCAACGAAAAACATTGGCAACGGTGTTTTGAATCTTGATATAACATTTACGATGTTGGTTGCCTCGTAACCATAGTTGGCAAGTTCCTGTTTTATGATCGCTGGAGGTGTGGCGTGGTGTAAATTTTTAATAACTATTCGAGGCGTTTTATCTTCCGGGAGTTGATATGTGTGAAAATCAGCTCCTCCCCTTCTAAGACTGGTCACTAACCTACGGTATATTTCTGCGTTTTCAGGATACACGCTGACTCCTCTCATAGACGTTTTCAACCTGAAACTGTTAGGGCCACCTTCATTGTGAAGATAGGTTACTAATACCGTGTAGTCTTTCACATCGTTTATATGAATAGGTGGAGGTCTAATAATAATGGGATTATTATTTGCTGGCTGTCTATCTTCCGGAGTATTTGATAAAACTTCGAATCGATTGTTAGTAATAATAGTATCAATAACCTTTATTTGTTTGTGACGTGGATCTCTGTCTGAAGCTACATGTCGTTTTCGTCCAGACACAACTTCCCAGGACATAGCTTCTGGTGCATTATCGTGGTTGACTTCATTTGGTGACTCGTTTGAAGCCGAAGTTTCCGTCATTTTTAGCGGAAGAATCCGCTGCACCAGTAATTTTACTTCAATTGATTGCACTTATTTAACTCACGAATATGGAAGAGATAAAGGAAATCAACATGCAGTTAATTGACTTAAACTTGTGATAATTCAATAGAATTTGGAGAGAGAAATAAATTACGTTTGTAACCTTCATTCAATCACCTGTTTCTGTTCTTCTGTTCTATCTTCTTACTTCTTCTTGTTTCGCCCTAGCTTCCAGAATCTGGAAGTCTTCCTGGCGCTTGTCCTCTTCTTCTGCGGGCACCAATATGGAAGTGAGCGGGCCCCATCGCCGTCTTCCATACATATATGAAATCCTTCAACCTTACTTCTTTGGAAAACTCCTTGTTTAGTGGAAGCAAGGTTCTAACTGATATAATAATATTGACTCAATATAACTGACCCGTGAGCGGTCCCCCTTCAATATATTGCCTTCAATTATATTGCTTCAATAGTATTGGCTGTGTAAGGGTCCTTGATAGAAACCGGACTCTACGTCATCACGGAGGACAGACAAAGTTAACCACATCCTACTACGAAACTTTCGTCTACAAGTAGAAAGAATTAGTCAGGGTTGATTATTTCAATCTCCTCCAATTAATAAAAATAAGGGTATTCTAACTATTCACTAATTGTTAGTCCCGAGGGCCGTGTTTCTGATAAAATAAAACTTGTTCTATAAATGACTCCTCAGTTATGAAATAAGTTTCAACGATTCATACAATTAATATTGTTGTTAGCAATTGTATGAGCGATGTACTAAATTTCACGTTTTTAACAATTTTACCATGTAATCAAAGAAACTTTCACGGGCTGTTGTTTAGAGACCCTTTTAGAAAAAATAATTAGAAAATAAGTGGTTTTCGGTAGAAATATCGCGATACTTCTACCAAAATCCATGCTGAGAGGCAAGAAATGTAAAAAAAAACTATTAGTGTGCTTAAAAAGTATAATATATTTTAAATAAAAGCTTTAAAATGAAGCACATCTTTTAACTTGTGAATAAAGTACATCTTTTAACTTCTATGGTATACAGAAAACATTTATCGGTAGCATCGTTCATAACCTCCTTCATATTCGAAAAGGTTGTGAGTTGTTTCAGCAGGACGATTCCAATCTCACTGGTATTCCATCTATACCCTTCAAAAAGAAAAAATAATACAGACGTTTCGATTAGTGAAAGTTTAAAAAGATGTATCAACTGAAACCTTTAATAGACTTTAATGATAAATTATCTACCAACAGTCCTATGTATTCTATGAAGAATATCCATACTAAAAACGTAAATAGTGATTGTAATGAAGTGGTTTACGATGATGTAATTTTAAATAATGTGGAAAAAAAACAAGACGAATTATTAAAACAAATAAACGAGATTAAAGACTTGTTGGCAATCCTAAAAGCTGAGCTGTCAAAGCCAAAAATAGCCAGTCCTGGAAAGGAGAAGCACAAGATGCATAACAAAAACGTTGACTTTTTGAAGGTATGACTGTTTTGATGTCCAATAAAGTAATGACAAGATGCATGAAGTTTATTAGATTTTAAATTTTTTATTTATCTAATTGTTTATTTTTTTCACCCAGCTCTTGAAATACAATATTATCTAATATATTTGTGGAATTTTTTGGAATGAAAATTATTATTTTTATCATATAAAGTTTCATCACTAAATAGTTTTTCCACTTACCACCAAACTTAGATTGATTAAAATGTTTAAGTTGATTTCTTGAGTATCCCATTCCTCACATCCATTTTTAGAATTTTTTTTTCTTCTCAACCGATTATGTTCTGTTGGGAATAACGAAAAAAATATGTAAATTTAGAATAATTAAAGTGATTGTTATTCTTTCTTTAGTCAAGGATTTTTGTATTTACAAAGTTAACTATACAAGTGCTTAAGATATGTATTAATGGATATAGATTAATTAACTGCAAGTTGTTTAATGAAACTAAGTTATGTCCGTAACAAAATTTGCCCTCAATATGTTACTTTTGTAAATCCACATGTGATGGGGAATGAGAATGTATCTACCTCAATTGTATTCTATTAAACCTTATTTGACTTAATGTCTTGAACTTAGATGAAGAATATTAGTTGAGCAATTTTTTTTCACTTGATTTGTTTGATAGAAAATAGAATAATTCATTTCTCTATTTATTGCTGAATCTCTCATGAGAAAAACATTTATTCATTCAGACATAAAACTTGTTAAGTTTGAACACATCCTTTATTTTTATTATACAATTTGTGTATGTTATAGAGAAAGTAGAAACTTAATATTGTGTGAATTACGCACAGAATTAATTTACAATCTGGTCAGCTCATTGGAACTCTAGTGTTTAGTTGACACTGGAACTAAATTTGATTTAACTTATCTTACCTCATACCAGTCTGAAATGATAAGAAACCGCTTGACGTTTCCGATTACTTCAGCACTTACTAGACAAACGCTCTAAACTTCCAATTAATTACAAAAGACTCATATACATGACTGTAATAAGGCCTATTTAGACTTACGGAGTTGAGGTATGGGACTCCACTAAACTGTCGAATTCCCCTCGTATCCAATCCTTACAATCCAAAATCCTCAATGCTCCCTACTTTGTTACAAATAAAACCATCCATAATGACCTTAACGTTTCTTATGTTTCAGATCTGGCCCAATCCAGATACCTATCCTTCCATAATAAACTTCAGAATCATCTCAACCCTCTCGTTTCTAACCTTGCTTCCTCTTCAATTCCTGATAAACCTCCGATGCATCTGAAAAGATCTCCTAATGTAGACATATCATTAGAGTGCTACTATTGGGTAGTTACTCAACAAGTGTTTTCACGTCATTATATCCATATGTTCAAGTTTACTAAATGTATATCTTTAATATAGTTGTAAGTATCATTAAGAAATAATAATAATAAAATAAAACTTATCTTCTCAAATGGAGGTATTATTATATGTAAATATATTCCTGAGTTGTAATTTTATATATGAATTCGTTATCAGAGAAAATATTCTGAAGTGGCAGTCACAAATAATTTTAAATAGTTTATACTCTGCCACCCCATATCATCTTATTCTTCATACACATGGGTTAACTAGTAAATATCTTATAAATTCATTATCTAATTTTTTTTAAAATTGTAAATGTAATTTTTTTTATTGATTTTCAGAACGGTGTAAACTATGATGTTGTATTAAATGCAAGTGTGAAAAATCCTCCAAATTCCCTTTTAGTCCTGAATAAACTGTGGCCTGACTTGGTAAAATTTGAATTTTCGTGGCATGTTCATTCATCACTAAAAGGACTGCCTAAAAATTTGCAGAAATTTGAAAACCTTTCAGCTAATGACAGCAAAAGTTCGACCAGCCAACTTAGGATAAGAGTAGTTTGGAAAGAAGGTAAGATATAATATCAAACTAAATAATTTTTTTATTTTAAGTTATATCATACAATTTTTAAGGGAGTAGGGTAGTCCAGTTAGTAAGGTACTCTTTTGAAAAGCCCCAGATTCTAACCCAGCTTTTGTAATTAGTTATTTATTCTGATACATTAAACTTAGATTGACCCTGGAGATGCTCCTCCTGGGCTCACTTAGCCTCTATAAAGGAGATGTTCTCAGTCAGATCACTTCCTTGCACAATTGTTGACCTTGGTTCGTTTCACATAAGAATCTTGATCTTCCCTTCTTGATGGAATAGGTGTAGTTGTACCTCTAGAATTGGTATCCCATAAATGGTGAAGTAAGAAAAAAAAAAAAAAAAAACTTTGAAACAGTACTTCTTTACGAAGTACTAAACCCATAAGACCTTCCTTGGATTGCAATGGCATAGGATTTTTTTTTACATTACTTTCCAACTTTCTTTGGTACTGATATTTTATTATCTCTGTACAGTTGTTAAATTAACAGAAATTAATTATCTATATCTGGAATATTGAATGAGAAAGACTATTGTTAAATAAACAATGGTTAATAAAGACTTATAAATATTTAATCTATTGCTAATTGAAATTATACATTTTCTGTTATTGATGGATTATTACAAAAGTCTTCTTTTTTTCTAAAAATAAGTTTTATTCGAATTTTAATATCTTTATTAAATTCTTCTTCAAAATATTGAACAACATTGTCAATTAATTTAAATAAAGTTATAGAAGGTAACGGAGAGTGACGGAAAAAAATATAAACAATAATTTAAACTGACATTATTTATCGTAAATCAAATGTTTCCAATGAAATTTTCTTACTAAATGTAAAGTTTTAAAATTTTTTCTAAGTTTGAAAAAAGTATTTAAAATCCACCAAACCATGCCAATGCCATTGTTTAAAATACTATTTCATTGTACTTGTGTGAAAGAAAAAGTGAAATATAAAAATATATCATGGATATGTTTATAACCTTCAATACTTTTGTTGTAGTTTAATAACTCTAGATATGATATATTTACTTGATGTATTTATGTAATACAGTTGTAAATGTCATAAAGAAATAAAAAAAAAAAAAAAAAAAAAGATATGATATTATATGTAAATAATTAGGTATCTATTGGCCGTTTATTCCAAAAAATCACCTTTTAGAAAATTAAATTAGAGAATAATTTGATGAATTTTCCCTTTGTGAAATCCCAACATTATCCACTTACGATTAGTGTGACAACTTTTGACCTATCCATGGCAGGCAATGAAAATCTCCTAATTTCATTTTAGTAAAGTTTACAATGGAAAATAACAGTTTAATAACTAATAGTCCTACAATCCATAATCATTTATAGGTTAAATATTCAGATGTACTTTCAAATCTCTCTAGGCATATATGAACCTTTCGGTTGACAGAATGACTGACTCCAATTTCAACATTCTTTATTATTAATTATAGTGATGTTTCTAGTGGCAAAATCTATATTCACAGTTCTATATTTCAACTTTGCAACCACCTACTCTGGAATCAACTTGCTCACTGTCCGTATAGATATAACTTATACGATTAGAAATATCACTAAAACAACATTACTCAAAAATGTTGAAATTGGAGTTATTCATTCTGTTATTCAATTGAAAGGCTCGGAGACTGAAGTTATGTGGTTTATAAAACTAGATTTGTATTGCCTACCGTCGATATAATAAATAGACTTTTTGTAATTTTAATGGTCTTAATGATTTGTTATCTGTATGTTTTAAGTTTTAGTTCTGTTTAAAATACACTTCAAAAATTGTATAATACACCAACATTGTCAGAAAATATTTTTTTATACATTAGTACTGCATTTTTTTGCCAACAAGGTATAATTCATTATTAATAAAAATAATATTGTCTCACATCACCTAAGTAAAAATTAAAATAAACTATTTAAGTGACTTAAAAATCCGGGTATATTGGAACTCATATTTTCCTAAATTGTGAGAGAATATAATTGTACCTAGACAACTACTTATTATATGTAGGTCAAATTGTTATTTTATAGAAAAAACTTCAACCTGCATTTGGTCAAATATAGTGTAATAATATTAGGAAAAAAATTATTGATATTGGTATTCATTAAGGTCTATTATTATTGGAAGAGAAGTTCGTTGGGGTATTCAGTCAAAGTACGAAGTAAAAAAAAATAAATAATATTTATTCAACGTTTTTCCTAAAGTTCAGACCTTCATAAGAAAAGAAGTTTTTAAAAAAAACTTAATTAACTTGACCAAGAATTAAGTTAATTCAGAAATTGTAATTAGCTTAATTAAGAAACACTTTTCTTAGCCCTGATGAAGGCTTGAACTTTCGGACAAAATGCCAGCTAAAATAAATATAGAAGAGAAGAATAGTTGGGGTGATCAGTCAAATAAGAAGGCAAAAATAAATGATAATATTTATTTTGACATTTGCCGACGTTTCAACCTGAAGTTCAGACCTTCATCAGGGCTAAGAAAAGAACCAGATAACAAGGTATGAGAAACATAAGTAGTGAAGGTAAAAAAAATAAAGTAAAGTGAAGTTGTTAAAATAATGACAATAGTAAGAACTAAGAGATAAATAATAGTAACCGTTACAAAGTGTGGAATGATGAAGTAAACATAATCAAAAAGGTGATGTAAGTATTAAAATGGGAATCTTAGAATAAAATGTAAAATCTATCAATATCTCAATTTTTTATCTAACTATTCTATTCGCAATATCTTAATTTTACTATTTATTTTCATTTCTTATATAACTTCATATTCATTTTTTCTGTTTTACATTTTATTCTAAGATTCCCATTTTAATACTTACGTCACTTTTTTGATTATGTTTACTTTATCATTCCATACTTTGTAACGGTTATTATTATTTATCTCTTAGTTCTTACTATTTTCATTATTCTAACAACTTCATTTTACTTTATTTTTTTTACCTAAACTACTTATGTTTCTCATACCTTGTTATCTGGTTCTTTTCTTAGCCCTGATGATGGCCTGAACTTCAGGTCGAAACGTCGGCAAATGTCAAAATAAATATTACCATTTATATTTGCCTTCTTATTTGACTGATCACCCCAACTATTCTTCTCTTCATTATTCATGATAGTCAACCATTTACCCACTCTTAGAAATAAATATAATATATTTATTTTTACTTTGTATTTTGACTGAACATTCCAACCAACTTCTATTATTTATTATAGTTAATCATGAATCCACTTTTTTGTGTATTATTAATATTTATTTATAGCTTTAATTCAATTTGATTTTCAGTTTGGTGTGATTGTGAGCTGGTAGTTTCGCCTTTGAACTGCGCACCGCTTCTGGGTGAGGTCAATTTTTTAAGATTCCTCAATAACAATTTGTCTTACGAAGAAATGGATACTTCCACCCAAACTATATTTCAAACCAAATTGGACATCTGCCATTGTCTTCAATACTGTGATAATTTTCAGCAACAACAGGAATACTACTCTGATTTAATTGATGGGCTGGAAAAAAATAAATGGTTAGCTGGGAATCAGTTAACGATAGTTGACGTTGCTTGTTGGTCTGTCTTAACTAATATGAAAAATCCAAATCTCAATTCATCTTTAAGCAAATGGTTTAATAATTGTAATGCTTATCTGACAAAGAGTAATTGATAAATAAATTATATGTAAAGAATAAAGTTTTATATATACTACTACATGTTAAACTTTTTGTTTTAAAGAAATTATACACTGACAGGCAAAAAATTCCACCCACTTGATTTTTTCATGTTTTCATCTAAAATTATTTCTGCTTTGGATTGATCTGTTGTTTTTAATGAATAAATAGGTAATCTTTTTGTTTGTTTTCAATTAGGAATATTAATACAGAGGACAATAACCCTTAATCCTTAATTCAATGAAATGATTCTAGATTCCAATGTTTACTTTCTATGGAATCAAAATGTTTATTCAGTATCATTAGTTCAGTGCCTTTTCTTGCAGCACATTTCTTAGTCTCCGGCTTTTAATTTTTTCAATATTAAGTTTAAAAATGCCTCTTAGTGCTGAGGATGTTGCGCGTGGTGTGGCACTTATTGATAATGGATGTTCCATTAGATATGCAGCTAATGCTATCGGAGTTCCATATGAAACTTTACGAGACGCCTTCAGGCCTGTGAGGTTCGAGGTGTGCAAATTTCTGAACGTGTACCGCTCGGAGAAGATTAAATGAGAATGGATTAATGGCTTTTCGTTCATTAAGAGGACCACAGTTGACCAGAACTCACAGAGTAACAAGGCTGGCTTTTGCTCGAGAACACAGCCATTGGACTATGGACGAATGGAGTGCTGTACTTTTTACAGATGAGTCAAGATTCGCTCTTAGATCTCTAGACGGGCGTGAAAGGGTGTGAAGAAGAAGAAACGAAAGATATGCAGCCTGTCATTTTTCTCAGAGCCAACCTTTCCAACGTGATTCCTTAATGGTGTGGGCTGGGATTTCAATGAAGCGCTGCACAGAATTGGTTGTTGTTCGTGGAGGGTCTTTGACGGGATAACCTGGCTAGACGAATAAGAGCCCATGCAACACTTCCTGATACACTGCAGGACCTTGATAGGGCTCTTCAGGAGGAATGGGCTATCCTCCAGCAAAGGGACATTTCCCGACAGGTGGAAAGTATGCCGAGGCGTCTTCAAGAAGTAGTGAAGGAAACACGCGGTACTAAAGGATGATGTAATTAATTTATTTTAGAATAATAATGGTTCGTTTTTCAATTTTTTTTTCTCTAATCTTTCTTACCCAATCACATTTTGATTATCAAAGGTAAAAAAGGTTATAAAATTCCATAAATACTAAGTATTATCTACAAGTACCATGTATTATATACAAATAAAACTTTACAGAAATATGTTTAGATGAAAACATGGAAAAATCAAGTGGGTGGAATTTTTTGCCTGTCAGTGTATTTATTCCCCCAAATCAGGAATAACGTTTTTCTATACTTATCTACTTGAAAATAAAATAAAAAATCTACTTATATTTTAAAATTTACTATTAGTAATTCATTAATAACATAGGCCTATAAGAAGAGAAAAAATTTGTTTGTTGTCTACGATTTTAGAATTGATTTTATTTACATCTGGGGGCCTGAATCTAAATGTGAAATTTTTTTTTTTTTTTCTATCAGCTCTAATTTTTTTTTGTAATGGTTTTCCTAATCCGCCACCACATGATAGAATAGGTAATTAAGTATAAAAAAATGCGGATGTTTAAATCAATGAAATTCATATGGACAGCTCCAAATAACTGAATACTAAAAACCATTGTAGTAGGCCTATGTAATTTTTGTATCATTATAGCAAAAAAAAAAATAACAATCATTTATTGAATGATTAAATACCTTAATATGTTTATCTAAATATTATAGCTGTAACCTTTTGGTCAAAGGATGGACACCTTCGTCAACTAGTTAGAATTTTCGACTATAGGCCCCCGGTACACACTCCTCTATCACAGGAAAGTTTTCCAATCATTCTCTGTTTAACTCCATGTTTCGCTACGAAAGATGTTAAGGATCAGTTAAATGAAGCTCTATTGGAGACTATTAGAAATTATCGAGTAATATTATACAAAGACGAGCATAGGAACCCACGCACTGAATCAAAAGACAGACGGATCAAATGATAGATTCAGCATTTCACTAATGTATCGACGCCAAAAATGTCCAATAGAGCTATTACAATTAATACTTAAGAGATGAACGGATTAGTAGAAGACAGAGATAAAAAAAAAACTCGGATGAATTAAAAGATAAAATTTAAACATTTATTGCCTGATATGAATCAGTGGAATTTCCAATAACTTCAAAATTATCAATAAACAAAATTTCTTTTGTATAAGTTGAAGGAAATAGCATCGATATGAACCAAGTCAATTTATTGGGTTGGCAAATAAGTCCTTTTGGTTTTTCTGTTTATTTTTATGTCATTATGATACACTTCTTATCTGAATTAATCCTAAGGTGAATAGTTTATCCTGTTTTTAATATGTCAACAACTATATCTGTTAACTCTTGTTGAAACTAGCTTAGTATTCTGTTTGCTATTGCACTGTGAATATGGAAGAAAATATCATTCATTATCGGTATATTTTGTTGTATTATTTTAAAAAATATAAGCGCGCTGCAGAAGCTTATAGAAAAATTTGCAGTGTTTATAGGGATGATGCCTTAACCGAACGCATCTGTCAAAATTTGTTTGCCAAATTTCATTCAGGAAATTTTGACATCAATGATGTTCAACTGTCTGGTCACCCACATGAAATTAAAACGAGCAATGTTAAGGCCATTGTTGACCAAAATCCCACCCAATCAGTGGAAGAGATTGCTATGGCTCTAAATGTGTCGCACATAAGCGTAGAAAACCATTTGCTCAAGCTCAGCTATGTTTCCAGGCTTAATGTTTGGATCCCGCACATAATTTTTTTTTTAATATCACAAAAAATGTTATAACTTCAATACGAATTTAGCTATTTACAAGAAATTCAGCAGGAATTTAGGGCCTCGTAAACAAACTGCAAATGGTGATAAAAAATAATAACCTATAAGGAGTTTTTGTTTGTTTATTCCTTATGTAGGCGTTAAATAAAAGAAACTATTCATACGGCTTTGAAGAGCAATGATTCAGCTTTCCAACGGATATAATAACATCGAATTTAGGGAACATCGGGGAATGATTGGAAGGGTGTTGTGTTCCACCAAGACAACGCTAGGCCCCACATCTCATTGGTTCTGGACATGGCAGAAGATATGGCTGACACTCAGGTATTCAAATATCTGATACATTAGTGATGAGGCTGGTATAACTACTTTATTACTTTGATGCCATTCACGAATTGACGAAATCTGAAAAGGAAAGATTTTACTTTTGCATTGAATTAAACCGATTTCAGGGAGTTCAACAATTGTAATGTATCTTCGATCACAGATAAAACGACACCTACGTGGAGATCAAAAGGATTTAAACGGTTGCTATTTCAGTATATTCATTAATTATGGAATATTTGTTAAAACATCCTAAACGGTCAGTGTTAATGGTCTAGCAAACTAAGTCCCTTGTGAATCCGGAACGGTATTGGTTAGATTCCCAGTTAAGTCGGTTAATATTTATTTCACAGGGTTTCCGATGAAATGGAACTTGAAACATTCACTCAAATCTAGTACTCTTGGGGCCCGTGGCAAAAAAGTTGTCATATTTCATGCTAAGCTTTGTCCTTATAAATTGATCATATCCTCAGTCCTAATGAAAAAGATGACTGTCTGCCAGCATATAGCCGCTGGAATACAAAATGGCAGCCTTTTGAAGATAGATAGAAATCCTACTTAATTTTAAGCATGTATATAGAGAGTACCCATTCGATTTTTCGCATATATCGGTGAAACTATGTGTTCTATCTATAATAATGTCATAAATGAAATTAAAGCTGACAAAATTAGCAATAGAAATGGTCATATTAGTTTTTTCGCTGTATTCTATAGTCTGGTGATATCAGTCCTCGTAATTCACTAATTTCGAAAAAAATATTTTTTTGCATCACATTTTTATCATTATTTGACTCGCCAACTCTTTATCTTTTCATTTTACAAAAAAGTAATGAGGAAGAAAGTTTTTTAATATTAAATTTTCTTTAAGAATAAGTCTTGCTTTACTTTCTTATCTTCAATTATTCAAAGGTTAGAGCAATTATAACTTAATGATTAAACTCTGAAACTATACAGAAAAACATACTTTTTGTAATTTTCGATATTACTCATAATCTGTATATAAGACAACATACATGTGTATACATTGGCTTGCATAATATACATATATATATACTGTCTTATATTGAGGTTAAGAGCTGTGTAATAACAAAAATTGCAAAACGTAAGTTATTCTATATAGTTTTGGAGTTTAGTCATTAAATTATAGTTGCTCTAGCCTTCTAATGAATTTTTGGGGGAGAACACATGTTGTCGGGTTTATGAAGTTTCATACTCAGTGACAAGGGGAAACATGGAACAAACGGCAGGAAGTTTTATATGATATACGATTTTTCTAATTTCACCTTTGCTTACTCTATTTTTAAGATAGGGTGAGCAATAATATATCTTGGGAGTGGGGAGGATAGGCTCTTGCGCCATCGACCTTAGGAGGGGAGAGAGATAGGCACCACAATTACTATGGTAACTAGAGAAAATAAACATAAAAATTTCAGTTACTTCTTTCGCCGTTGTTTTTTCTTCAATAGGTCTTTTTTTCCAGCAATGCGAAGAAGCTTTTTAAAGTTCTTATAAAACCTCTGTATTTTTCTTGCAGAGACGGCACATTTTAATTCAAATAATTTCGCCTCGAACAGCCTTTTTTCATATTCTGCCTTTTCTGCCATTAATACATCATAATACTGTTCTTGTTCCAAGAATTGTTCCTGAAAATGGATAGTTTTTTCTAGTAACATCCTTCAGGATTGGTGCCATTTCTCATAATTTTTTTTATATATCTATTTTGGGCCAAAGGTCATCAAATATACACAGTTTTTAATCTCCTGTATTCTTTAATCAACGTTTCGGCTTCAGGAGCCATTTTCAAGATCCTGCAAAACTAATTTTAATTTAGTTTTTACCATTCAAATACATCCTTAGTACATCGGTAGGTGGATGATATAAATTTATTCAAAATTCAAAATAAATTTTTGACTAATTGTATTACTGATGGTTGTTAAATAATATGTGTCTGATAAGGATGTATTTGAATGGTAAAAACTAAATTAAAATTAGTTTTGCAGGATCTTGAAAATGACTCCCGAAGCCGAAACGTTGAATAAAGAATACAGGAGATAAAAAAACTGTGACCTTTGGCCCAAAATAGATATATAAAAAAATTATGGATAGTTTTTTTTTTTAATAAAGGTTATTGTTAGCTACCATGTTAGTTAATAAAAATTTTAAACCTTCTAAGACAAGGTATTTTTTTTTTTTTTTTTTAATGGTTTTGAAAATTATCTAAGATGATAGAAACATGGCACCAGTAGCAAAAAGTATGTTAAATGCAATTTGGTAATTTTTTATAGGTATCACCAGAAAGGTAATTTTCTCTCTTTCTTTGTATCTAATGGGCTACCTTGTGCGGCTATAGAGAGGTGAACATTCCTTTGTGAATCCTGAGTTGGAACTCGAAAATTGAACTTACACCTGTGAAAATTTCAAACTTTCATTTGAATTTTTCCATAAATATGATTTTTGCATTTAATACACTGTGCACAGATGACACTGATATAGTCTGAAGGTGTTTATAAACATTTAGACTGAAATTAAAATGGCGGATAGTTACTAATCAATATATTATAGCACTGATAAGAGTGGCAGAGCAGATCGGTCTACAAGTAAATTAAAACAAAATATATGATAATAAGCCGAAAATTTCATCCACAGGACCTGAGTAGAAGGAAAATCATTGTCGAAGGCAGAAAAAATCAAATACCTTGGCTCCACAATAACCTTAATGAATGACCAATGGGCGAAAATAGACCAGCGTATAACTAGCTCAAACAGAGCTTTCTTCTTTCTCTCAAAAGTATTGAAATTCCAAAAAATCTTAAACTAAGGATATGCAATTCTATGATAAAGCCAGTTCTAATAGCTGTGAGACCTGGACACTAACCAGCACCATAGAAAAGTGTTGAAAGATTCGAGAGGAAAATCTTCCGCACGATAACCAGAGCGATCTGGGATCAGAGTACTAACACATGGAGAAGAAAGACCAATAAAGAAATGATTACAGAAACTGGTTAATTAATATTCCATGATATGAAAACATGGAGCTTAAGTTGGCATGTAGCTTTAGTAAATTCTCTACTTAACAATGAATGCCACAATAGAAGCAAAAGAGCACATTGAAGACCAACAGAAAAAAAAATGAAGTGTTATGAAAATATCTGAATCCTTCAAATTTTGAACTTGCTTGAGACAAAGAGGTGGACTCTTACCGATGTTCTTCAACTTACCACTGGGGAAGATAATAAAAACAACCTTGGCACTACAATCCGGGGGTGGCTTCCTCTTGGAACTTCTGCCATCCAGTTCGATCCAGTTTTCTCATTGAGGTTTCGGGATAAGAGTGGTTTAAGATGAGGAAGATATCAACCCATACTCTGTCCCCGAGTCAGATGGAGGGACGGCCTCCTCGGAGCTTCCCTATGCACCCCCTGTTCGGGGCGGCTACCTAGGGAAGATGACCTTACGGTGTTTATTGGTATTGACCTTAGTGTATACTGTGATGTGTGTGTAGTGTGCTGTAATCTGTGACCTGTGTGAGTGTCATTGTATTGTTCCCCCATCTGAAGGGCCAGTGGTTGTCTGTGGTACTTTGACCGGGCGATGGGGCCTCCATTTCTCTATGCCAACTGATAAGAATAACATTAGGTGAAAATACAAGAGTACACGTTGAAAGCAACAGGAGGATATTGAGAGATTTGCTAAGAATCTGATAAGCAAAGCACAATGAACCAGTCTACAAGTAAATGAAGATATAACAATATATATGATATACGCCAAAATTTCTTCCCCGACAACATATTCTGTTTAAAAGGAAACTTGTTCCCAAGAATAGACAAAATCAAATACCTTGGGGGCTCCACAGCCATATCAACGAAATGACCAACGGCCGAAAATAGACAAGCGTATAATAAGCTCAAACTTTCTTCTCTCTTTCAGCGGTGTCGAAATTCTAAAAAATCCAAATTATTAAAAGGATGTATAAAGCCAGTTCTAATATATGGCTGCGAGGCCTGGACACTAACCAGCACCCTACAAAAAAGTGTTGAAAGATTTGAGAGAAGTATCCTCTACTCGATTATTAGAGGGATCGGTGTACTAACCCATGGAGGAGAAGGACCAATAAAGAACTGCTTACAGAAACTGGTCAATCAGTATCTCATGATATGGGGGCAAGGAGGTTAAAATGGGCAGTGTATGGAGCTCAGAGCGATCCATTAGGAAGCTTCCACACAGCCAAGGAAGCTGGTGGATAGATGGAAGCAGCAAAGACACAATAGAGCTGCATGTAGATAACTGGGCAGAAATGGAGAAAGCTAAGTGGGAAAAGATCTATAATGTAATAACAACAGGGAAAAAAAAATGTAATGAAAGATTTTTGGGGCTTACTGTCAATATTTCGAAAAAAGAACAAATAAATAAATTAATTACGTTTAAATCATCATATTGCTTTTTCTCCACTCCAACAACTTCATTCTGCGCATCTAGTTCATTTTGTTTGTTCTGCATATCTTTATCATACTGTTCCAAAAACGAAATAAGATGTTGCTCAGTTTTATACCTGCATCAGAAAGAAAAATTAGCAAGTTTGTTACCATTATTAATACTTTTTTTTAAAAATACAGTGCGGTGTGCATCACTATTCATTCACCAACATGCTTTGAGTAGAAATTAATTACTTGTGAAGCTATCAAATCTTAAGAATGTTATAATAGTGGATTGATGGTTGCAGGGGTGCCCATTCCCCCAAGATCAATGGCGCATGAATACCTCCCCCTCTCCCAAGATATTTTATTGCTTTCTTCTTCTTAAAAACAGTGCAAGCTAAAATAGATTTTAAAAAAATCTTATATCATATACAATTATTCATAAAGTAGAATGTTACATATTTTTTCCGACGTTTCAGCCCAAACTCCAGCCACGAAGAAGGTTTGAACTGCTGATTCCTCCGCTACGAGAGTTGCTCATAGTGTGTACAGAGCATGTGTTTCGAAGCGTCTAAATTCAATACACTACATAAAATTGTATCATTTGAGGACAGTAATAGTCCGTGGTACAGACTCATTTTTATCGAATTATTAACATACACACTGAAACTTCATACACATTTGCTTTCTACTTAGATCTTAAGATAATTTGAGTACAAACACGAGAAAAAAAGGTGGCCTTCAAAAATATTGAGTCGCTTGGCGTGACCTACACCCCAAAAATTACAAAATAACTAGGTTATATTGGACAAACGCCCAATGTTTCTGCAGACCACCTTTTGTTATCTATTTTGTGATCAAATTATCTTACGATCCAAGTAGAAATCAAATGCGTATTTATAAGTTTTTAGTACCTAGTAAAATTTGCCCACCTCCAGATTGAAAACGCCCAAATTCCACCTTATCCGCACCGCATTCGTCCCGTCCTTCCTCAACGTGCTTCCTCTATTCCCGCCTCTTCGGGTGGTGGGACTCTTGTGTCGCTCCAAGAAAGATATGAGCAGGACCTGTCACATTCCTCCAACCATACACAAACTCCCGAAGAAACAGGTACTTTCTCTTTTCGACCAGGCGGGGGAAATAATGCTCTGTATGGGTATACTCGCCTATACTTCTCATCAATTTTGGACGGTATCCCTCCGTGGCGGTGCAGGATACCAATACATGTTCTGCTGTTTCAGGGACTCCGCAGGAAGGGGTCGATATTCTTTCCATGGTCCGCCAGTTTTCTTCAGAACCCTTCATGTCCTACCTAAGAGATCCGTTAATCAGAGAGGACCCATGTCGCATTTAATCTTGCCTGGGCAGTGGAGGAGACCTTTCTGAGGGTATACCCTTTCGGGCTTGTCACCCCGTCTGTTCCACTCTTCAATGGACTCCTCCCTGCTAATCCTTTTCCAATGGTTTAAATTCTCACCGATTCTCTCCAGCTCCTATCTCTTGAAATGGAACTTGGTTGTATCCTCTTTCAGAATTAGTTCCAGGAGTATCGCTCTAGCCAGCACCAGCAGCACCGCTTCTTAGTCCTCCATCTTATAGGCCTTTGTTGTCCTCATCAGGGCGAGTCTCTGGATGGCTGACATCTTCCTCTTCTGGATCTGATTCAGGCGGCAGCTCCACGCTGGCGATCCGTACGTAAGCATACCCAATTGGACTACCTTGTAGATGACGCTCGTGGATGGGTACCTGAGGCACCAAAAAGCACCCCCTATGTTTTTCAGGCCATTCAGTGACATACCTACCTACACCATGGCGCTAAGGCCCTACAAGGACCTGAGCCTCCTCCGCTATTTTACATCACTGCTCTCTATTCAGTGTCTTTCGTGGCCATTGTCGTATTCCTAGGCTACGGAGGACCTGGGTCTTTGACCTCCATTCTTTCCTCCTAATAACGTTTTTTTTATTCTGTCCGCCGGCATTCTCCCAATGTGCCCCAGCCACATCAGCTGACTCCTTCTTACGAAGGACACCAGATCTGGCTAGCAGTACATTTGTTGGAGTTCCACATTTTTTCTTATTCTCCATCTCCCATTTTCACAAACAGGTCCCAGTATTCTCCTGAGTACTCCCCTTTCCCATATATTCAGAATCTTTTCTCTCTTTTTTGTTAGTATGCAGCTTTCACAACCGCTCTAATGATTGTATATAAGGACATTCTCTCTGTCCTTCAGACCCCTAAACTTTACTGGTTTCTGGAGAGCAAAATAAAAACCTGTTACCGACATGAATCCTCGCTTTAATTTCTACCAAAATTTCACCATGCTCGGTAAGTAGAGATCCCAAATATTTAAATCCTCTTACAGCCCGGAACGTACGCCTGCCTAAATTTAGTTGCTCGTTGGTATTATATTTATTTTTGGATGTTTGCATGTACACTGGCTTGCCGTCATTTATTATCATGCCCAGGTTAGCGGCGGTATTCTCAAACTCCTCAAGTGCTGCTCTTGTCCTAGCTGATATCACAACATCATCGGCGTAGGCTAAGTGCTGTGTCAGCCTATCATATATGGTTCCATTAGGATTAGTCCGTATGGCTCGAATGGCATATTCAAGAGCGAGGTTGCAGATAGTTGGGGAAAGAGGACCACCTCGTCTTAAGCCGCTTTTTATTGCAAAATTACCATTCAGTGACAGGATCACCCTATTCCGAAAATGTTCAATCTGATGTTGAACTTCGTCTTAAACTTTTCCAGTAACAGTAGCGATATAAGTCTAGGATAATAATCGGGTCAAATCATAACTGTAAGTCTTTGTGACCTTGAACCTAGAAAACTCCATGAACAAGGTTATCATCGCCAGTCTGTTGCTAAGCAACTTCAAGACATTTTGTTTCTAGACAAAACAGGCTAATTCGTCATTCATTTGTTGCAATAATAAAACTAAACACATTTCTCTAATTTTTTTTTCTTCAGAAAAATTGATCTCCTAATTAGACAGAAATTTTGAAATGATGCATACATGACAGGTAAATGAAAGTAGAAATAAATGAAAAAACAAAACATGATATTACCTTTTAGTTCTTAACTCTTTCTCCTCCTCTACATATTTTTTTCTCAGCATTTCTAAATCCAGCATTTGCTTCTGAACTTTTTCCTGTAGTATTTCTTTTTGAAGTTCACTACTTTTCCAATTGAATATCATTTGTTTATTTGCATCAGCTCTGCAAAGTTAAAGTTGATATTAATATTTAATAATAATTAAACAATAATTGTATTAGCAATGGTGACTAGATACATTGCATTCAGATATTTATTTAAACCACATAAATCTATTTAAGTTCATTTAATAATCTCAATTAACGTAATGAAATCCAGAATGAATTAAATAATTTTTATGGCAATTAGAAGCTATAATAATAATTTCAATGAATGATCAACGGCCGAAAAAATAGACCAGCGTTTAGCAAACATAGAGAGTCAACTTTATCCTCTCTTTCAAAGTTGTGAAATACGGCTGCGAAATCTGGACACTAACCAGCACCCTTGAAAGAAATATTGAAATATACGAGAAAAAAAATCTTGCACACAATAACTGGTGCGATCTGGGATAAGAGTATCCATAGCACGAAGGAAAAGGACCAATAAAAAAACTGCTTAAAGAAACTGATGAATCAATATCTTATGATATGAAGGCAAGGAAGTTGAGATGGGTCGGACATGTAGCTCGGTAGTAATCACAACAGGAAAGGAAAAAAACCTACGTAATGTGCTTCAAACCACACAATAAAAGTAAAAACATCAACAAAGGCATCATTGATAATATGAAATACCAGCTTTACCCGACCACGCGCTGCTGTGGCTTAGCCTGGCAAAATGAAAAAGAAAGAAAATAGAAAGCACATATGAGTAGATTAGTAGCAAAGGACATCTGTCATTTTTGAAAGTTGGGAAACAAATTTGTCTGTAAAATGGCTTCAATTTAAACTAATTCTAATGATTTTTTTTCTCATGATTCAAATTGAATATTCATAATCATCTGAGTGAATATGCCGTCATTCATAATCATCAGAAATAGTCTAAGTTGAACTTATAAAACTAAATTAAAAAATTAATTTAAAAAACGTATAATAGTATTGACCTACATAAGGAGAATCACATAAATTCTTCAAATGATAATTTCAATTACTGTAGTAATTATAAAATTTTCGGTTAATCATTAAAAAAAAAATTAAAAAATGCTTGCCTACCTTCGGTAATGAGGAAGCAAAAGGAAACGGCCTTTTCTGAAGAGAAAGCAGTAAATGTTTAAAACTCTGCAACGAACCGTCCGATTTCGATGATTTTTTTTTATTTTGTCAGCAATTCAGAAATCTTTCATATAAATGTGGGTATTATCAATCAAAAATTGTGTACTTTTTTAGCTATCGGCCAATTGAATTCATCGTAACATTTTTCAGCTTGTTTTCGGGAAAGTATGTTATACACATAAATTAAAAGGGTTTCAATGGGAAGGACTTTAGCCAAGTTTCGTTAAAATCGGTAAAGCCGTTTTGCCGCTACAGTTTATAGCGAAACATTTTTTGCGGCTTTGAACAGAAAAACATTTACATTTTTATTTTTTTTTTTACATATATAAAATTATCGTAAGACAGTAATATGCCAGAACCTTCCCAGGAGTGTACGGAACAACTTCCCAAAGTTTCATGGCGATCAGTTGAATGGTTTAGTAATGCACTAAGGACAAAAAGACATACATTCATTTATATATATATATAGATAGATAAATTATAAATAAGAGCTCATTATAAATAGGATGATTCTATCGCTTACAGTATTCAGGCCCGATTTTTAGTTTCTGAGATATATTAATCGATATCTACAATAAAACTAGTTATCATTTGGTTTTCGATACTATTTTTCCTTTAAGCCTCCTTAACACGGCGTCGCATAAAGATACAATTTTGAATACTATCCCATTATAGAGAGGATGAAATGATGAACATTTCTCTTACTAACAATATGCAAGTCCGATTTCTAGTTTTTGAAATATTTCAATCCATATGGAAAAACATTTCAATTGGTCGACTACAGCGTCCGAGCGTTACATATCGGAAATCTGACTGCTCAATCTAATCCACTCTCCACAAAAATGTGCATAACGCATCTAAAGAAGTTTTGAATTAAAAAAACTTTTAAAAAATCTAAGAGTAAGGAAGAAATGTATGTCATAGTAAATTTTTAAATAGTAAATTCACCAAAATATTTTTTTTAAACAATTTAAGAAGCATTTACCCCGATTTCTGGATATAGGCCCGACAGTCCTCCATTAGGCTGTCGCTTCTATGCTTCACTTCTAGGACGTCGTTCAGCTTGGTTTTTAAATTTTCCTCCATAGATTTGACTTGTTCGATTGCTTCTTCTTCTAAAATGTGAGCTTCGTCAGTCAATTCATGATGATGTTGGCAGAGTTTTCTTAAATATGCCTCTTTGGTTTCCGATTGCTGCGGAGACATTTTAAGTTTGTCAATTAAAGAATACAAAAACAATTTCATATCTTGTACGAAATTGAAACCAGCTTCTGAAATCTGAAATGAAATTATTTAGTCATTATTTTATTTAAGATGTAAAAAAAAAAAAAAAAAAAAAATATGATAGATCTAATTAGGAGTGTGCATATAGTGAGATGTGTACTTGGCAAAATCGAAATTTACAAATGGCATTGATATGGCTGAGAGATGTCCAGTCGTTGGAAAAAAACAATATTGAGATAGTTGATCACAAATTTTTACTCTTCGGGCATTCGTATCATAAAAATGGCATTACGAAAAAAGAATTTCCTGTTCAGACCGAGGATTATTATGACGTCATAAAACAATGTTGACAACATAATAAATTCATTTTACATATTAAATGAAACGGGAGAATTTCGTTTCAAGAAGTAGTAGTATAGTTTATTTTATTTGTCTAAGGAAATTCCTGTATAAATAAATATAATGGAATAATTAACAATGTTATATCTTGAGTCTAGTACTGCATTCTACCATAACATTAACAATATCCACAGCATTAATTATGACTAATATAATAACAGATTAGTAAACGATATATATATATATATATATATATATATCTTGGCCGCTTACATTAAGGGATGAGCAGCGTCTTAAGGTTTTTGAAAAATAAATTATTGCGTAGAATATTCGGACCGAAGAAGGATGAGTTTTACCGGAGAGTTCAGACGGTTACACAACGCCGAATTGCGTGAGCTGTATCCGGGTAATATAATTGAGGTAATTTCATCGCGGCGAATCAAATGGGCTTGTACAGTTGTTGGGCTTAGTAACGAGAGAATTCCTAAAAGGTTAATATTTGCTGTGCCGAATGGTAAGCGTCCGAGAGGTGGACCGAAGCGAAGGTGGGAAGATTGCATTAAAGCCGATCTGAAGGGACTGGGTTTGGACGGCGAACGGTGGAGGGAGGTGTGTAATAAGCGATTGGTGGTGTCGGCATCGAACCTTCGGGTCGCTAAGCCTTATGATATTATATATATATATATATATATATATATATAAATTAGTAAAACACATTTTTTTTTTCAATAATACATTTTTTTTTTTTAAATATTCCAGAGATATAAAACAAATGACAATATAAATAAGCATTAATATATGTTATATGATTAACTATACCACTTAACAGTTCAATGAACAGCCCTGTATGAAATAATACAGTTGGTTTATTTTTTTCGTAGTGTCTATTTTCAGTATCTCCTCCACACAAGCATCTTCTCTGGATTCAGTGATAAATGCCTTCAATTACTTATTTCTCGGCTCGTTGAACTTGATACATTGGATCAGAAAATGAGTTACCGGGTCAGTTACAAGGCAATTGCATGCACCACACACCTCACTGGATTTAATAGTCAAAGTAGCATCTTTTAAGTATATTTTCATAAAATCTTTACTTTTTACTCTGAGACGACTAACGGCTCTTAATTATTAATTTTCAACGGCTCTTAATTATTTCGTTTCAACAAAAAATCTTCAAAACACGCAAAACAGAAAACATTAATGGAGAAAAGGTAAATATATTGGTTGCAAAAATGTTGGATGAAGTTTCTCAAAAGTGCATTATATAACATTTTATATAAAATATCGATGGATTATCGGCTTTGGTCCGAACTGGAGAGGATGGCATGCCACAGAGCACACCCTAACTTGGAAAGCCTCAAACAATCTCTGGTCCGAGCAGTTGAGCGCTTTCCTCAAGAAGTGCTGCGTGATGCTATTGATGATTGGCCACGGAGATTAAATGGGCGTGTCAAGACAAAAGGGGGACATCTTGAGTAATTTCTTTTTTTTTTTTACGCTCTTTAGATATATAGAATAGAATAGAAAAATAATTTTATTCTGGGGCGAAGTCCCTTTAGAATAACAACAAAGTACAAAATTAAAGTATTATATCTGGCCTGAGTAAAAACAAACATAAAACGCTGCAAATTATTACACAATGGTTTATTATCTCCAAACGATTATACATCTAAAGTAACATTACCTTCCGAGTTACAAAGAAAAAAAAAACAAAAGGTGATTCCAATTATTGAACTAAACTGTTTTTCTTTAATCATTAGTAATATGCTAAAAAAAAATAGCATTAGTTCAGTAACACATTTAAAATTTAAAAACCAAAACCAAGGATATAACATTTGGAGTAGAACACATAAAAAAAAAAAAAAAAAAACCGGAGACCATATCTTTGCTCCTAATTGTCCGATTTTAACGATTTTATTTTTATGAAATTTCGTAAACTTAAAAAAAACTATATACAATATCAACAAAAAAGTAAAAACTTTTCGAGTTATTCGGAATTTAAATTTACCATCCCTCGTAACTTTTTTTCCAGCTTGTTTTCGTTGAAGTATGTTATATAGATAAATTTAAAGGGCGGCGAGAAAACGACTTTAGCGAAGTTTCATTGAAATCTGTAAATTCGTTTAGGATCTACAGTCTATAGCAACGCAGGTTGAAAGTTAGCCGTGAAAGGTAGCCGCCATTTTGAAAGTTAAAGGCGGACAGCAATGTCGATGAAGACGGGTCATCCTCGGGTGACCTCTGATTTTATATCAAAATTTGAAAAAAAATTGGTCCAGTAGTTTCGGAGAAAATGCGCGGACGGCGTACAATAATAAAAAATTTTTATTCGTTTTTCGAATTCTACGCGTCTTGAAACGTGAAACCTCAAATTTTGAGCGGGAGTTATGTTTTTGAATTTTTTGTTCGATCACAGTGTTTCATTATTGAAAATAATAAACCAATAAAAATAAAAGATTAAAGTAAAGAAAATATTAGTTAAATATTCTATGTATAAAATTAAAAAAAATAAAATCTATATACAAAACACTTGAAACTATGCCAAGATACTTAAAACTATGTGCAGTGGTAAAACATAAGTATACACTTTAAAAAAATAAAAAAATAAAAAATGCATTACATTCTTCCTAGCAATAAACTCTGTGTTTCTGAAGAAAGTGGGGGGAGGGGAATCATAAATTATATGTAAATATACCATTATGTGAATCATCTCGAATAATATATAAATTTACATATAAGGTTAGCGGGGGGTGTCTGACTGTTTTTGGGACAGAAATTGGAATAGGAGCGTTTTAAATGTAGATAGGGAGGGAGAATGCCGAATTTTGATAGGAAAGGAATTCCAGAAATTTACAGAGCGAGCAATAAACGAGTTTTGGAACGAGGGAGATCTGTGAGAAGGAATTTAAAGGTCGGAAGGTCGAGATCTTACTTTTATACTTAATAAATGTATAAAATATATATACTTTTATTTTCTAATAAAGTTTATGAAAAGATTATTTTTTCTGATGAAATCTGTATATATTTCCTTGTAACAATATTTATGAATGGACTAGGTATATACCTCCTGTACCTCACGAATATTGCCACATGAAGATCATAAATAAAGACTACTAATATCTTATGCTAATTTTAACAATATAAAATTAAAAATACCAATTATGGCTTATTATTAAAAATACCAATTCATGGTTGACTGTCGTGAATAATGAAGAGAAGGAGAAAAAAAAAAAAAAAAGCAAAAATAAGTAATAATATTTATTTTAACATTTGTCGACGTTTCGACCTGAGAAGTTCAGGCCTTCATCAGGGCTAAGAAAAGAAGAGAAGAAAAGAATTCTTTTCTTAGCCCTGATGAAGGTCTGAACTTCAGGTCGAAACGTCGGCAAATGTTAAAATAAATATTATTATTTATTTTTGCCTTTTTATTTCTGTCTGATCACCCCAATCACTAGCGGATCCAGGATTTAATTTTGGAGGGGGGGCTTCAGCCCGAAACCTTTTTTGTTTTCATAAAAATGACGATAATTACTTTGAAAAAAAAAAGAAAGAAACTAACTATGTATATGAAATGGTGTTTAAGTGATTCCTTAAGTCCTTTTATATGTGATTACACTAACAATAATACTTTAAGTGATAATTTTTTAATATTATCACTTAAATATCTTAGGGAACAGATGTATATCATTATTTGTTTTTTTATATTTTTTTTTGTTTTAGTTTTTACAATTTCTTTCCTTACATATTAACAGTTATTATTATTTTTTTTATTTTTATATTCCATCACTACAATGCTTTACCTATAAAATAGATTTTACTTTCCTTTATAATTTCATTCAGTGATTATTATGCAATTATTTTAGCTGCAATATTGTAGTACTGAACCCCTATTACCAAACTGTCCTCGTTAATTTATCCTAATAGCTTAATTAATACTTAATGTATTACATGTATTTTGTCATTATTCATTGTAATAAGTCTTTTGACCAGATTTATAGTTAATATATATGAACAATACTGTTATTCTAAAGGGACCTAGTCCCAGAATAAAGATGATTTTTCTGTTTCTATTTCTAAAACATGGTTACATTTTGCCATTTTGGGAGGGGGCTTCAGCCCGAAAGCGCCCTCCCCCCGTAGATCCGCCCGTGACCCCAATCATCTTTCTCTTCAAAAATACTAATTATGCTTGTTATTATTTGTAAAAAATAATAAAATAATCAATTTCCTGCAAATTTATCTTTTGGACTTATTGATAAACAATAAAATAACAAAGTTATACATATCACGGAAAGATAAAACCTGAATGACATACGTCCCTGTATAGGGATAATTCAGATTGTATAGATAAATCAATTAATCGCCATTTTAATCAATAAATTAATAATTCAATAGATATATATTAGATTACTTACTGACGTTTTGTTATTGATCGATATCTTTCTTATGTTTTCATTGGTGTATAATAACTGCAATGCATAACTGAACTCATATTCGTCCCGTAGTGGAATGTTTTCTGTTCTTGTAGAATATGTATTGAAGTATTCTTCAATCTTATCCAAAGATTGCATGCAGTATAAATTCGAATACCTGGTGGTCTTCTTGGATAACCATAACGATTCACTGGGAAAATACTGAGCGAATATTTGTTTCAATAATTTCAACTGATCTTCAGTCAGGCATGATTTGATTAAATCTAAATCATTGTCCAGCAGTTTAGGTACCGTCATCTAAAGAATGATGAAATTAATCAATATCCATGTGCAAAATAATCAATAAATGATATTTAATATATCATATTAACATGGACAGATAAATATCTTAGAATGACGATAAAAAAAAAAAAAATTATCCCTAATTTCCATAAATTCATTTCACATCTGGAGTCCCATCCCACCCATTCCGTAATAATAGAAAAATTTCTTACATCACCTATCACACTTTCCTTTATTCCTGATTACAAAAACTAACCCCTTACATATACCTGCAATTCGTACCATCCACTTTCTTCTATTATGGAAACACTCCACTATAATCCTTTTCCGAAAACTTCACTGACCATTCAAGGGAGAGAGGGGCGCCCCGAAAAATTCGCACAGCTTATTGTTATCAAATGCCAAATTAATAAAAAATTAAAATAATGCAACATATCAAAAGATAAAGACATCAAATGTTACTTTATCGATAAATATAATCGACAAAGGAAACAAAAATTAATTTTTCATTAATGTTTAGAACCAACATGTTTACGAATTTCAATAAGCTGTATCTTTGCTAAAAATTGTGAGATTTCGATGATTTTGTTTTCCTTTTGTAGGGAATTATGTAATCTATTATATAGTTATAGGCATAAGGGAAAAGTTTGTAGCTTCTTAGTTATTCGCAAATAAAGTTTATTTTCTTTCATAACTTGTTTGCCTGAATTTTTGGGGTGATTGGAGTATTTTGCCCGCCTAAAGGAGAAGGAACGGTGCCTGGAGAAGTAGGAGTAATGAAGGAAGACTCCCTGAATTCTATTGAACCCCCGGATGAGGAGGAAATGGAAAATGCCCTGATGAAATTGAAAAATGGAAAGGCGCCAGGCCCGGACGGAATCCAGTCAGAGCTGTTGAAATGTGGAGGTGAAGAACTTAAGAAAGCTCTGCATGATTTAATGCTGACCATCTGGGAGAGGGAAGCTATGCCTACGGAATGGGCAACAGCCATTATCTGCCCAATACATAAGAAAGGAGATCAAACAGAATGCGCTAACTATCGAGGAATCTCACTCCTTTCGTGTGCTTTTAAGCTGCTCACTAACATTCTTTTTGAGAGGATCCGCCCGTATTCTGAAAAGGAACTGGGGAAATATCAGGCTGGATTTCGAAGAGGACGCTCAACCACTGATCAACTGTTCTCTCTGAGGATGATCCTAGAAAAGACTATGGAGCGTAAGGTAGTCACCCACCATTTATTCTTAGACTTTAAAACAGCATACGACAGCGTTGATAGAACGCAACTATACTGTGCCTTGGAGGAGCTAAGCATCCCTCAGAAGCTCGTACGCCTAATCAAGATGACCATGGACAGCTCGAGATGTAGAATACGCGTCGGTTCTGACGACTCCGAAGAGTTTAAAGTGAGCAGTGGGATTAGGCAAGGGGATGCCCTCGCCTGTCTATTGTTCAACTTGGCAGAGGAGAAAGCTGTAAGAGACTCTGGTATTCAGACCAACGATATAATCTTCAATCGCCTGACACAGCTTCTTGGTTTTGCTGATGATATTGACATAATAGGTAGGTCTGAACAGGCTCTCAGAGAAGCGTTTATAGGCCTTAAAGCAGCTGCAAGATCACTTGGTCTAGAAGTCAACGAGAGGAAAACTAAGTATATGAGAGTTGGTGGTGAGGTAGATCTGAACTCCCCATTTGAGGTAGGTTCTTTTAAGTTTGAGAGAGTGAAAAGTTTTATATACCTTGGGTCTGAAATTAATAGCAAAAATGACATGGCTCAAGAAATACAAAGAAGGATCACGGCTGCCAATAGATGTGTCTATGGACTTGGCCGACACTTAAGAAGTAGGTACCTCTCAAAGAAGACCAAGCTGATCATATACAAGACTCTTGTTCGGCCTGTTTTGACATATGGCTCAGAGCGAGGAGTTTGAGCGAGGAGTCCTCAGAAGGATTTATGGTCCAGTAAAGGAGGGTGATGTCTGGAGGAAAAGAAAAAATAGGGAGCTCAGTTCTCTCTATGCAGACATCGACGTAGTCACCTATATTAAACTGGCCAGACTAAGATGGGCAGGGCATGTGGCCAGAATGAGTACCGTCGAGATACCCAAGAAAATAATGCTGGAGGAGCTGCACCTCGCAAGACGGGTAGGAAGGCCGAGGACGAGGTGGTTGGACAATGTGGCCTATGATGAGAACCCTGCTTGGTGTACGGAACTGGAGAGCTGCAGCAGAAGACAGAGCCAACTGGCGGAGGCTCTTGGAGGAGGCCCAGTCTCGGTAACGGGATGTCATGCCACACATGAATGAATGAATGAAAGGAGAAGGAAGCCTTCGGAATTGGTGGCTCAATCTTGAGATTTGGTGAAAAATTAAAGATGATATGGCTTGCCTATCAAAAACACCATCGATGAATAATATAAACTCCTCCTCTCTCGATCATAGAGACCTCAAGTCGACGAAATGAGACATGTATTCAATGACAGTACTACAATTAATGTAAGGTTGTGTGGATGCGAACCCTATGCCTTGCGTTATCTCGAAAATAGTACGTTTTGGGGCTTAAAACCGCAGGATCCGATAGTTCCGGAGGAACTATCCGGGTCTTGCTGTACGCATCAAAATCTTCAAGATCCAATTTTTTCCGTATCGATCTACAGACCAACCACCGTTCCTGTATTGAAGCTTAGCAAAATGTTTGTATCGACTTTATTTATTTTAGAAAGAAAAACAAAAGTGGAGAATACGATTCACTAACCCCCCGTGAAATTCTGAATCCAACGGTACACCATTCATGGTATTTGAGCATGACAGGATCTTATATTTAGTAAAAAACCGATTTAGAGCCTTACTGTAATAATATATGTAGGGATGGGGATGGGGATTGAAACAGAAACAGTCTTCTCTCATAAATGAAACATTTTCAACGATGGTTGAAAGTCTACAAAATTACTTAAGTAAATTTATAGACCTTGGTTATAGTCTTTCAAATCAAAGAATAGTTTAATTTATTGAATATACAAACTTGTTACAAAAGACCTTGTTTACATTTCCTCTTAAATTAATATTTTTTCCTGAAAACAATCTAAAAAAAAATCTCATATTTTATTTTAGAAATATGTAACAATATTGTAACAACCTTGAATAACATAAGAAAATATTTAAATAAAATAAAATCAGACTCACGGCAAATGTAATTCTATTCACAGTTTCATCGACAAGTTTTTGGATTCTCTTAAACTCCAATTCGCACTTCCCAAACCTGTCGCAATGTATCTCTTCAACTACACATTTTGCTTTCATTTGTCGATTGCTGTTGGCCATCTTACCTATTTCTTAAAACAACATATACAGTATCCTAACACATATAAAATATTCTAAATATTTTTAGATCAGTACTGCACATCTTGAATCTAAGATATAATAAACAAACAACACATGTTTTTAAAACATTATTTTATATTTCTATGGCATAGAGATTAGAAACATTTATCATCTGAAAGATGACAAATGTTATTTTTTTGAATAGATAGTGCCTTCAGAGACTGAAGGTTTTTGTTTTGTTGCACTAGCGGATCCAGGATTTAATTTTGGGGGGGCTTCAGCCCGAAACCTTTTTTTTTTTCATAAAAATAACGATAATTACTTGGGAAAAACAGAAAGAAACTAACTACCTATATGAAATGGTGTTTAAGTTATTCCTTAAGTACTTTTAAATGTAATTACACGAACAATAATACTTTAAGAGATATTTTTAAATTTTTTTTTCCCATAAAACATGGTTATATTTTTCCATTTTGGGGGGGGGGGGGCTTCAGCCCGAAAGCCCCCTCCCCCCCGTAGATCCGCCCGTGTTTTGTTGTATCAATATTTTACAATAGATTAAATATTATGTCTCGAATATGCGCTTTACTAATAAGTCTTTCCTAAAGTAAAAGCTAATTTAGACGCTGGCAGTTGAGGGCATACCATTACAGCTGTTCAAGATACTTTTAGATCACGCAGATAGCGAATGGTCTTCGAATTGACAAGAACATTCAGTACGTGTTTATTAATACATTTTTTTTTTAAAAATGACGAAATTATTATTTTTCAATCAGACAACTGTTTCTTATTCAATATCTACTAATAATTCAGTTTTTTTTTTTCTCCATGTACCACAGGCGGATCTACGGGGGGAGGGGCTTTGGGGCTGAAGCCCTCCCCCCCAAAACGGTAAAATATAACTGTTTTATAAAAAAAAAATATTAAAAACTATCTCTTAAAGCTTTATTGTTCGTGTAATTATATTTAATAGGACTTCAAGAATCACTTAAACACCAATTCATATAGGTAGTTCATTTCCTTTTTTTTTTTCAAATTAATTATCGTTATATGAAAAAAAATCTTTTAGGCTGAAGCCCCTCCTCCCCCCCAAATTAAATCCTGGTTCCGATAGTGCCATGTACCTTTTATTTTTTTTATCTTTTGTAGGCCTAATAAAGAACTGCAAAATTGGTCGAATAAAATACTATTCTAATAATATAATATTGATTTGACCGCATCCTCCGACCAACTCCTTCTCATATTATAATCGCGGTGAACTATCTCTACACCATTACTTTCTATTTTCATTTCATTTCATTACCAAATAATTAAATAACATCGACCTGACAAGTTTAATAAAAATCGTTAGAGTTGTTTATGAGGTGATGGTACCTGGGCAGCGTCTGATGTAGACAAATCCGAGGAATTTGCCAAGCACCTTTGCTATACCTTCACTCCCCATCCAGAATCTCATCCTACCCACACAGTAAAAGTAGAAGAATTCCTTTCTTCACCTATCCCACTCTCCTTACCACCTAAAGCAGTTAATCCCTCTGAGGTCAAATACTTATTACGCAAAATCACTCCTCGTAAATCTCCTGATTACGTCCTTCTAACCCCGCAGATCCTACGACAAATACCATCCAAAGCCATCATATTTCTAACCTATATATACAATTGTATCCTCCGAACTACGCACTTCCCTCTCTTCTGGAAACATTCCACCATCATCCTTTTCCTGAAACCAGGTAAGCCTCCCAATAATACATCATCCTATAGACCAAATAGCCTACTCCCAATTCTATCAAAAATTTTTGAAAAGATCCTCCTGAAAAGAATCCTACCCATTATAGACTCCCGTAAAATCCCTACCCATCAATTCGGATTCCGTTCCCAACATTCTACCGTCCAACAAGGACTCCGAGTTGTTGACCGCATATCCTCAGCCCTAGAAAACAAGCAGTTTTGCTCGAGTGCATTTCTGGACATAGCGCAAGCTTTTGACCGGGTGTGGCACGCCGGATTGCTCTTCAAGCTCAAATCTCATCTACCACAGTCCTTATATCTAATACTCCAATCCTACCTCTCCGACCGCTCCTTTCCAGTTCGCTGTGGTACAGAATTTTCCGACTGTTACTCAATTGAGGCTGGAGTTCCTCAAGGCAGCGTCTTGGGTCCCATCCTTTACATCATCTATACCGCTGACATTCCCGTCCATCCCGATACACTCCTGGCAACTTTCGCTTATGACACTGCGATCCTATCTTCTAACTCAGATCCTGAAACAGCGTCCATAAACCTGCAACGGCACCTATCCTTGATTGAACACTGGTGCAAGAAATGGCGCATCAAGGTAAACGAATCTAAATGTAAACACATTACCTTCACCCTTCGGCGTAATACCTGCCCACCAGTTTATTTTAACTCCATCCAGCTTCCTTTCTCAGATAAAGTCCGGTATCTTGGCTTTCTCTTAGACAGACGACTAACATGGAATCCACATACTAGACAGGAACTTTACAGACGATATGGCCAGCTATATAGACTACTGAATAGAAAATCTAAACTTTCTGGTGAAAACAAATTACTGATCTACAAGACAATACTGAAACCCATCTGGACTTACGGACTAGAACTATGGGGAACAGCCAAATTTTCTAACATCAAACGCATTCAATCCTTTCAGTCTAAAGTCCTCCGTACAATGGTCGATGCTCCCTTCTATGTAACCAATAAAACCCTACACCATGACCTTAATATCCCATTTATTCTTGATCTTATCCCAGCCAAATTTTCCAAATTTCACCAGAACCTTTCTCATCACCCAAATCCCGTTGTACAATCCCTATCAAGCACCACCCATCCCTACAATCCCCTTCGTAGGTTAAAGCGGCAGTGGCCACGAGACCTTTTGTAAATATGGATATTTTGGAGTTCTAGCAATGGCCAGATTCTCCACTCAAGTCATGAGTGTCTGTGGCTGTAGCACTCTTACTCATCCTCCGCTGGTTTAAAATACCAGTGAAGTGGCTGAGGGAGAAGCGTAGGGATCTCCTAAGCCTCCCTTTTCCCTCCACATGTGGAGGGGACAGGATTGGTTCGGAGATCACCTGGCAAATTGTAAATAATGTATGTTTTATATAAGGTGTTTGTTTTACTTTTATTTCTATTTTTATTTACTTATGTGTATATATATATATATTTTTTTTTCTTTACTCTTTTGTTCTTTTTTCTTATTCTTTTGTTATTACTTTATTTATTTATATTTTTGTATATACGGTATGAATGCAATCTCTGAACTCTATTATAAGTGTCCTTAAACTGTGACAAATTGTAATATTTCTGAATAAAGTGTTTAATAGAAGACATATTGGCAACGCTTTGTAACAGGGTAGGACTTACCATAAATTAATCAGTGATGATTGTTATGTAGATGTAGACTTCAATTGGTAAAAAAATAATGTAATTATATTAAATTAACAACATGAACCAAACTATTTGTAATCGACACAGACAATACTTAACAATTTTGTCAGAAGCGTCAAAGGTAATTCTTCTAAACAGTATGTCACCATGGAAGTATTGTTTGATCAATACTAATAATTGAAGAACGATACGATGATTAAATACACATAATACAATATCTAGTTATTTTTTCCTAATTAATATTCTACGTAATGTAAATATCATATTTTGGAATCGGAAAAAATGGGGTGACACTGAAATCGGCCGCCATCTTTGAATAGGGGAAGAAAACTAGAATCTTGTAGTCCGTGGGTACAGACACCTTTTTATCAATTTACTAACATCCGGCTGAAACTTCGTAAATAATTTCATCTCACCGTAACCTACAACTATTTTATTACGAAAATTCTCGGAATTGGGGAGTTTTCAATCTGGAGTTAGGCAAAGTTTGTCTATTTAATTAAGTACTAAAAACTTGTAAATACTCATTTGCTTTCCAGTTTAATCGTAAGATAACTTGAGCACAAAGTAGAAAAAAAAATCTGGCCTTCAAAAATATTGAGCCGTTTGGCATGACGTACACCCCCAAATCTTCAAAATAACGAGGTTATAAAGGCCAAACGGCTCAATATTTTTGAAGGTGACCATTTTTCTCGAATTTGTGCTCAAGATATCTAATGATTAAAGTGGAAAGCAAATGGGTATTTTAGTATTTAATTGGGTTTTTAGTATCTAATTAAATAAACAAAGTTTGCCGACCTCTAAACTCAAAACGTCCCAATTTCCGTAATTCCGAAAATTTTCGGAATGAAATATTTGTAGGTATCACAATGAGATGAAACTTATCTATGAAGTTAGACCTCCAGATTGAAAACTTCCCAATTCCAAGAATTTTCGTAAGTAAAGATGAAGTTTCAGCCCGATGTTAATAATTCGATAAAAAGGGGTCTGTACCACGGACTACTGTTAACAGTAGGAACACTGCCGCAATATTAAGAGATCAAATTAAAATTACAAATTTATAGTCTTCCACTACAAGGAGTTGAATCATATTCTAATTTCTAACATAAATTTCAATTTAATAATATTAAAACTTCTTGCAATTCTTTTGTTTTTTATTCTTATTTGAGACATTTAGTAAGTCTTAATTCATTAAGTATTATGAATGTTGTGAATCAGGAGTACCCATCTCTCCCCCCTCCGAAGCTGATGGTGGATAAACATTTCCCCACTCCTCCCAAGATATTTCCTCTCTCCTTCTTAAAAACAATGCAAATGAAAGAATTTGAATATTCGTAGATTATATACCATTACACATCATGTGCTCTTTTCCATAATTCCACTTATTTTTGAAACTTTTCATTATGAAAATTCATAATCCCATGGAAATGAGCCCCCATCATTAATTTTGATTAAGGCACAGCTTGGGCCATAAAAGTCCCTTCCAGACTCCTCGGTTGTGAATATCTTTTTTAATATTGGTTTGAATTCATTTCATATGCCACCTGGATTTGACCAGTCAATCATGGAAAGACACAGAACTGGTCAATCCATATCTTATGATATGACGACAAGGAGGTTAAGATGGATAGAGCATGTAGCTGGGAACAATCCATTTGGAAGCCTCTACACAATGAATCCCTAAATACAAGACAAAAGACCACCTGTAATGGCAAAAACTAGATAGATAGATCAAATCAAGAAAGTCATACCCAGTCTTATTTTCGAACTACATACCTGACTAAAAACCATTTAATTAAAAAAAAAAAAAAAAGGTGCTTAGCAAACTAAGAGGTGCTTTAGACCATACTATAGAAGTGAAAACATCCAAGCGAGAATAATATGGAATATAAGTTATAAGAGCTTGTTATAAAGAGGATCACATACTGAACAATTTCTTCGCTTACAGTATGTATGCCCAATGTTCAATTTCTGAGATATTTTAATCCATATATTCCATACAACTTCATATAATTTGGTTTTCGGCACTGTTTTTTCCTTTTTTCTCTCTAACACAGTGTCATGTTAAGATATAATATTGAATATTATAATAATAGTGAATAATATTCACTCTCCACAGAAAAACAAGCCTACAGAAGTTTTCACTTCAAAATACAAAAATATATGCTCAAAATAAATTTTAAAAGATCATATAAATATACTATAAGAACAAGAGGGTTGTACCTTCATTTTCACTATCTTTGTTTACTCTTTTTCACTTGGCTGGTTAATCCAGCAATGGTCAACTGATGGCCAGTTAACAGGAATTTTACTATAGTTAACACTTCAAATTATCTTTATACATAATTATTAAATTTTTAAAATAACTTTAGTTATTTTAAAATTTGGATGTTATTTTAAGTTAATTATATATCAATAAAACATGTTGATATTACTGAACATTTTTATTGAATTTCAACTAATAAAAAAACATGAATTTCATCAAAATAACAAGATACTCATAGCAATGTACTAAAAATAATTAAAGCTATAAAAATAAATAAATTCAGGTTTTAACGGCCTAATTAGTTAGTACCAATAACTTCATAAATAAAGATATCAATGGCCAATGGCTGTTAAGAGGCACATGAAAAATTGCTCTGCATTTGTTTTCAGCTAATTACTTATATCAATAAGTATTCTTCACGTAGAATCTCAGACCATGCTTTCAATCAGAATATAATAGAAATAGTCATCTTCCAGAAATGGTCTGTATCTCAGGATAATCCGTGTTTTTCTCTTTATTCTCTTCGCAACTTCTGTCCGAGAAAGAGGGAGACCTGCTTTCTCAGACGCAAAGCTTATGCCTGAAAATTCACTTCATCGCCTTTCTTAAATCAGCTACTAGCTCAAATGTTTATAAGTACAGTGCTCATCGCTCAGCGGACACGAATCTGGATGATTGTAAAAAAACCAACATTTCTTTTCCTTTATCGTTTTGGGGAGTAATTTTTTTATAGTTGGCTTTCTCAATTTTACCTTACCATTGTACACTAAGAAAACATGGTGGTGATTCCTTAATAAAGTTTGGAGACCGCCGCATTGATCTTTTAGAAATTTTCTCCTATCTGGTGACAATAACGACGCAAGATCTCTTATGGAAACAAATTCCCCTTCTCTCCATGATGGAATTATCGGACTCGACTTTATAATGTAATTTGCAATGTCAAAGACAACTTCCTCGAGGTATTCTTTATTCAACTGTGTACAATTTTTTACCTTTTCTTCAGGACTTCTTAGTTTCATTTTTAATCCTCCTGAAGATGTAAGTTTAAGATTTACAAAATCGTTGACTTCGGCTTGTTTGCTCAACTGATCAGAACTTTTATACAATCTTTTCTTACTAACAAGACAGAGTCGTTTAGTCGAAGGAATTTTCAACCTATCTCGTTCTACTTCGATACCACATACATAACAAATATTTTCCAAATAGTCCATATAATCAGAATAACAACTTTTGGAAGTATTATTTCTGATATATTTGTGTCCGTTCAGTTCAAATGGACAACAGGGTAATATAAAAAAATTTGTAGTAAACGAACTCCTAGAAGCTATGATGGGTATCCATGGTGTAAGCTCATCGCTATGATTCCCTATTACCCAATCAGCTTCTGGAAAAACACAGTCTAAAGATGGTGCGATTGTATCTACCTGCAATATTAAATAAGTACACATATTAATAATTTAATTTAAAATGTTTCATTAAAAAAAAAATTAACAATAATGACGTATTCTCATAGAATAAATAATATACAAACTAGATAATCCATAAAAAATATCCCAATTATAAATATAAAATTCATCATATCCCACAGCACGCTATTCCTTGATTCCTGCAAATACTAAAATGTGTACACAAGTATGTGGAGCTGACCGATCTTCAACCATTGGTGTTTAGTAAATTACTCGCCATTATAAGATATTTTTACCCAATTATATATACAGAATATTAAGGTCAGGTTTAGTAAAATCTAGTCACCATAAAATTCACTACTTTTTGGATGTAAATAACAGTGTGATCTGGATTATCGATATAATTATCACTGATTCGTCAAAAGTAGAAAATAATTCTATTGTGTGAAGGGTATAATTCAAATTTTATGATGATGATTTGGTACTACTAAGTGAAGACACAAAAACAACAAAACTAAATACAACAAAATTGATAAAAGCTGATAAAGAACTAGGGCTTGAAGTAAATATGGATAAGTAAAAATATATGATTAGGAATAAAAATGGCGACAATTTCGGTATTACAGATATTGAAGGAAATATGTTTGAACATATAGAGAAGTTTAAGTATTTATTTTTAACGATAACAAGAAAAAATGAAATTGAAGAGGAAGTTAAGACTAGGTCAAAGGCGGGAAATGAAACTAGTTAGCTCGCAGATGTCCCAAAATTTAAAAATCAGAATTACAAAACTATTATCCTTCCTATGGTTTTTTATAGATGTGAAACATGGCCACTTACATGAAGGGATGAGTAAAGTGTTATGGTTTTTGAAAATAAAGTATCGCACAAAATATTCGGACTGAAGATAGATGAGATGAGGCAAACGGAGAATTTAGGCAGGTACACAATGCTGAATTGAGCGAATTGTACCCGGTAAATATAATTAAGTTGATGCAAATAAAATGGGAATGTAAAATTGGTGGGCTTGGTAACGAAAGAATTCCTAAAAAGTTAATAATTGCAGTACTGACTATCAATCGTCCGATGGGTAACCCAAAGCGAAGGTGGTTAGATTGCATTGAGGCTGATCTGGCGGGATTGGGTTGGATGGCGCCTAGCGGATGGAAGAATGTATACATAGATTGGTGGTATTGGCATCGAACCTTCGGGTTCGCTAAGCCTTATTATTATTATAGAAGTTTAACTTAATATATTAAATATTAAAACAATATTTTATAAACAATTTTTTTTCCCCAGTGGGAAAAGGTATTTCAATTTTATTTTAACTATTTACTTTTATTCGAAAACTTATTTTAATAACATGTTTTTTCTATTCATATTTTAATAACACAATATTTTTTTTTGAATACTCAAAGGTTGACTATTGTATAATATGATGGAAGGAGGGTCCAGGGTGGTACTTATAAAAAGATTTAAAATAGTGAAAAACTGTTTTATTTTAAACCTAAGATAAATTAGAAAATTTGGCTTAAAATAAAGTAGTTTTACACTATTTTGTCTTTTTATGACTGCCAATGGATCATCTCCTTCCTACATATTTTTTTTAAAGGTTTTTCTATGGGTTAAGTTTAAGATGGAAAGTCGTTTAAAGTATTGAATTAATTTAAGCTAAATCCTTTTTCACATGTTAATTAATATTACAAAGTAATATTAATTAATTACACAGTTTAGGCATTTCATGTTAAAAGGAAATTATTTTGCTGTGGATGATATTTTTCCCATAGTACACTGCACATGACAAAATATTTAGATTCCGTTCCGATAAATGAAGCCATTTGCAACAGTAAAAACATTTGCGCTGGTCATAACGGTGAGAATATGACTCGATCTTGCCTAAACAAAATGTAAAAGTCAAGGCAGCAATGTAATCAGATGTAAATAGGACGGTCAATATCCTGCTAGGAACTACTTTACAAGTATTCCTACACTTTGATGGGTGGGTACATCTCATGATCATGCTAGAACAGGAATCTTGAGAATGCTCGTGAATGTTCAAAATAGACAGAGATCTGATAAGACCATCTCAACTGAAAAGCTCTAGTTGGAGAGTTTGCGGAATATGTTAATTGTGATTTAAATAAAGGTGGGTAATACTGTGAACACCTTAATACTTCATTAATAGCATGATAATGAGATCTTGGCCCATTTATTAAAATGGAACAACACTTATAAAGTACTATCCTTGAAAATCTGGGAATAAAGTGCTGTGGAGGATTTTGAAAATAGCTGCCATCTTGGTGTAGTGAAACAGAACTAGCACGGGATCATGATTATTGATTGGATAACACGATATTTGGCAAGTAATATAACATATACACAATAGATAAGTCCATACAGATGGTTATTTATACATAAGGATAGAAAAGATTTGGAGATCATTCGTATCCCTATTCTTAAAGACAAAAAAATGATCTACCAGAGATGGGTGAAATCGAAATCAATGATTACAACTGAAAATATAACTCAATGACCACACCAATTTTATACTCAACACAATATTACTTGTAACGATTACCTAATTACAATGTTAATCGGAAACCTGAATAGGATCGAAACTGTGTAATCAAAATGACTGTAATTGTAAATGTTACGGTTACACCCATAAATGCCAACAACACATCCGTATGTGATACTATTATCAACTAAGCCTACTAAATAATAATGTTGCAAGTTAGAAACCACTTTAAAATATACTAATATTATAAAACTGTTAAAATATAATATAAATTAATGAATTATTACCTTAAGTTTTACAAAATCAGGATAAGAATTCCATATTTTTCTGGCGCGCAAATCAATCCCAACTCCATTATGACCTTCACCAGACAATATATACACAAGTAATCCGTTACCACATCCAAGATCTACAAATCTTTGACATTTATCACCCCACAGAACTATCAAATATGATGCAATGGCAATATCTTCATTTATAAACTTTTCTGGGTTCGTAGATTCATTCCAAAACTAAAAATAAAACCATCATTTCCACAATCATGTTTCAAAAATACAATAAAAATAGTAATTTAAGATTAATACCTTCAATATCGAATGAAAATATTTTTCTTTTAATAAAGAATAAGTCGACAGATATTTATTCATTGAAATTAATTGGTTAGAATTGAGAGCTGTAGAGTTGTGATCACTCTCCATCCAACAACTCAATTTTGGAAGTAACATCTGTTCGAGCCACATGAGAGAATCATCATTTAATCCTTTTTCAACAGTTGATAATATCAAGGTTTTGTTTCTGAAAGAAATGGCATAAGGCAAATTTGTAACTAAATTATCCCTTTCGCCAGAAACAGGTTTAATAAAAACAATTGCTTGTTTTGTGAAATCTGAAAACAAAATTTTTTTTTTGCAAAACATTGATCTTTTGAAAAAGTAACATATGATTATAATAATCAGCAGTTACCTTTGATTATCAATTCAATATTTTCTGGAGAATATTGACCATTTTTAGGATATAATAACCTTAAAATTATTTCAAATGGGCCCAGCTTTATTTTCGATTTGGGAAGTTTTTCATGAAACTCATCTATCAAAAATTGTATACTTTCTCTTAAATCGTTGCAAGAACTTAAGGAATGTAAGTGGTCGACTAAATACTGTTTGAATTCTTCAATACTTTGAAGAGAGAAAAATCCAATTTCAAAATAATCAGCGCCACCTATTTTCTTACTTATGCAATGTGGTTTGCTAATCCAAATGTGTATACTCCTCCAGAACTGTTCAATATTATCAATGCAGGGAATTGAAACTTTTTCTTTCCAACTGTATAGATCCATATCAAGAATACGAGATTTAGTTTAACAAGGTTTAAAATGACTATTTTTTATACCAATTGACAATTAAGGCATATGGAAATTAGACAATTCAGTTCACAAACATGTAGAAATTACTGTTCTTTGAAGGGTAGGTTATGAAACATGTTATCAATGTTTTCTTGCCCCTGAGTTCTCTAAATTAATATTTATTTTATTTAATAAATCTTGTATATTCTAATTTTATAGAATAAATCTATTTATATTTTAAAATATCAAGGGAATTATTTCAGAGTAATTTTGGATCTTCAATATAAATATGTCATTGGATTCATCATTTTATTTACAATTTCCTCAATCTATGAATTTATTTATTATACTTTAAAAACCCTGTATTGATAATTTCTGTAATATTTAGTTATAAGAATTTCATCTATTTATCTATAATTACAAAAGATACTGATAAAAAGAAATATTTCCATACTGTTAGTAAAAATTGAGTTTTTTTACAGAATAGCTTAAACACCTATTATTTTCTTATGATTTATCAGTATAATTTCATGTTCTATTTCCCTATTTAGCAAACTATTTATAGCCTTTGCAGATTATAAAATGTCAAGAGAATGAACATGTCAAATTGTTACATACGATCTTTTTCAGTAATAGTAGAGATTTGATCCCTCATTAAGATTAATGTATGGAAGAGATGATTCATTCTATTGAATGTCCTCGATTTGAAATCATTATGTGCATTTACGTAAAAAAGAACTAGTAAATGTTAATTATTATTTACATATTATCACGGGCGGATCTACGAGAGGGGGGGGGGGGAGCTTTTGGGCAGAAGCCCTCCCCCCCAAATAGTAAAATATAACCATGAAGTATGGAAAAAAATTATCTCTTAAAGTATTATTGTTCGTTCAATTACATTTAAAAGGACTTTAGGGATCAGTTAAACACCATTAATTAGTCAGTTTGTTTCTTTTTTTCCAAAGTAATTATCGTTATTTTTACGAAAAAAATGCTTTCGGGCTGAAGTTCTCTCCTCCTCCAAAATTAAATACTGGATCCACTAGTGCATATTATGTATTGAAAGTTAACATTATTAATAATTAAGAAGAAAAAAATCAGGATGAAGATCAATATTAACACTAAAAAATGGAAAAAATATATATTTATTACAATATATTAGTCCATTCATTAATTCTAGCCTGTCCATTGACGAAAAATGTCTCAAGCCCATGTACTACAGAGGTTTCCCGACTAACAAAAGAAGGAAAACAATATTAGCTCCTGCACTGTCACTTGTAGTATACCAACATAGTTATGGATACATATATCTTTAAACAATGCACCTCATGTCATATTACTTCTCAAGTTGCATAATTAGAAAGACGGTGACTTAAGAATGGGGCACAATTTCGGCCCATTTACATACTCTGAACCATAGTAAAAGATAGCAACAAGAGTTGCTGATGCCAAAGAGCACCATAATAACAGTGACATGAGAGTGTCCGTAGTATATTCAGTTGGTGATACGAGGTTTGCAAAGAACATCGCAGTAGCCATAAGGAAGATGAGTGGAAATGCTGCGTATTTGAAATCCTTTTTAACATCAAGAGGGCTTCTTATGACTGTCCCTTCATCTGGAGAGACTCGATAATGGCCAAGCCAGAGATCCAAAGCATCCTTTCGAAAACCATCCTTGAAATTATTTTTATAATATCGTTTGAGAGATTTAATGCCATCTCGAAGCATTCCGAACTTGGTTCTTTTTCCTGTCCTAGTGAAATCTGTTTTCATTGCCTCCGTGCCCGAATACTGCATTGATATTACGTCTGCATGATCACTCCAGAGTGTTTTGAACGCGTTTTCAAGATCGACTTGACTCTCAACTGTTTCTTCTTTCTCCAATATCGATAGTTTCTGTAGAATATAAGTAAGTCTGTTTCTAGCCAACAACGATTGAACCACATTAGTCCTGTCCAAGCAGTCAATACAATTTGTCCTGAATACACCTTTCTGTTGGGATACAACCGTTCCATTTCCAACGATCATCGTCATTGACATATCTTCTAAATCGTTAGCTAAACGATCTAAAAGAATCTTCAATTTATCATATCGTAGTTTAGAACATTCTCTGTGGAAGTCAAAAGCTTCGTACTTTAGATCAGCATTACTTAAATTATCCACTAAAATTCTAAAAAACTCTTCCAGCTTTCCTTCGGACCCAGAATGATCAATCAAGTTCACAATAACTTGTCTTCCATAGTGCATCAACTGCGTTTCAAAGTGTGTTTTGAAAGCAACAGTATGGCCTTTCATTCTAATTATGGTAGGTCTTGGTTTCAGTTTCAGATTTGGGTACTGCTGCCAGAAGAATGGTATGGACCCTCGTGTCTGAACAAAACTAGCACGCTCAAACGAAGTTTCGACAATTTGTTCAGTCTCAACAAAGTTGGCAACATTTCCATCTGAGTCGACTCCTCTGGTAAATAGTCTGGTCCCAGCTCTCTCATTAGACCTCCTGGAGATCAAGATGAGATTGAACTTCCTGGCGTTCAAAACGTAAGATGTAATCGAAAGATAGCCGAGAATGACTGGAAGACAGAATCTAGATACACCTGCGTTCTTAGCGAATTCAGACAAAATATATTTATTCCAAACGAACCTCTGTTCAGCCCTCTGATACATCGGCATTTCGAAGAAGTCGGACTTTTTATTACAAAACCTCAAAACTGTGTGAGTGAGGTCATAGGAATATGAAAAGTAAAAGTAAGGAGTGGCAAGAATGAATTCTAGCATTGAGATATACTTCTTTTCAAGTCTTATCTGCTTATCATTGATTGGAAAAGGCAATTTATTAATACATATAACTTCTGCAGAGTCCATCTGGAAGACTTCCTTTCTCCATATATTACCAACTTTGGACCTGCCTGTCACTACAACCAAGTATTGACCAACTATTAGCCTTATAATACCAATAATTCCATACACTTTTTTTTTAATCCCATACACTGGTGCATCTCCTCTACTTCCTGGAAGATTTGCTATCGTTATATTTCCGGTAAACCTATCTATAATAAGGCTGTTCTCGACATCTTGAAGAGGCTCGATGTAAACCTTTTCGGGTGTGATGGTGAGGAGCATTTCTCCATAAACATTGTTTCCAGACATAATTAACTACACTTTATTTGTTAAAATTAAACAAGCTAAAAATCCAGTTTATTTCTCTCCCCACTTTGTTGTAACAATGACTGAAAAAAACGGAAGATTTTGACGTAGTACAAACACACTTTATTGTAAATACACAGGCGGAAGAACTTGACATGAACAATTTACTAAATGAGAAGAAAAAACTTCAGACTATCATTACTTGACAACGAAAATCATAACCCGTTAGACACATGACTGTTCGATTTAACCGCACAGCCTAGTGTCAGCGACTGAAACTACTGAGCACAACAAATCGATATGTTCGTATCATATCACCTATCGATTACAGTAGAAAGATACCATTTTGAAGATTAACTAGAGCTTCGAAGAAATTAAATTAAAGAACCAAAGCCAGAAACGTTTAGATTATTTATTTTTATTAATAATACAATGCGTATCCTGTTTTTAAATTTGATATTAAATCTATAATCGATTTAATACTAGTATTGTCATCGAAATGGACTTGATAACATTTTTAATTAATACAGAAAGTTAAACTGGTCGTACTAAATAGATTATGGATGATAACAACAAACAATGGACCGTGTGACAAGATTTGCAAATAACAGCGATTAAAATTTTCCGGATATCAAATCTTTTTATTATGCATATTTTTCTGAACATATTTTATTATTGTACGAGTTTTCTTCATCCTCATTTCTCCATATCTGTCAGCGAAGAAGTGAATTTTGATTTTATAGCATTAGGTTTATTTTAATTGCGTATTTTTATACAATTTTCTTTGAATCTGTCAGTGATGGGCGGAAATTTGAATGATGTACTTAAACATTGGATGTTGGTGGAAAATAAGTTATATCAACTTATTTTGTAGTCCGAAATATTTTTCCTATTACGTATTTTATTATCAGAAAAGAGAAAATAAACCCAATCTAACCTTTTTTGTTTTTTTAATTTTTATTATTGAAATTTACAACTGTATATTGATAAATACAACTAGTAAATATGAAATAAGTAACTTGACATGAACAACATGAAGAGAAACTACCCATTGGTAGCACTCCAATTATATTTCTATATTAGAAGGACCCCAGGCCATCTTCATTTCAGACGCCTCTGGGGGTTATCAGGAATAGAAGAGGAAGGAAGGTTGGAAACAAGAGGGTTCAGATGGTTCAGAAGTTTATTATTGAAGGATAAGTTTCTGGATTGAACTAAATCGGAAACATATGGTACATTAGGTCGTTATTGATGATTTTATTTGTGACAAAGTAGAGAGCATTGAGGATTTTACGAAGGATTTTGGATTGTAGGGATTGGATACGAATGGAATTTGATGGTTTAGCAGAGCCCCAAAGCTCAATCTCGTAAGTCCAAATAGGCCTTAATATAGTAATATATATGAGTCTTTTGTAAATAGTTGGAAGTTTAGAGCGTTTGTCTAATAAGTGCTGTAGTAGTCGAAAAAGTCGGGAAGGTTTCTAGTCGTTTTAGTCTGGTATGGGGGTTCCAAGTGAGTCGTTTGTCCAGGTGGAGTCCTAGGTAGCGGATTTGTTCAACAGGAATAAGTGGAGTATTGTTGAAGGATACTGTAGAACAGGAAGTCATAGGTTTACGACGAAGAGTGGAGGTAATTTGATGGGATTCACTAGAATTTATTTTAATCCTCCAGTTGTGACACCATTTTTCAAGACTTGTGATGTGTAATTGAAGAGTTTGGGATGCAACAGATGGTTCCTTATTAATTGATAGGATACACGTGTCATCTGCATAGGTGATGATGACAGTGTTGGATTGGGTTGGGATGTCAACTGTATAAACTGTGTAAATGATAGGACCTAGGATACTGCCTTGAGGAACACTGGCAAACTGAGTAAAAAGAGATGAATAAGCATTTTTATGATTGAATTTAAAGGATTTGTCAGTAAGGTACCAATCTGACCTAAACCATATTTATAAGTCAAGAAAAGAGTTTCAAGTTTCGAGGCAGATTTTCCCATTTTTCCCTTAGAATGAACTTTAAAATCTTATATGTAACTACTCGATTTATGTCTGTTTTACTACTCATAATATTATATATTATGAGACATAGACCTTAACAACAAAACCAGAAAGCATGTTCAACTCCTGGGAGAGGAAAGCGATGAGAAGATTATGGAAAAGAGCCGCTGAAAACGGAATTTAGAGAAGAAGAAGATATAAAGAGCTGTGTGAACTATTTAGGGAACCCAATATCGTGAGGCAATTATATGAAGAGAACGATTAAGATGGATAGGACATGTGGAAAGAATGCTATGTTCGAGAAGCCAGATGGCAAAAAAGTAGGCTTTGGTTGATAAATATTTTCATTTTTTTCCCTCCCCACCATGGAATATTTTACCAAAGAGGAAACTCTAGTCAAGAAAGCTCTGCTGGATGTAGTAATGGGGGATGGTTGGCATTTCAATAATTTAAAAGTATAGCTAGCCATATCGATTGTCATAGTGACTATAGATAGTTCGTATACTTTCCTTAAGCACAAATTAATTTCAAATTTTATATACTATTAAGAATAATTTTAATAACAAGTCTTTATACTTCTAGCCGTTTATTGATGTATGAAATATATTGATAATATATAACAATGAGTTAAAATTTTCGATAGTGGAAAACTATTCGGAAAAATCATAAATAGAATAAATGGATAGAAGTATGAAGGCGTTTTATCAAATATATTAAATATAAAAATTAAATTGCATATTTAAATTTTCATTTTTATAAATTAAGGCCATATTCCACCAACATTTTATTCCTTTTACATTATCATTCTTGACATTGTTTTGGCCAATGCTAGGGACATTTTCAAGTCTGGAAATTTTTGTTATTATTAGATTACAATTTAATTACATTCAAAATTAAAACATTCATTATCTTATTGACACAGTTCGGTATCTTTCTCTTATACAGACGACTAATGTGGAATCTACATACTAGACTTAAAAGACAGGAACTTAACAGACGATATGGCCAGCTATATAGACTACTGAATAGAAAATCTAAACATTCTGGTGAAAACAAATTACTGATCTACAAGACAATACTGAAACCCATCTGGACTTACGGACTAGAACTATGGGGAACAGCTAAATTTTCTAACATCAAACGCATTCAATCCTTTCAGTCTAAAGTCCTCCGTACAATAGTTGATGCTCCCTTCTATGTAACCAATAAAACCCTCCACAATGACCTTAATATTCCATTTATTCTTGATCTTATCCCAGACAAATGTTTCAAATTTCTCCAGAATCTTTCTCATCGTCCAAATCCCGAAGCACAATCCCTATCGAGAACCACCCATCCCTACGTTAAAGCGGCAGTGGGTTTGAGACCTTTTGTAAGTATGGATATATTGGAGTTATGGCAATGGCCAAATTCTCCACTCAGGTTATGAGTGTATGTGGCTGTAGAGCTCTTACTCATCCTCCGCTGGTTTTGAATACCAGTGAAGTGGCTGAAGGAGAAGCGTAGGGATCTCCTAAGGCTCGCTTAGAGAATAAATAGCAAAAAGAATATCAACACAATGGAGTCACAAACGAACAAAAAAAAAAAAAAAAAAAAAAAAAAAATGAAAATTGAAACGGACAGAAATTGGGAATTTTAATAAACGTCTGCCAAATGAGACTAGTTTAGCTTCCTCACTATTTTTGCTGCTTCCACACTTAACCATATCTCAAAGTCAATCATTTTTCGTTTGTGTATAAATTAAATTATCAATCCCTAACATCTCTTCAAATTTGGAGAAAATTAAAAGTGCGGTTTTTAAGATAAAGGCCTTTCAAGAAAAATACGTTTTCGCATATATAAGATAAAGTAGAGGATAGAATTCAATAAAATATATACAGCATCATTATTTTACCAAAAACCACATTTCATTTAACTTTGAGCCAAATCGAACCATCTGTTTTTAAATATTGCCATATCTAAAAAAAGAAAAAAACATTTGCGCGTGCACAAGCGTAAGTACTTTATGGAATTCAATAAAATCGATACAGCATCATACCAAAAACCTCTTTTCTTTTAACTTAGAGACAAATTGAACGTTTCTGAAAGATTTTTATAGCTGAGAAACTACATTTGCGCATGTGCAAGCGGAAGTACTGTGTGGAATTTAATGAAATTTATATAGGACCATTTAGACACCAATCTGCACCATCCCTATAAATTTCATCGAAATCGGATTACAAAAATTCATTCATTCATTCATGTATGGCACAACATCCCGTCACCGAGACTGGGCCTCCTCCAAGAGCCTCCGCCAGTTGGCTCTATCTTCTGCTGCAGCTCTCCAATTCCGCACACCAAGCAGGGTTCTCGCATCATAGGCCACGTTGTCCAACCATCTCGTCCTCGGCCTTCCTACCCGTCTTACGAGGTGCAGCTCCTCCATCATTATTTTTTTTGGTATTTCAAGGGTGCTCATTCTGGCCACATGCCCTGCCCACCTTAGTCTGGCCAGTTTAATATACGTGACTACGTCGATGTCTGCATAGAGAGTACTGAGCTCCCTATTTTTTCTTTTCCTCCAGACATCACCCTCCTTTACTGGACCATAAATCCTTCTGAGGACTCCTCGCTCAAAGACACTCAGCTTCATCTCATCCCTTTTGGTCATCGTCCAAGCCTCTGAGCCATATGTCAAAACAGGCCGAACAAGGGTCTTGTATATGATCAGCTTGGTCTTCTTTGAGAGGTACCTACTTCTTAAGTGTCGGCCAAGTCCAAAGACACATCTATTGGCAGCCGTGATCCTTCTTTGTATTTCTTGAGCCATGTCATTCTTGCTATTGATTTCAGACCCAAGGTATATGAAACTTTTCACTCTCTCAAACTTAAAAGAACCTACCTCAAATGGAGAGTTCAGATCAACCTCACCGCCAACTCTCATATACTTAGTTTTCCTCTCGTTGACTTCTAGACCAAGTGGTCTTGCAGCTGCTTCAAGGCTTATAAACGCTTCTCTGAGAGCCCGTTCAGACCTACCTACTATGTCAATATCATCAGCAAAACCAAGAAGCTGTGTCAGGCGATTGAAGATTATATCTTTGGTCTGAATACCGGAGTCTCTTACAGCTTTCTCCTCTGCCAAATTGAACAATAGACAGGCGAGGGCATCCCCTTGCCTAACCCCACTGCTCACTTTAAACTCTTCGGAGTCGTCAGAACCGACGCGTATTCTGCATCTCGAGCTGTCCATGGTCATCTTGATTAGGCG